GGTCGTCCTCTTGTACTGTTCATCTAGGGTTGAAAAGTACAACCCAAGTTTTCCTTGCAGGTCGGGCCTTATCCACTGCAGACATTTGAAAACACGGATGAGAACAGCGATTGAATCAAAGTAGACGATGGTCTTCTCTTTGTGCAAAAGTCTATGGAGGCCTTTCATGGCATCCTTGGGCTGAGTGTGCACCTCGAGGCGCAAGTTCGTGCGAACCTCGTTCACACGTATCGTCGTTGCCTTGGACAAAAAAAGCTTGGCCTTAGTTTTTAGGATAGCGTCCGCTGTGAGAGTCGCTGTTAGCCCTACAAATGGTACTCCAGGTGCCCAGACACGCAGATCACCTAGGCGTGTATAGTCCTCGCGAAACTTGACCCATTTCTCGACGCAGTGCACTTCATCGATCACTATTGCGGCCAACAATGATCGCCATTGCTCGTTCCGCCAAAGATCTTGAAGCAAATTTGCCTTGCTGCCGCTGAAAATGATCTCGGGGGTGAAGTAGACAGCCCTGTACTCGCCATTTAGTGCGCGTTGGATCGTACCCTTGTTAATAGCATCCGAGTTGGCGCCAGTTAGAACGAAGTACGATATGCCGGCCGCGGCCAGCTTCTATCGATTTGTAGGGCAGGATCCAAAGACGGGGTCAGTCGTGTAACATAGACACATTTATTGAAGGCATATGCAATCGTACAGTTACAAGAGTACTTGAAAGCTACCTGCTGTTGATCCTCCATCAAAGATATCAGCGGTGAGATGACGACGGTTACTGAGCGAGGCCAGAGCACCATAGGCAGGAAAAACGCTAAAGTCTTGCCCCAGCCACAAGGAGCAATTAAGACACAGTCGTGCTTTGCTTCAATGTTATACAGAACTTCCAGTTGCTCTTCCTTTGGTGCACAGCGGAAAACTTGTTTGCAAGTGCTGATGGCTTGTGACCTCAAAGTAAGTGGGGAGGTCTGAAAAAAAAGAATACAGCGTGTGTAAAACAACATGCAAAGGATGATTAAAATGTTACAATACAAATGACTGTGTCATTAGTTGAAATAACTTACAGAGTAATCGCTAATGTCGTCTTCGTGCTCTTGAACTAATGGTATATGTATCTGGTGTACAATATGCGATGGCGAAGATAGAAACTGCAGGGGCGACAGCTCCGGCTGCATGGACGTGGAGGGAGACGATGTTGGCGTCGAGATATATGGCGGTGGGGTGCAATCAGCCTCCCTCCATGTTGACATTCGCTTGATGGGCGTGGAGAAAGTTTTTTTAGGCGTGGAATCATAATCATCTGAAGACGCGTCCGAATCTGAAGAATCAATTTGAATTGGCGACGACACAGTCCGCCGAAGTGGCGAAGAAAGGCGCACAGATGATACCACTGTTCGTGCAAGCGACGACGGCACAGTTCCATATGTAAATGGTGTTGTGAGCCCACGAGAATGTCCAGGCGAATCGATATCTTGTAGTCGCCGGAGGCGGAAATACAGTGAAGAATGTGCTTCTTGTCCAGACTGACGTTCTTCCTCAGGCAACCAGAAAGGGTTTGGCAAGGACTCTTCTGCAGCGGTGAACGCCATGGCGAGCTGCAAGGAGATTGATGCCGCTGGAGTGGAACACGCTCCAGTCAGGACGGGCGGGGCTTCAGTAGCTCCTTGCGGAGTATCCTATAGAGAGAAAAACATAAAAGGACAAGAAGTTCGTTAGGATTGTGCTTGGAAATGAGTGACTGTTGTCATGCCAATCATCGGTATGTACTCACTGGATTACTCCCTCCTAAGGACGACGCGACGGGAATATTGGCGCTGAAGGAGATCAGACCTGTGGGTATGTCATTGCGCTATACAGTATTGAGGGTCAGGACGTCAGGAAGGGTGACAACCCCAACAGCTACAAACTCCCAACTCCTGTAACAAAATGTGTCCTTGCTTTGTAAGTCCTGCGGAGGGTTCCAGGAGTGTTGGGAGTTTTGGGAAGGCACTTGCGAGGCGTGCGCCGGGTCTCTTCATCAGGTGGATTGTCACTGTAACAGGAGACATGAAGGAAGAGGATGCAAGAAATAAGCTTGGGCAGCCCGCGTACGATCACGTGAACAAAAAACCACCGAGCACTTTCCTTTTTTGGGCAAAATGGACTAAAGGGTGACCCCATAAGAAAGTGAAAGATTTTGTCCCAGCCCCTCTGCAGTGAAAAATTGAACAAAGGGGGATGGGTTCAGAGCTTCCTAAATACTAGGACGATTTTGGTGGCAACAACACTTTCAATTCAATTCTACATGCACGTTTATGCTCTGCACAGATACACGGTGAATGCTTGATTGTATTATTGATTAGACAAACAACTTTTCAGTTTTTATTTTACTTTAAAAACAGGCAAGAATCTTAACGGGACAGGGAGGCAAAGGCCTTGGTGACGGAGCGCTTGAGCTTGCGCTGGGCAAGGACAAAGGTGTCCTTCTCGGCGAGCTCCTCGATCTGGAGGGCAGCCATGGCCTCCTCGAGGGCCTCCTCGACAGCCTTCTTGTCGCCACGCTTGAGCTTCATGGAGACGTTGGGCTCGTTGAGGGTACCCTGAATCTGGTAGACATACGACTCGAGCTCCTGCTTGGACTGAACAATCTCCTCGTTCTTGCGATCCTCATCCTTGAACTTCTCGGCCTCAGAGACCATGCGCTCGATATCGGCAGCAGAGAGACGACCAGCTCCGTTGGAGATGGTGATGTTGGCCTTGCGACCGGTGGCCTTGTCCATGGCAGTGACCTTGAGGATACCGTTAGCATCCAACTCGAATGTGCACTCGAGCTCGGGGGTACCGCGGGGCATGGGGGCAATGCCAGAGAGCTCGAACTTGCCGAGCAAGTTGTTGTCGCGGGTCATGGGACGCTCACCCTCATAGACGGGGAACTGGACAGTGGTCTGGCCATCCTCGGTGGTGGTGAAAGTCTTCTTCTTGATGGTAGGGATGGCAGTGTTGCGGGGAACGACAACAGCCATGACACCACCCTGCATCTCAACACCGAGAGACAGAGGGACGACATCCAAAAGCAAGAGATCCTGGGTCTTGGCGTTACCGGCCTGGTTGGTCAAGACAGCGGCCTGGACGGCAGCACCGTAGGCAACGGCCTCATCGGGGTTGATCGACTTGTTCAGCTCCTTTCCGTCAAAGAACTCCTGGAGGAGAGACTGGATCTTGGGGATACGGGTGGAACCACCGACAAGGACGATCTCATCAACCTCCTTCTTGGTGTACTTGGCATCCTTGAGGACCTTCTTGACGGGCTCGATGGTGTTGTTGAAGTGGGTCGAGTTGATCTCCTCGAAACGGGCACGGGTAATGTTGGCCTGGAAGTCAATACCCTCGAAGAGAGAGTCGACCTCGATGGCGGTCTGAGCCAAGGAGGACAAGGTGCGCTTAGCACGCTCGCAAGCAGTACGGAGACGGCGGGTGGCACGGGCATCGCCAGTGATATCCTTCTTGTGCTTGCGCTTGAACTCCTCCTTGAAGTGCTCCAAGAGGGTGTTGTCGAAATCCTCACCTCCCAAGTGGGTGTCACCAGCAGTGGCCTTGACGGCGAAGACACCTCCGGTGATCGTCAAGAGAGAGACATCGAACGTTCCACCGCCCAAATCGAAAATGAGGACGTGCTTCTCCTTGGTCTCCTTGGAGTCCAAACCGTAGGCAATAGCAGCGGCAGTGGGCTCGTTGATGATACGGAGAACATCGAGACCAGCGATGGCACCGGCATCCTTGGTGGCATGACGCTGAGCATCGTTGAAGTAGGCGGGGACGGTGATGACGGCCTTGGTGACGGTCTTGCCGAGCTTGGCCTCAGCAATCTCCTTCATCTTGATCAAGACCATAGCAGAGATCTCCTGGGGGGAGAACTCCTTCTTCTCGCCCTGGTACTCGACCTGGATGAAGGGGGCAGTGTCCTTCTCGATAACGGTGAAGGGCCAGTGCTTCATGTCCGACTTGACCTCGGGATCATCGAAACGGCGACCGATAAGACGCTTGGCATCGAAAACGGTGTTGGTGGGGTTCATGGCGGCCTGGTTCTTGGCAGCATCACCGATGAGACGCTCCTGCTCGGAGAAGGCAACGTACGAAGGAGTGGTACGGTTACCCTGCTCGTTAGCGATGATCTCAACACGCTCGCCCTCCCAGACGGCAACGCAGGAGTAGGTGGTACTATTGAGGAGCAAGGAAACAGAGGTTTTGAGTCAATAACTGGTCCTTTACAGAGTAATTTGCATTTATCTGGTGCTGCTTTGTGGCTGCCTATCCTATGGCGGTGTGCTTTGTCGCAATTGGCCTCCTCCCCCAGATACCGAATCCGATGGTTTCTTCAAAAATGTTCTTCCGCTACGTCCTGATTGATGAGTTGACAGTGTTGCTTTGAGAGGCCGACGGAATTTGTGAGTCATAGTTTCTTGTGGATCTGGATCTGAAAGAGTGCAGGACTGGGATCCTGTCGTGTGATTATGAGCTGAATTACTGGGAAGTGATTCTTTAGATGGTGATGTTGAATGAATATCAGGCGAGATCACAGAGGCCGATCCCGGATTCAGAATTCGTTGATGATTTGTTGTTCAGATGCATGCAGCCATGCAGCTCCCCTGAGCGGATCAGCTGTATCGCCTCCAATAATTTGTCTGGTGTCCTGATAGTGATTTCCGATGCAATTGACGATGATATAGCTGAAAACGTAGCAAGTTTGAACAAGACTGATGATGCTCCTGATGTAGAGAGAGTGTGTCGAGGAAGAGTTGTCGCCCCCCCCCCCCAAACATACCCGAGATCGATTCCGATGGCAAGGTCAGTGACTTCAGACATGTCGAGAGATTCGTTGAAGAGAGAAAGGGTGGAACAAACAACTACCCGGGCGAGGTCTCCTTTTGAGTGTGTTCCTCTAGCGAAAATTTTTTTTGTATGCGCGTCATGGGAGTAATATATTACTGCAATTGCTGCGACTAAAGATCGATGCTCATTCTCCTGTACGCTGTACGTACAGAGAAAGCTGCCAGACTTGAGAGTTGCTTTGCCGAAATGATCTGATCAGCTTGAGACTCATTCCGCACATACACCATGACAAAAGACATCAGGGCACTAGAGTTTTTTAGCGGAATCGGTGGACTGGTCCGTATTACCCCATGTTTTCATCATATCTGCGGACGTCATAATCTATCAAGATCAGATTGGTCCTAATTATCTGTTTTACATATCCATGTAGCACTTTGGTTTCAACGCGAGTGGAGCCAAGGGTAAAGTCCTCGAAAGCTTCGACATGAACCAACAAGCTAATGATACATACAGGTTGAGCTTCGGAAAGACTGCAGTCTCGGTATGTCGACATATAACTGCATGATTCTATACTCAACGGATAAATCGTTGCGGATCGCTGACATTTATCTTGCAACAACTTCTTCAATTGTAGAGAGGCATTGATAGGCTCACAGTCAAGGACATTGAAAAGTATATCTCCATGTCTACGGCACGTATGTCTGCCTCCCAACCGTGCGATCTTTTTAGCAATGCTAATCTAGATGGTCAATCGACTGATGTAGATATAATGCGAACTGTTGGCTCATGAGTCCGCCTTGTCAGGTACGCACTGACGCCCAAGGCCTTATATCCTGTTTCTACTAAATGATTTCCATTGACTGACAAAGTTGTCTGTTTTGTTATCATAGCCTTATACCCGTGGTGGGAAGCTGTTGGATGATCAGGATAATCGAGCAAAGCCGTTGCTGCATCTATTGGACCAGCTCGAAAAAATGGCAACACCCCCCACATATATCTTCCTGGAAAACGTCAAAAATTTTGAGGTAATGCCAGGGACGTTACAGCGGTAATTTTATAAAGTCACGGCATGGGTCATCGTGCTGACAAGAGCCACATACCATCCTTGACTGTACAAGTAGACATCTCGCTCGCGCGAGAGAATGGTCAGGTTACTCCACAAGATGGGATACGTCTTTCGTGAGTGTCTGCTTGCCCCACACAACTTTGGTGTACCCAACGATCGCCTGCGCTACTTTTTAATCGCCAGATCAAGGTCAAGTTTCAAGGAAGCGACACCAAGATCATCAACACCAGCAGTCGACAGCGCGGCGCAAACGTTTGATCCGGAGAAAGAGATTATCTATACCACATGGCCACTGCCTGCGTTTGTCGAGGACCCCAATATATCTATCAGACAGTATCCGTTCAATATTCCAGTGCTGCGGTACTTTCTGGATCAGGAAGAGAACGAAACAAAGGACTATCTGCTTTCACGGCAATTGATTCTGGAGCGACCAAACTTTCGTTTCGGTGAGTATATATGCGCGGATGAAATGCTTGAATGCACGATCCGGACGAGAAACATCTTCACCAACAATATTGCTTATTGTTAGATATCTTGCGCCCTTCGTCCAACAGATCATCATGCTTCACAAAGGCATACGGCAGCCACCACGTCGCCAGCGGGGGAGGGCTACTACAGACGCTCAAGATGGATCAAACTGAATATGATTTTGGAAACTCTGAATCGATTGCAGAGCTGGGTCTTCGATTCTTCACCCCCACAGAAGTCGCTCGCCTACATGCCTTTCCTTTGAAAGAAGAGCGTGGGTCAGAGTGTGCATTGGAGACTGACGATACCAACGAGCAAGGTTCCAACGTGGACCCTAGAACGTTGACAACTATAAGAGTATACAGCCCAAAGTTGGCACAGGAATCTAATGGACCATACTTGCAGTTCCCTGCCAAACTGAAGGCGCTGCAGCGGTACAAGCTGCTCGGCAATAGCTTGAACGTCTGGGTGGTCGCTGAGTTGCTACGGGGCGTCTTGTTTGCAGATCATCCTGGGAACCCTTTACCTATTTATCGTGCTGAAGACATGACCGCATCGGCCTTGGAACAGGCGAGCTCTACTGAGAGCATTGATACTGTAAAGCACGGCATTGAGGAACAAGGAGAATCAGCTCCTGATGGAGACGCAGAAGTCCGTCCAACGAGAGATAAGAAAAGACTGAAAGCCGAGTAACACGTTTCAAAAATAAAAAGTAATAATTGCTTGAGCGGATTGAGATATAATTACATGCAGTTTTATTTAAAAGAATGAGTTTTCTTAGGGCCGTTTACTCGTCGGTGACGCATCCTTCACTAGCATTCTTGACATTCTTGATGTACTTGTAAAGAGTACCGCGAGTAGCTTTGAAAGGAGGAGCAACCCAGCTGGCACGGCGGGCCTTCAACTCCTCGTCAGAGACCTTGATATCGATGGTCTTCTTGTCGGCATCAATGCTGACAATATCTCCGTTCTTGATCAAACCAATGGGTCCACCCTCCTGAGCCTCAGGAGTGATATGCCCGATAATGAACCCGTGGCTGCCTCCGGAGAAGCGACCATCCGTCAACAGTGCAACATCGTTTCCGAGACCGGCTCCCATGATGGCAGAGGTGGGCGTCAACATCTCGGGCATACCTGGGCCACCCTTGGGTCCAGAGTAACGGATGATAATGACCTGACCCTTCTTGATCTCGCCCTTCTCCAAGCCGTGCAACATGTCGGTCTCATGATCGTAAACGTTGGCAGGACCCTCGAAAAACAATCCCTCCTTTCCAGTGATTTTGGCGACAGAGCCGAGAGGAGCAAGGTTACCCTTGAGGATGCACAGGTGTCCAGTGGCCTTGATGGGCTTCTCCAAAGGATGGATGACATCCTGACCATCCTTCAAGTCAGGGACGTTCTTCAAGTTCTCAGCAAGGGTCTTTCCAGTAACCGTCAAGCAGTCTCCATGGATCAATCCATTTTCGTGGAGGTATTTCAAGATCGCGGGGGTGCCTCCAATGAGGTGAACGTCTTCCATGACGTACTTGCCAGAGGGCTTCAGATCGGCCAAGAGAGGGATACGCGAGCTGACTTCCTGGAAGTCATCAATGGTCAGGTTGACATTGACGGATCGGGCAATGGCGATCAAATGGAGGACGGCGTTGGTAGAGCCTCCGAGAATCATGGTCAAGACCATGGCGTTCTCAAAGGCCTTGCGGGTCATGATGTCGCGGGGCTTGATGTCGAGCTCGAGCAGATTGCGGATGGCCTTTCCGGCATCCAAACACTCCTGCAGCTTTTCGGGATACTCGGCGGGCGTTGACGAACTGTACGGCAGACTCATACCCATGGCTTCGATCGCAGATGCCACTATTAGAAAGGACAGGGGAGGGGGGGAGGTTTGTTCAGTTAGTCAACTGTGAGTAGAGGTAATATGTCCAACTATCATTTTTCTTTGTCGAGACATACTGGTATTGGCGGTGTACATCCCGCCGCAGGCACCTGCACCGGGGCAGGCGTTATGGACAATGTCCTGGCGCTGGGTCTCGTCAATCTTTCCGGCGAGGTAGGAGCCATAGGACTGGAAGGCAGAGACAATGTCCAGGGTGCCTTGGCCGCAAGAGGACGAACCGGGCTTAATGGTGCCTCCATAGACCATCAAGGAAGGACGGTTGATGCGGCCCATGGCCATCAAGCAACCGGGCATGTTCTTGTCGCACCCAGGCAGCGAGATGTTGGCGTCGTACCACTGTCCGCTCATGACCTATACAAGCGGGGGTGGGGGTGTTCGACATTGATTGATTAGTCAGTTTAAGCGGGCTATTAGAGTTGGACGTCACGCCGAGATCGAGGACGGTAGAACGGATCCCCGTGGAGTGGAGTGGAGGGGGCGGGGGAGGAGGAGGAGGGAGCTTTGCTGAAGTGGGGACCGACACATTTGATAGAGACGAAAAAAATGTCATACCGTTTCGATAGAATCTGCGATGATATCTCTGCTCTGGAGCGAGAAGCTCATGCCTGAAGTGCCCATGGAGATGCCGTCACTAACACCGATGGTGTTGAAGCGATAGCCAACGAGGCCAGCCTTCTGGACGCCCTCCTTGACCTTGGCCGCGAGGTCGTTCAGGTGCATATTGCATGGGTTGCCCTCATACCAACTAAAAAAGATTCGTCCAAGAACCAAGAAACAGTCAATTGACTCATCTCGGTCACAACCTGCGATCGGCTCTACTCACAATCCATAACCCATAACCCAATATTCGGCATCCGATATCCGAGGAACGACAGGACTTACACGCTCGAGATACCGACTTGGGCCTTGCTCATGTCGCTATCCTTCAATCCCGTGGCGTACACTGTCGGACCAAGATTACCGTTGCCATGACCAGCATTATCATTCAGAAGGGTTCGTTGAGAAAGGAGTATGGTGAGCAAATAAACCCTTTGTAAAGCACTCTTTTTCGATCGAGCACTGCAAGCGGCTTACACATGGCTTGGGATGCACCCTGCGACTTTGGCTGTGTGATCGTGGCACTGTATTTGTTGAGATCGGATTTTGAGGAGCTGTTTCCAGAAGATCCTGTGGAGTAACGGTGGCACTGCACCATGGCGGCTCTTGCTGAGGCCCTGCCATGACTATGAGGAAGAAGATGGAGCGTGTCAGTGGCAATGAATATGGCAATTGGGCTGATCGACGAGGGAGATTCTCGAGGTGTACTTGCATTTTGACCTGGCCAGCAACCTGTGATGCAGCTGCTGAGAGGAACGAAGACATTACTTAGGACGAGTGTTGGAGCGAAAGAAGGAAGGAAGGTTGGATGAGCAAATGGGGGAGGAGTGGGGCGGCAGTCGAAGAGGCGGAGGAATATGTGAAGAGCGTGAAGGAAGAGAAAGAAGAGGAAGGAGGAGAAAGAAAGCTCCTGCTTTTATCGGCTTCCCCCCCCTCCTCCTCCTCTCGAACGGCGACCTCGGAGGAAAAGGGTGCGCGCGAGATGCGTGTAATTAGATTTGTCGATTTGTGTTCGATTTGTCCGAGGTATAGAGGGAAAAGAGATCAAAGTTTGGTTGTTATCTGCTCTGTTTTGCATATGCATATGACCCGGATGGGTCATTCTGCACGCCCACGCCCACTCCCACAACTCCACTCCCACAACTACATCCTCTGCATCCGCCGTAGTCTATTTGTGCGTGCTTAGCTGCCATGGCTCTGTCTGCCGGATGAGCCACAGTAAAGAGTCCCTGCTGTTATCTGCTCTGTTTGCATATGCATATGACATGGATGGGTTATTCCGCGCGCCCACGAACACAACTTCACATCTAGTAAATACAAAAGATCATTTCTGAACTGTGCACACCCACAGCGGGTGCAGAAGAGGTCGATGAGTCTGTATTTGTGCGTGCCTATCTAGCATGGCTCTGTCTGCCGGATGAACTAAGGAATCTCTGCTGTCCCAAAAGACAAAGGAGCCCCTCTGTCCCCCCAGCTCGCACACACGACGCGTCTCTAAATCAACATTAGCCAACGCAAGTCCATTATCTAACAAATCTGGCTGCAACTCATCGACGAGTATTGTGGGAGAGAGTGGGAGAGAGTGGGGGAGAGTGGGAGTGCTCCTCCTGTTCGATCGACCTCCTCTCGGATCAGATAGTCCTCGAAAGGATCCTGTGAGTAGAATATAACCTTCCTCCTTATCGAACAACGCGCGCGTTCAGCTAGACAATGGCGCGTTCTAAGCCTAACTCGGCCTCTTGGAAAAGGAAAGAAAGAAGAGGAGGCCCAGCACTGGCCACTGCTCATGGGAACACAGGCTGTCGGTGGGGAAGAAGAAGAAACACCCACCACAAAGTAAGAAAATCAATCAGGCACTTGAGTGCGGTTCTCTTTCCAAAAATAAACTGCGAAGTCTTAAGGGCATGGGACACCAAACATCGCTGAGCAGTCCTTTTTATATAATCCTTTTGCCCACACCTCTTCATCCAGTTCATCCACCACACCATGACAACGACCCTGGACACAGCCATGCGCCAGCTGCCTTCCTTCCAGTACGTGCAGCAGCAGCAGCACCACAACCACAGCCATAGCCATAGCCATAGCCACAACCACAACCACAACATCCACAACACCCACAACACCCACAACAAGGCCACCGCTGCCCTCATTGATGAATGCTGCTCCCTAACCCATGACATCAACGATTTTTGTTGCTCCACTGTCGAGCCCAGCTCATGCTGCGGGCCCCAGCCCCATCTCTCGCTCGACTCGATGGAGTGCTGCAGCAACCCTCACACGCCTTCCTCAATTAATGGGTATACTGTTCAGGAGATTGAGTGCTGTATTATGGAGTCGGCCTCAAAGGAGGGCATGGACTCGGAGTGCTGCCAGGACCTTCTCCAGCCAGGAGCTGTCCTTCCCCGCCAGACTGCGCCCACTTGCTGCTCAGAACACCCGGAGGTCCTGAACGATTGCTGTCTGACCTGCTGTCCCGACACTCTCTCCTCTCCCTCGGGATCGTCCTCGGTCTCTGCAACCACACCCAACTCCTCTGCAATCCCACCATCGCATTACTTCCCAATTCAGTCTTTGCAATGCTCGACTGTGAACGACCCGTAAGTTGCCCGCTCTTTGTTTTGTTTGCATGCATGGTACCTCGATGGTCTCTCTTGCTTGAGCCAACTGACTATATTGTCCTAATATCCTCCCTTTCCCATGCGATTGAGTCTAGATGGAGCACGGGGGGTACCTGCAACCATATCGAACAGCCGCTACGAAATATCATCAACGGCAATAACACCAACAGCATTGGCAACTCCCACTCAGCATTCCACTTTTTGACCAACACCAGCAACAACCAAGAGACATCTCCAGATGTATCTCAAATGAGTTCGTCGTCCGCAACACCAACGTCCTCCATGTCGCTCTCTACAGGCATGATGGACGACGCTCAGATTGACCATATGATTCGTTGCCTCTGGACAGGATGCACGGCCGAATTCTTTTCGCAGGATGATCTTCTGCCGCATGTATCGCAGTTGCACATGCCCATGATTGACAACGATCATGCACTCTGTCTTTGGGAATCGTGTGCGACAGAGCAACAGGATCCAGATAAGCTGCTGCAGCATCTGAGAGCAGACCACCACATCGTGCCAGCATCGACAGCCATCTCGGAAGCAGAGATCTTGCGTCCAGAACCAAGAGCAAGGGCAATTACAACCGCAGATCAGAGGCTCAACTCATCACATGAGGAACAGCACCGCTGCAGATGGAAGGGATGCACTAGGATCTTTACCAACTTTGATTCGCTTACCAGTCATCTGAGCGAGGATCATATCGGCATGGGCAAGAGCGAGTACGTATGCGAATGGGAAGGCTGCGAACGTAACGGCAGAGGTTTCGGACAGAGACAAAAGGCAATGCGACACATCCAGACCCATACGGGAGACAAACCCTATCAATGTCAACTCTGCAGGAAGAGGTTTTCGGAGGCCAACATCATGGCTCAGCATATGCGCACACATACAGGAGAGAAGCCCTTCAAGTGCCCAGAGCCTGGATGTGGTCGCGAATTCTCGATCTCAGGAGCATTAACAATTCACCGACGTGTCCATACGGGCGAGAAGCCGTTCAAGTGCAAATTTGAGGGTTGCGATAAATGGTTTGCAGAGTCGTCGAATCTGACAAAACATCTGCGCGTCCATACGGGTGAGCGGCCCTTCCAATGCCCGTTCCCCGGATGTGAGAAGCGGTTCTCCAGACCTGACCAGGTGACGCGGCACAAGCGTACGCATAAGACTGCAGCAGAGAAGGCGGCCGAAAAGATGGCAGCGGAGACGTTGGCGAAGGGTTCTTCAGTAAAATCTCAGAAGCGAACAGCATCTTCAATCCAAAGCGCTTCTTCTGACGAACTGGTTCAGGAACAGGATATGGATAATGGCCACCACTCTTCAACAGTGGACGACTATGAAGTGTGGTCGTCGTCTGCATCGCCTTCGTCGTCAATGGACGATCTTGACTCTACACCTCCAGGGCGCGCATGGCAGCCGAACGGTAGCACTCGCAAGCGTGTAAGGACCTGAGAAATTTGCTTTTGGGCGTTTTCTATCGTTTGTGAACATGTATTTTTTTATACTTCTGTATCATACCTTTATAGCATATAGTATTATCTTTCGTCGTAATAATAAAGCGCTTCTTGTCCGCATCCAAGGCGGGTGAAGGACAGGAGTCGAATGCGCTGGTAAATCGCGAAATATATTTTTGAATCGAATGAATACTGTCCCAAACAAGGATCATGCACTTTGGGAGTTGCGCTATGGAAGGCCAGTGCAACTGGCTTGAGAGCTAATGAACCTAGATGATAAACCACGTATAGACCCAACAACGACTGTGCAGTAGCAAATGGGAATCGTGTGGTTGGAGCCATTATTTTGCTATTTCTTATATTTCTTAGGGAGAGGATACCCATGCCAGTATAAAATATCAACGGTCTGGTACCTGAACCAGAGTCTTCCTTTTTTTCGATGAAGAAGAAGATAAGTGCGAGCATGAAGTGGTAAAGCTGGGGCGCGGGAGCAGAAGGAGAGGCAGGCAGGTCTGTGGACGGGAGCTATTGTAAGGGCACAGTTGGTAAGCGAGTGCATTGTGACGGATACTCGCACGTTTCCCTGACGCAACTTTTCTGTAGCCATGCAACCAGCTACACGTCCAGGCCCAGCATTAAAGACTTTGGATGGCTATACTCTTTACAAAATCAACAGAGCTTACACTTAAACCACAAGGCAGAACTGGAACTGACAGAAAGAGAAGTTTTATTAAGCAAGCACAGATAGAAGAGAGCTATTCAGGATATGGCACTACGTTGTCTTGGGGGGGGGAAAGCATCCATCATGGGTCCTCGAGAAAAAAGAACACCGGCCTATTCAAAGATCGACGCGGCACGTAATAGCGTCGATCTGCTACTGGCACGTAAGAGGATCGCGTGTCTCTTTGGTCGGAGCAACGATTGTTGTTCTATGAGAACCATTGTCGGGCTCATCCAGGTCCACCTCGAACTCCTCCAACGCTCCATTGCGCACGTCTTCGGTACGTAGTGCGTCTCTTCGACGTCTCTTCAGTAGAGAACTCGCCCTCTGGTGCTCCCTCAAGAGCCGATAGAGGATACCTTCGCTATTTTGATCGAGTCAAAATTGGACGGTGCCCAAAGCTGGACCTCCTCCTGCAACTGTCGCCACTCTTCTTTCTCAAATGCGCCCTTTCTTTTGTTGTTGGAGGTCGTGTCGTACAACCCAACTATAGGCTGCAGGACTATAGTGACCGCATCTGGAGGCGGTATAAAATAGATAAAACAGCTTATTTGCAAAATAGAATCCCACAATTGAAGATCTCAAAGAACTCGTCTCGTTCCAGCTAGTCATTCAGATGGAGCACTCGACAGAGGCATCTTCCTCTAGCAGATCAGTTCCCCCACGACAACCTCCCCGCGATCACATCGGGACTCCCGATAATGAGAAGCACAAGTCAAAGATCGGACCCTCGATCATCAGCGCAGAGCCACAGAGCGATCGCTTCTCGGTCTTACCCTTCACCATCAACTTTCACCGTCTGGTACAGGAGCAGGAGGACAACGACCCCTATTACGAATACTTTGATGATCCCGACCAGGAGAAGGAGGTGCAAGAACGATGCGACGTCTGGGACGACGTGCAGGAAGCTAACAAGCCGTACGAGGACCCGACCGTCTATGGTTTACTTAAGGAATGGCACGAGAATCGATTGGCGAAATACAGGGAAGTCGAGGACAAAAATCTGCGGCCGAGATGGGCAACGGTTTTCGGTCAGGCGGCCGACGTTACGGAGTTTGGCGACCCTTCTAACTTACACATTCGCGAGAACCGTCGGACACGATCTGCGATTGCAGACGACGAAAGGCTACGACGACTATTGAGCGCACCCTCACGGGGAGGGAAGAAGGGACCCTTTGTTGAGGGCAGGCGATTACTGGCGGTCAGCGCTGATAAGAACAAGAAATCTTCGCGTGGAAGAGACAAGCGACGGACATCAATAGTCGATCAAATGGACAACGCAGAGGATCCGAAACGACCGCGTCTGGACTCACTGGATTCGCTACCGGCCTCCTCATTAAATACTGCAACAGATTTGAACAGCAACTCGGCAACAGATTCGACGCCGATATCAAGCGTGGCTCCGAATATGACTTCTCAGCCAATGAATCCAACAACATCGATGCCAGACGCAATAACGATCGACCTGACAACAACCACACATCAGTCAGAAGTGACTGATCTGATACAGAGTGTGACATTGAACGCGACATTGAACGCGACATCGATCGCGACTTTGGACGCAACATCGAACGCAACATTGAATGCAACATCGGACCCAACATCGAACCCCATATCGAACCCAATATCGGACGCAACTGCAGTGACATCGTCAACACAGACTCCGGACTCTATTACAGTTCCAGTCTCAGCTAATGACTTGAGCTCCACAGCTTATTCTGGCTTAACAGCACAAGCGCAGACGAAAGATGTCACAGGGAACGCGCAAACTGTCCGACACGAGGCTGAGGAAGACGTGGAGATGGAGGAGGACGAGGAGGACGAGGAGACAGAGGTGACACACACAACGCTGGAGAAAAAATTCCATGAGCTTTCTATGCAGATTGAGCAGTCCCGCTTGAAGACCCTGGAGGACGGGTCGCGGTTCGAGGTGCCGGTGTCCCATCGTCCGCCAATCAACTATCTCGGACCACAGCCCTCGCGATATAGCCGCCCGTACAAGCCCATTTTGGAAGGGGAGACAATAGTTTCGGTTGCACTCCATAGCGCCCTTCGACCAACGCAACGGATCCAGGAGTTTCTGTTTCTGGGCAGTCAACGATTGACGGCGATGAGGGATGCGTTCTACTGCTTGATGGATTTCACGACCCAAGCTGTGGACGACCCAGCTGAGAGTGCGCTGGTCAAGGACACCCTGGACAGGAAGACCAGCAACTCGTTCTTGTTTATCGAGGGTGTTTTTTACAGCGATTCACCTCTCTTGCGAGCAAAGATCGATAAGCGAAACGCTCTTTGGGAGCAGGAGCAAAAAAGGCGCAATGGCTTGACAGAGCGTCAACGGCAGCGTAAAGAGGAGCGCGAACGACGGAAGAGAATAAGGCTTGGGAAGAAGGTCCTACGTGATACGGAAGATCCAAGTACAGCAGCATCAAGGTCTACTAGTACTAACAGCAAGGATAACAGCGACAACAACGACAACAGCGACAACAGCGACAACAGCGACAACAGTGACAACAGCGATGACGAAGACAATATGCTTGACGAGCTACTGGACGATTACCACATAGGTCAAGAAGATGGTGATAGGATACAGGAGGCCATGTTCAAGAACGTTCCTATAGAGGATATCAAGGTGGAAAACGAAGAGGAGCTGGCAAAGGTTTCTTCGGACTACAGTCAGTAAGGGACCAAAGCTGAATTACTGACACTGACAACAACTTTTCCACTTGGTGCTGTATGTTTGTTTAACGTGATGTCTTCTACTGCTGCTTTGCTTTGCTGCTCTTAGGGTCATTTTAGACTGGGTCAGTGCGGATCCTAAGCGGAAGAACACAAAGGGATTCGATAGCCTGCAGAAGAAATACATGCACGACACTCTGATTCAAGATCTGAAGATTCGAGTCAACCATCCTTACTTGCTTGTGCACCAGGGCAACTGCGAACACATCCTTATGTTTCGTGATCTAAGGTATAAGGAGTGTGCGCTATTGTGGACTGGCCCAAAGTTTTGGTGTATCTCGCGCTCATAGCTCGTTTGCTCTCTCTCTTTATTTCTCTTTTTTCCTTTTTTGTGTGTGTTTTCTTCCGTGTAGATTGTTTAGTCATAGATTCGACGACTTGAATAGGAACAGCTACCCGGTGCCAATCTACAAATCCAAGTCGATTAGCCACAACTGCAGGATGTGCAATGTCAACCCTGCGTTCTATGTCACGGTTGACGACCGACTCGCGGGCGAGTCGCCATGCTATTTCTGTGAGCAGTGCTACGACGCGTTCCATTACGATGCGGAGGGTAACATTCTTTACGACGACTTTCGTGTTTTCAAATACGCCAAGAACCAGACGCTGTAGTGCACACAATAAAATCTGCCCCACACAAATGACATGCGACGATCTTTTTTTTTTTTTATTGATTGCTGCGTTTCGGATTATGTTAGTTTGAAAGAAATAACAGACCCCACGGCCGCATGCATCTCGAGTACAAGGTTTGACAATCTTTTTCTTATTCAAACCGTTCTTCGGGAGCCTTGTCGTCGGCCAAGAGGCAAGATCCCGGAATTCTCCTTAAGAAGACCAAGGTTGAAAACCCCTCCATTCCCAAGGGCAACGTTCTTCCGAAGCTGTCCCTGCTCATACCTCATACATATTAGAACGGACAGTGACCGTGCGGTATTGACACAGTCTTTTTGTGTACATACTTGCCCTATCTTGTGGTCCAAAGTCTTTTGGACTATGTATGTAATGTCGAACTCCGCGCGTTCCATTTTGACGGATGCACATCGACAAATAGTCTGGTCATCGCTTGTTTCTCTCCATCGAGAGTATGAAGAGCAGTGTTTGGCAAAACTGAGATCTTCATTCGTTTGTTCCAATACCATATCCGCCTGAAAAGAGCGGTTCTGGGTGTTATTGGCATTGAAGTAGCTGCTTCCTTGACACACACACACACACACACGCACAGATACAAAAAAAAAAGATAGAAAAAGGAAGCGTACAAACTGCTTCTTTATAGGATGGAAGGGATGTGTCAGATTTCGGAAAGCAATGAATAAAGAACGCACAAGCATGCAGTCGGGTTTCCTGGGAATACAGACGATGGAGGTGTAGAGCATGAACGAGTGTCCAGAGGAGAGGATAGCACACGACATGGCGAAGTGTCCTTTGCTACTGCTATTTCCTATGACGGAACCCCATTTTGAGGGCTTGAAGGAGGAGTGGGGAGAAGCGCTCGGAGGAGGGGAATCCGTGAGTCTTCGTTGGAGCTGCTGGGCCTGCGGGCGTGTTTGTCCGAAGGGCAGAGTGGGCGAGTGGGCGAGTGGGGGGGGCGGAGGGTGGGGAGGGTGGAGGGAGATGGGGGAGGTGGGCAAAGCGAGTGGGTCGTCTGCACAGAGCGTGCTATCATATGGGAGAGATAAGTGCAGGACCGATCTCCGTCAGATAATGCCAGGCCAGGCACCCGACTTCTCGCGGCATGTGCTGCCCTGACTCGCTTTTTTCCTTTTTCCCCTCGGTGTCTTTGCCACTAAAGCAGTAAGACGGTAGGACGATCAAACGATCAAGCGATCAAGCGGTAAAACGAGGGGAGCATGCAGACGATAAGCACTGCCGGGCTGCCTCCGCTGCGAGCGGGCGGAGGAGCGGGTCGACTGGCAGGCGACTGCAAAAAAAAGGCGGGGCACCGGACTATAAAAGGGATCCCCCCTCCCTCCCTCCCTTTCCTCTCTTTCCTCTCTTTCCTTTCCTTTCCTTTCCTCCATTCCCCACTACAACTCCACCGCCCCCCCCCCTTCCCATCTTCCCTTCCCTCCCCCTACGTCCTCGTGTGCACTCGACCCAGCAGGACTCTCTCTGTCTCTTCCTCTCACCTCCACATTGCCGTTTCCCCCTCCTAACTAACACCCACATACAAACATGTCTCTGAACAGCGCCCGTGTCAATTCCCTGAGGGACATCATCGATCGCCCCACAAGAAAGATCGCCTACCCAAAGAAGCCCGATGGCAAGCCCGTCTACACCTCCGAGTTCTTTGGCGAAAACGTCTTCCATCTCCAGCAGATCGCCAAGGCCCTGCCCAAGCCCGCCTATGCCTCCTTCCTCAAGCAGATGCGTGGTCGTCAGGCCCTGGATCGCTCCACCGCTGATGCCATTGCCCACGCTGTCCGCATCTGGGCCATGGACCGCGGTGCGACCCATTTCACCCACTGGTTCCAGCCCCAGACCGGCACCACTGCCGAGAAGCACGATGCCTTCCTCACGCTCAAGTCCACGTTTACAGCCGCTGGCGAGGAGGTAAGCAGCAACAAGGGACACTCAACACCACCAATTCAAAGCTCAGGACCCGATCCAAGATCCAACAGCAACAGCAACAGCAAAAACATCGACCGGGCTGAAAGACAGGACGAATCAAATGAAGATGGACAACAGGGATCTCAGGGAGGAGTCACCGCACAACAAAAGAAAAAAGGGAAAATGAATCGAAATGATTCATTGGGTTTTTTATTATTTCTTATCTCCCTTGGCTTGGTCTTATCGACATCAATTCCATCCTGTCGTATCCATCCAAAACGGCTGCGAGGGAAGGAAGAGGGAAGGTCTGCAGCAGCAGCAGCAGCAGCGGCAGATCGGCAGGATGCATGGGAATCAACATGCTTTCCTCCACACGGGCAACAAAAATTCGTAGACCAAACATGTGTTTGGCACTCGTTCGCATTAAACTGACCGCATCCTTCCTATTTCTTGCATTGTAGGTCACTGCAATTGATGCCTTCTCCGGATCCCAGTTGCTCCAGGCCGAGCCTGATGCCTCGTCCTTCCCCTCCGGAGGCATGCGCACCACCTTCGAGGCCCGTGGCTACACCGTCTGGGACACCACCTCACCCATGTTCATCCAGGAGGGCCCCCATGGCACCTCGGTTCTCTACATCCCCTCCATCTTCATCTCCTACAACGGCGATGCCCTCGATGAAAAGACCGTCCTCCTCCGCTCGACCGAGCAGATCTCAAAGTCTGCCAGCGAGCTCCTCAACCTCATCGACCCCGTCCCCGTCGGCGCCCAGCCAAAGATCAGCCACGTCCTCACCACCCTCGGAACCGAGCAGGAGTACTTCTTGATCGATCGCTCCCTCTACGCCCTCCGTCCCGATCTCAAGACTACCGGACGCACCCTCATCGGAAACCTGCCCCCCAAGCACCAGCAGATGGACGACCACTACTTTGGACGTGTCCCCTCCAAGGTCATGGCCACCATGTCCGAGGCCGAACTCGAGCTCTTCCGTCTTGGTGTTCCTGTCAAGACCCGCCATAACGAGGTCGCCCCTCAGCAGTTCGAACTTGCCCCCATCTTCGAGGAGGCCTCGCTCGCGGTTGACCACAACCTTTTGACCATGGACGTCCTCTCCAAGGTCGCACACAAGAACAAGATGAAGGTTCTTTACCACGAGAAGCCCTTCAAGGGCGTCAACGGATCCGGAAAGCACTGCAACTGGTCCATGTCAACGGACAAGGGTGAGAACTTGCTCGACCCCACTGTCAAGCCCGAGACCAACTACCGCTTCTTGCTCATCCTCGTCTCGGTCCTCCACGCTGTTCAGCAACACGGTGCTCTCTTGCGCACGTCCATCTCCTCAGCCTCGAACGAGCACCGTCTCGGCGCCTGTGAGGCTCCCCCATCGATCCTTTCTATCTTCCTGGGTCAGCACCTGACCGAGGTCCTGAACTCGATCGAGGAGAGCCGTCCCATCAAGAACTTCTCCATGCCCGAGATCCATACAATCAAGCTCGGAGGTACCGTCCTGGACGTCAAGGTTGCGTCCTTGCCCAGCATCGCCCGTGATTTGACCGACCGCAACCGCACCTCGCCCTTCGCCTTCACCGGTAACAAGTTCGAGTTCCGTGCAGTGGGCTCGAAGCAATCCCCTGCTTTCCCCGTCACGATCCTCAACGCCGCCGTCGCTTCGGCCCTCGGGGACGTCACTGCGGCCCTTCGCGAGCAGATGGGCGACAAGCCCTTCCCCTCGGACGCCGACAAGTTGGCGGTTATCAAGAAGTTCATTGCCTCGACCAAGAGCATCTGCTTCGAGGGCGATGGTTACTCCGATGCCTGGATTGCCGAGGCCGAGAAGCGTGGATTGCCCAACATCCGCACCTGCCCCGAAGCCTTTGAGCAGCTCCTCAACCCTGCTCACGCTTCCATGTTGACCAAGCTGGGCATCTTCTCCCAGACCGAATTGTCCTCACGCTACCTTATCATGAACGAACGCTATGCCAAGGACTTGCTGGTGGAGGCCAACACCATGCGCACACTCCTGGCCCAGCAGATCTTGCCCGCCGTGTTCGAATACCGCGGTAGCTTGGCCCAGTCCGTCCAGTTGTTGAGCGGTATCGAGGGTGAGGCCCAGTCTCCAGAATTGGAGGCCCTCAAGGCCTTGACTCCCGCCGTCAAGGAACTCCAGGCCGGAATTGTTGCCTTGGACGAGGCGATTGCCAAGTTGCACGCCATCCACGATGATCCCGTTACGGAGGCCAAGGCTGCCAGCGATTACATCATCCCTGCCATGCAGGCTGCTCGTGTTGCCGCTGATAAGTTGGAGGTCTTGACCGCTGACAAGTTCTACCCCATCCCCCGCTACTCTGAGTTGCTCTGGTTCTAGACGACCGCTTTTATTACCACACATATTCCACTCACATCCACACCCGCACACCCACACACCCACACATCACCTGAATAGATTGTAGCATAGTACAGCACTGAAATGAAGCACTTCGTTTGTAATAAATAAGCAATCCGTCTCGTTTTGTTTTATTTCTATTACTTTTTTTTTTTTTTTTTTTTTTTTTTTTTGCTCTTGTCTCTCGTTTAACACAATGGATATGGCAAAGTAAGGTGAAAGTAAAGTACAGGCAATGAAGAGTAAGGGGAAAGGCGGGGGGTTCTCTCTTTTTAACAAACTATGTGTGTTCGAGTAGGCAGTGCCTCATGAAAAGTAATCTCTTACGAATATAGAACGGCCTCTTCCATTGGCACATCAGGTAGCGGGCTACTCTGCTTTGGCTTTTCCTGATGCTGATCCTGATCCTGTGCCTCAGGCTCATCCTCGTCCATGCCAGTCGGCGACTCGAACCGTCGATCGTGCTCGGCCCCCAGAGTCTCCGCCTCCGTCTCCATTTCAGGCACCGTCGGCATACGTAGACCCTTCTGCGCCTCGTCTAGGTCCTCGTCCTCATCCTCGTCCTCGTCTATCATATGATCCTCCTGCTGTCTCTCCAAAACAGAGACCTTACTTGCCGCCGCGTGTGAACCGCTCCAATCCCCTGATCCTACTCCAGAAGATGAAGAATGCGCAGTATAGCCTGTAGATGGGGCCACGCTACTGACGCTGCTCAAGCTGGTGCTACTTCTCATACTGCTCCCGCTGCTACTGCGACTCGACGGCCCCACGCTTGCAATTCCATTGCTGGTATCGCCGATCGCCTTCAGGCTGTTGGTGTTAGGGTTCTGCTCCTTGTTCGCCGCTGCACCCGTACCAGCACCAGAAACGGTTGCAGATGCAGTCGCAGCCTTCTTCTGCGCCTCATTCGCAATCACAAATGCAACCGCCTTCTGTCCACACCCCTGTCCACCACCCCGTCCCAAATGCCTGCGGAGCGCATCCGGTCGAATAAACTGATGGTGACAGAACTGGCATTCAAAAGGCTTGATCCCTGTATGAAGCTTTGCGTGTCGATTCCGATCGTGCAATCTTGAGAACGCCAACGCACACACGTCGCACTTGTAAGGCCGCTCTGCCGTGTGCACTCGCATATGTGCCCGCAGATTGAACGGACGCGTGAAGCTCTTGTTGCAGTTCGGGTGTGAACAAGTATGGCTCGCTTGCCCCGCTCGACGTGTAGGCTTGCCGTTGTCCTCAGCTGCGTTGTTTCCGCTATCCTTGCCATTGTCATGGTGTTCTCCACCCTCCTTCTCCAAGTGCCCAGCGGCGTCTATGGCAGAAGATCCCAAATTCGACGATGAGCGAGGCTGCTTATCAGCAGGCAGGGCCGGCCCCTGTGTATCATGGTCATTTTTCGGTCGAATCGCACCCGCGCCTTCATATGTCCTCGCCGTCTTGCTCGCCGGTCCATCATGTGAAGACGTGTGGTAAGACCCTGATCGCTTCTGTCCCGCCCCAACCTGCTGCTGTTGTTGTTGCTGTTGCTGTTGCTGCTGTTGAACACCTCCATGTCTCGCTACCGCCTCATTCCCCTCCGCTCCCGACCCCGCAGGACTACGGCTCGGATCCTCCTGATACGTATACGGCACTGGCAGATTCAATCCGAACGAAGGCAGCATTCGATCGGATCGACGTTCCTCCTGCATATGCTCATAATGCTGCGGTGATTTCGTCGGGTGATCATACGGCGAAGGCGAAGACGGGTACCTGCTGTGCTGAGGGTGATGCATCGGCGATGTCGTTCGTGGTCCATTGACATTCGCACGAGGCGAGGACGAAGGCGAACGCTGCGCATGGTGATGCTGGTAGCTGTGATAAGACGAAGGGCTATGCTGGAGCGATGACCCCTCCCGATGATCTGGTTCCAATCGAATTGATGGCAATGATCCCGTCCGTGTTGGCTGAACATCAACCGGATGAAGATACCGTCTCGGTCCTGCAGAACCACTGCCACTCATACTCGACGACGAATGTGAGTAAGGATTTGGGTAAGACTCACGTAGCGGTGAGGGTGACCGTGTCTGGGCCCCATGGTGCGCTTGTGAATGTGCATGCATCGATTGTGATGTTGGCCTTGGACGGATATGCTGTTGCAATGGGCTGTGATGCGACGGAGGAGGTGAGGAGACCATGTGGCGTGGACCTGTGAGCGTAGGCTCATGGCTACCATGTCCATGACCGCTGCTGGGATCACTATGCTGCATATTATCATCGGATGTGGACTTGACATACATATTCCCGCTGGAGCCCCTTCCCTTCCTGGCCCGACTGTATGCGTCACGGATTCCATCCTTGAGGTTCTCATGGTATGGGGGCGCGAGAACAGGACGGCTCTCCGGGAGCCCTTCCTTGGGATGATACATCGCCGCAAACCCGTGGGGTGTACATGCAGCTTCGGCAAACATATGTCGAGGCAGTGCGTTGTGCGCATTATGAATGTCGACGGATGCCTCATGGTTTTCCAGCGTCTCATACATGGACATATTGCCCTTCCATGCCGCATAGTGCAGAGCTACAATTATATCCGCAAAAAAAAGGGAGGAATTAGAACAAAGTTATCCAAGGAACTCTTTTTTTTTTTTTAGCAAGAATGTTGAACTACAGCCCGCAACAGCCTCTTGGTTCCTTTTTTCGTACCTGTAAACCCGTTGCAATCTGCAGCGTTGACCTCGATGCGCTCCTTCAGCAAATAATCGACCAACTGATCCATCTCCAACACCACCGCCAGATGCAACATCGTATGGCGCTGTTGGTTTGGCTGCGAGATATGGGGCAGATCGCCCGCGTCCCTCAAAATGCTCATGATATCCGACTCCAGTTGCTTGCATGTCTGCGCACTCGGCGTAAAGGACTGCATCAAGCCCTTCGCCATCATCTCCGCCACCATCCGCTCCAGTTCCTCATCATCTTCGGGACTCATGTCATGAGACATCGGACTATGGCTCGATCGTCGGCGTGGGCTTTCTGCCATGGGGTTCAGTCGAGACCCACCCAACCCAGAACGCTGAGATCCCGAGACGTCGGATGAATCCCGGCGCGTGCTTCCACGGCGAACAATTCTCGTGGCTTTCGACCGCAAATCTCCCAGTCCACCCAGTCGCTGCTCGGTCGTATTATCCGTCGATGAATACGCAGATCCTGATCCAGATCGGTGAGGCTGTGGCTCATCGTCATAACTCTCGTGTCCCATGTAGACAATATCGGCAACGAGCTCCGCCAACACCAGCGCAGTTTTGTCTACATACGAGAATTGGACATCCGATGACATTTTCGTGAATGAAGAACTGGGAGAAAGTTTGGTGTGCATTCCAACAAAGACAACTGCAGGGTTGATCCTTGGTGGGACATGGCACGTCAAAACATCCGAGTGAAGGATCGTAACGTTCGTCGCTGGTAAGGCATCAAAGTACGGAATCCATCCAGCTGTAGAACAAGAAAAAAAAATGGTGAGTTTCTACCGTATAAGAAATAGAAAAGAGTCGTTCATGCATGCCTATCGATTCGTACTTCGGAACCCAGAGCCAAAAACAGTAATCTCAGTGCCTCCTAACATATCGCCAGCATCCGGAATAATCCTGCTGATCTTGGGTGCCATGAAGCTGTCGTTCCACGACTTTGCTTTTACAGGTGCGTATCCAGTATGCGGACCCAGTCTAGGTTCCGCCATAGATGCGGCATGTCCCTGACTAGGTCCCTTGTATGTCGGTCCAGGTCCGTGGCCCATCAACGGAGACCGACTTTCCTGGCTACTGTAGGGCTCCTTGTCCAATGTATGATGTCTCTGACGAACAGCCTCAACGCCCGTGGACGGTGGTTCATAAATCCTTGGGAGATGGTCTGCGGTATAATGCCGTGGGCTATTACTGTGGGATGAGTAGGACGGATGCTGAGACGCGTGCTGTGGGCGAGTCCCTGCGTTGTAGGGTTGCGCATGGCCATATTTGTCGAGTGGTTCGTCGGGTATAGAGTCTGGCTCCTCTGAATAGAACGATTGTCCCATGACCATGGCTGGAGGCGCACTGACTCCTAATTCTTCTTCAGCACGATTGGTTCGAGGCTTGGCTTCGGCCTTGTCCTCGCTGAAGGATGCCATGCTCTTGTTTTTGTGGTTTCCAGTGAACAGAATATCTTTGGTTCTACATGATCCAACGTGGATCTTTTGGCCGTTCAAATACTGCATCAGACTGAACTTGAAACTAAGATACCATAGTTGAAGAAAGAACCGAAAGACCGAATACATTAGTCTTCCTTCTCCTTTGAGTTCTAACTTCACTGGCTCATCGTCCTGCTACTGTAAACTTACAAGTAACGGTCGTTGTTTCCTCTCTTGTCGTGATGTGTTGAAGAGCATAGGACCTTAGCCATGACAGTCGATGTTCCATGCGTAAAGTCGACGACGTGATCAGCCACGCAGAATTGAAGGATCTGACCCGGATCCACATTGTCATTAGCCCCAGCCTTCAACGGCGCGCCTGGTCCGTTGGACGGCTTGCGTACTTTACCCTCGACCTAAGATAAAAAATCAAATGGAATATTCTCGCGTAAGTCCTCTAATGATCGAGAAATGTTGACAGTCTTGCTTCGACTGTTGGCAACGCATGAACACGTTTTCTGCCTCACCTTGTGGCAGCATTCTGGACACGCCTGTACAATGGCTTCTGAGCTTGCGAGATGGACAGTGACCTCGAGATAAAAATGACTCTCTGGGTCGCCTGTCAAGGGAGAGCGTACATCCTGCGACTGGTTCGATTGAAGATCCTGGTTCAGGGATGCTCCTGTGGAAGCCGAGTCTGTAGTTGTATTGGCTGCTGAGGCTACTGCTGCTGTTGTAGAGTCGGCCTGCCTTGCCTTTTGGTGGCCCTGGATCATTTTTCGAGGTAGAATGAGGGACATTGGGGTTTTGAAGGGCTCATTAGAGACCGATTTCAGATCTAGCTTGATCAAGAACTGCTGTCCTGTCCTGAAGGAGTTTGTGTCCTGATTCCGCTTATGAAATGTTGCGACTGTGAGTTGGTACTGTCCCGATGAGAGCGTAGCAACCGATGACTGCAGCGGGCCCCTATGAAAAAGAAAAGAAAGAGGGATAAGCAGAGGGCAACAGATCGGTTGCTTTGGCGTCAGTCCTAATGGCCCATTTGCCCAGAAGTGATACCAAAAAGAAAGAGCCAACTCTGGTCTTCCCGAACACAAACGAAGACAGCATCAACATCGACATGAGCGACAACAGCAACAGCAACAGCAACAATAACAACAACAACAATAACAAATATTTGCCGTTTGATACTGTCTGCTTCATGTTGCTGATCCCTACTAGGGGCGTTGTGGATGACACAATGGGCTGGGTAGCGGCGAGGGCTGTATGCATTTTTAAATTTGGTCCAATGCGCAGGATGGTCCATGAAAAAAGACAAACTCAAATAAATTCATCCCACACTAGCATCGTTGCGCATGCTAAGCCAGAAAGACCAAAGGATACTGCTGCTGTTCCTCCTCTTCCTTGCCAAGGCCTTCCATCAAAGTACAAAAGAAGCTCAAAGTAAAAAAAAAAAAATACCGCCATGTTGTTGAAATGCATGTATACGGAAGATTATTCACCGAACAGAATTTACGAACCTGAAGCTGAGGCTACTGCTGCTGCTTGTCTTGCTCGGATGACCATTGCTGTGGCTGTTTGTGTAGTGCCCACTGCTGTATTGGTTGTGGCTATACTCGATGCTGTCCATAGATTCGGACTTGCCTGTTGCTGATGCTCCTGAGTGTGCTGGGGCTGATGTTGTGGATGATGAGGATACATGCTGTTGTTGGTCGTCTGCGAGGGAGGCCTCGCTCATCAGCGGACTCGTGACAAGAACCTGGTGCGGGAGAATGAATTCGTGGTTCGGTGCCTCAAGCTAAGAAAAAAGAGGGTGAGAGAGACAGAGAGCAACCACACATATATACATAGTTTAGTATATCAAATAGTCAAATAGTCAATGGGATGGATAAAAAAGAGGGCGTTATCTTCTTTGGGATCAAATCATATCAATGGCCTCGATGCTAACAGCAGCGCCCTTGCATGAACATGAATATCGACATCAACAACAGCATTTTCAGGTGAGCTTTTCGCTGGGGGATGGAGTAGCAAATGGGCGTTGGAATCCGGAAGGATAAGTTCCTGGCTGACGTAAAGACACAAAAAAGCAAAAAAAAATCCTTTGACTTTCGCCCTTCGCCCTTTCGTTTCTTTGGTCTTCGCCATGGGTGTTCGGTGTGTTTTGGCCGCTTTGGTTTACATTGGACCGTGGTTCCGGTCAGCCTCCCTCGCTTCCATGCTCAAGATCAAGAATAAATTAAAATAAGATGGTGCGGTGTAATGAACTCCCTTCTTCCCTCAGTCCCTCCTTGTTGACAACAGCCAACAGCGGCGTATCTGTTATTGTTGAGCATTTGCGGAGGGGGATAAGAAGCGAGCCAGGGCCGACTGAGAGGGGAAAAAAAAGAAAGCGCAGCTGGATGGGTGAATGCATGACAATCTTGTTTTCCAGCAGGGCCGACAGCTTTTTTTCTTCCCGACTACTCGACTTTGCTTGCTTAGCCCCATGTCCCATTCTGCAGCTTCACTGTTCAATCCAATCCAATCCAGTCCAATCCAGTCCAGTCCACTCCAGTCCACTCCACTCCACAAAGAAAAAAAACAAAAAAAAAAACGGCCAAAAAGAGAAAAAGAGAGGAAAGGGAAAGCCGATTACATACGTTGTTCGCGGTAGCTGTGTTGGTGCCCGTGCCTGTGCTTGTGCTTGTGCTTTGGATAGGCCGCTTCGTGTGAGCAGTTGTAGTTGTAGCTGTAGCATCGGTGTTCCTTGGGTCTGTCCCTTGCGACGACGACGGGTGGTGGCGGTGGTGGTGATGGTGGTCACCGCCCTCTGGATGTGTGTCTGAGGCCATGTTAAAGCCAAGGGTAAAAATTGGAAAGAAAGAAAGAAAGAGAGAGAGAGAGAGAGAGAGAAGGGGAAGAGATGATACAGAGGAACAGAAACACAGCACAACGCAGGTAATAAAAATAAAAAATGAAAGATAAAAAATAAAATAAACGGGAAGAATAAAGACCCTCTTCTCTTTTTCAGCAGAATAGAACGAGCAATAGTAATGGCAACGGTAATAGTAATAGTAATAATAATGGTAATAATAATGAAAATAATAATAATAAAGGAAGGAAAAGGTATAACCCAGGCGATTGAGGCCACAGGGAAGGACGTCGATCGACACGTCGGACGAGGGATACGAAGAGCAGGACAGAGGAAAGAGGGCGGTGGAGTGGCGGGTCAGGTCCGTGTGGAGCGCGGGGGGTGAGGCGGGGAGATGGGCGTGGGGTGTGCAGGGCGGGATGGGCGATGGGGGAGTGCGATGAGGGATTGGAGAATGAGGGATTAGAGAAGGAGAGATCAGACAGAAGAGATGATGGCGAAGCGAGAGAAGAGAAATAAAGAGGAAGAGAAGGAGGGGGAGGGGAGGGGGAGGGAAGAAAAGGGAGGAGGGGGGGCTGAAGGGTGCTGCAATGGGAACGGGAAAACCAACCTCGCCTGAGGCAAAGGCGGCTGTGGCTGTGACCCACATCAACCGGACTCCCCCCTCCCCCTCCCCATACGCATCCACATATCGAATTCATTATTCCATCCAACCATGCGAGGGAACGCCAGCGCAAGAAAGTCGTGTGAACGAACGCCAACTGAGCCGATTCCTCGTTCCCCATCCTCGTTCGCATTTGTCTCCTCCCCCTTGTGGACCGTTGCAGCTTGCGAGGGAGGGCCAAAAGGAGCGAGCACAGTCCTTTGTCTCTCGATCGACCTCCATCGATATCCAACTTGTGCTCATGTCCCCAGGTAACCGGCCTGCCTCAACTGTCTCGCATGGCTCCCTTCACGACTATACAGGCAGAACGCATGGCTGTATATCGTATGTCGAATGTCGTATGTCGTATGTGGAGAGTAGATGACCAGCGTACTACATACCGACCAACGCTCACCGACCCCGCCCTCTTCTTCTCGTTCTACCCCAGGGATGTAACCTGTTCTTATTTCTTGTTTGTGTACCGTTTCGTCAGTACGAATTAGATTGCGTGTGTTATTTGTGTCATGCTGCTGCGGCGGAGACTAGACGAGTGGCGTGGCGGCACTGAGGGAAACACAGGAAAACACAGGAAAACAGGAGACACGGCAAGGAATAGCAGCAAGGCAGTAAGGCAGGGTGGGGCAAGATATTTTAAGGCATAGGGTGTGTATGTCTCTACTTTGTCGTAAAAATAACCAGGTTTCGTTTCAGTCAGACGCAGGGGGGGGGGAAACACGTACAGGCGTCTACAGCGCTGTACGGGGTCCAGCAGAATCGTGTTGAGGCATCTGCGGGCGATCGGGCCGGCTCGACCTGGCGCTGCAGACAGCCCCCTTTGCCGCCAAAGGATAACGCGCCTGAACGGAGGTGCGCCTCTTTCACCTCTTTCATCTGTAGAAACAAACGCCCGGTTGGCTACAGAAGCCCACCTTTGTTATTTTATGCAGCTGAATACTGGTAGCAGCCCCCATATCAGTATAGCCTCCTCCCTTGGCTGCCCCTTCTTTGATAAGAAGTGGCGTTACTCCCTGCTCCCGCCAATGTCGCATCCTGCCACTAAATGTCTCAGGAACAGCACACCGTTTGTCAGTGATCTTCTGGATACAGATCCTTCCTGCTGACACCAGCACAAGATGTCGATCCCTAATACCGCTTGTGTCCCTGGAGATCGACCCAATTTTCAGACCCGTCCAGCTTTTGTCTCCGACGGATATATAATTTTCTCGATGGCGCCATCAAAGTCCTCAGGACCTCAGGGAACTATGGCATCTTCACTGTCATCCCGGTTGTCAAATGAGATGAACCCTGAGCCACAGCAATCGAACCGAGTCTTCATTCGGTCAAAGACTCTCCTCTTTCGGCTCCTCGTGCAGATGTCGTTGTTGTACACATACATCCTGTATACAGGTATCACAGTAATGACCCTTAGCAGTAAGGACAAGCGCCAAAAAAGAATAATGAACGAGCTAACCTTGCATTATTTACAAGTGGGCTCCCACTGGGTTCGACACGTCGCAGGGACGGGCAGGCACGCCTGTGGATTGGACTCAATGCCGGCTCACAAGTAACCCCATCGGACAAATGGACAGATCGTCGAGCCCTTCCAAATGTGCTTTTGCCCTTTGCTGCTGGGAGTAAAAAGTAACCTGGAGCGCAATTTTAGTCCGTAATTGTTCGTCTAAAAATACATACCATGCAGCATGTAACATGCACCTGGAACCCGACCAGATCCACATTCCCTAGCCTTCCCTTGGCCTTCCCTGTCGTTTCATCAGCCTTGAGAGCAAGGGTTTCGTGTCGTTTATATAAAAAGCAACATCAACAACATCAACTGTGCTGTACATGTGCCCGTGCTTCGTGAATGAGGCCGAATGCATTGCTTGATTATCAATCCATTGGGTTCCTGTGGGACCAATCTCGACCAGTTACACATTTTATCCCCCTCCCACTACAAACCCTGCTTTGCTTCGGGATTCGCGATGCATGAAGAAGCAAGCCAGGCAGGAGCTGTGTTCTCCACTATAAGGAGGCAATCGATAGAGGATTGGTCACCTCAACTTTTCTCCCCCCTTTTCTGTTCATTCAGGACAACGAATGCAGTGCGGTGCTGTGCAACAACAGTTATGCATTCATTTCGTACTTCAAAGAGGTCATCGAGTTGCGTGGGAGTGTGTTACCAAAAAAAGTAGAGACTAAGGGAAGAATAATAAAAACCGCCGAGCGTAGACTACATGGTGTGGCCCTGCACGATTGATGCGGCTCAGTTCTTTGCTGCATTGTGCCACTGCAGCAGTGCTTCGTGAGAACCATTGCTGAGCATTTGGTAATGCGTGCAATGTTGCTGTGCCCATCGGGATCCATGGAGTTTGTTAACTGAAGAACAAAAAAAAGAAAAAAAAAAAGAGAGAAAAAGAGAGAAAAAGAGAAAAAAGAGAGAAAGAGAAAGGAGGAGAGGGCAGATGGTTATAATTGGCATGTCTGCTGCAGTGCTATGGAGGGAGGGAGGCAATGGGCGCAGGGCAGGGCAGGGGTGGCTGCAGCAGTGCTTGGGATATAGCGAAGAAGCAGGCGCGTGCAGCATTGGCGGAGGGGGGTCTGGGTGCGGATGTTGAAGACGACCTTGGCCCCGGCGGATGCGGTGCCTGGGTGCGCCGTGTGGAGTGCGTATCAGGGACGCGCGTGGGGTGCCTGTAGTCACTGCGTGAGCAGAAAGGACATTGTTGTTTGTTTACCAGTCTGCGTTCTTTTGTCCTCCTTTTCCTTCGTTCCCTTCCTGCTCCCCCTTTTCCTTTTCCCTCTCCCATTCCATCCATTCATCCATCCATCCATCCATCCATCCATCCATCCATCCATCCATCCCATCCGTCCCATCCGTCCCATCCCATCCATTCCATCGGCCTCTTCGCATCAACCCATCAACCCATCCACATCCCCCATCTCGATCCCCACTCACACCCACCTATACCCTCCCGTCCTCTTCTTCTCTCCTTCTCTCCTTCCCTCCTTCCCTCCTTCCCTCCCTCCGCCCCTCTTCCTGCAAGAGACCCTCTGTCCCTGCAGCCGCTTAAAGACACCTCCGCATGCCACTCTACGCGTCATTACCCTCTCCCTCCTGAGCAACCACTGTTACCGCCGCTATTGTCCCTACCACTCCTACCACACTCCCATCAACCAAAACACACACGGACTGGCTGTGGATCTGGTTCATGACCAAACAAAGGTACCGCCCCATTCTCTCTCGTCTTCACTCCTTCTCTTCCCCGACCTCCGTCGCTCACCTCTCTCACCCCTCTCGTCCGCTCCACAGATAGAACCACCATGCCAGCCACCCCTCCCGTACAGCCGCGTCGCAACAGCATGCGGACGCGCATCGCCTCCGCCGCCGCCGCCGCCGCCGCCATCAGCTCACAGTCCAACCCCGACTCTGCCAGGTCAGGCACAAGAGCCCAGCAACAACAGACTCAACAGGCGACGTCCCCACAACCAAGCTCCCCAACAGCTGCACGGAAAACATCACAGCCAATAATCCAACACTCTCGACCAGGACGCCCACGCAAGGAACCCGTGCCAGCTCCATTGGAGGATCCAGACAAGCCGAGAAAGGGCCGCGGGAGACCTCCAAAGACCAGAGAAGCATCTACAGAGCCTACAACGCCTCCAGCATCTGGATCATCGTCTGCGGAGCATGATGCGCAATCGCCGCCACCGTCATCACCATCCGCCAAGAACAAGGACAAGGATAAAGATATGCTAATAGACATTGACAAGGAAGACTTGTCTTCGACTTCACAGCCTGTCACGAGAGCATCTAGCGCTCAGCGACAGACTAGGCAACAATCGGCTAGTGCACCCAAGGAGACCGACTACTTTTCAAGGCACAGCAACGATAACAGCAGTAGAAACGGCAGCAGCGAAGCACTCGAGCAGTCGAGAGATCGTGCAGAGTCCAATCATTCTAACGGAGACCGCGAGATCGAGGAAGTCTCCAGCGAGTCAGAGAACGGGGATGGTGACGCAGAATCGGACGACGATCACCAGGAAAGGGAATCCACGAAAGAAAAGCAGCCAAAGACCACCTCGGCGCCCTTCAGGAGACGATTGAGGTCCAGTAGACTGATGCCGAGTGTTGCGGCCCATTTGGCCGTAGACAGTACCGGGCTAGGCGTAGATCACATCATGGACGAATATACCGAGGAGCAGCAGCTACTACAAGCCAATACCAATGCAGCAGAGGCGCTCACGCGGCTTTTTCGTCGAGGCATTGTGGAATCAGAGGGTTTGCACCCAGACATGGTGGATGCGCAGGATTACGAGCTAATCAGACATACGTTTGGAGGTAAGAGTCTGTCCATGTGCTCGATTTTCCTTACTTTTGTCACCAATTGACATGTCTTGCTAACGATCACCCTTTCTCTACTCTTCCTTTGGCAATCTGGACGCTGATCAGATATCGAGGAACTAAATTTCAATGAGGCAGAGACATTATCAGCACCCGATGAAAGCAGCACCGAGGATGACGAGCTCACAAGGGAACTAAAGAGAAAGCACCGGAGAGGAAAGCGGGAACTGATGGACACCTCTGCAGAATACAAGGCGGTCAAACAAAGGTCAGTAGACTTGCAAACGAACACCTGTCTCCTCACTCTTGAGAATTCTATACCTGACCAAGTAATAACCCCTTTGATCGACTATTTCGATTTTCCTCGGTCTACAGTATGGCGATCAAGTTGAGTGCCCAACTGGACGCAGAAGAGGCCCAGATCAATGCTGGAACCCATCCCGACCTTTTGGCAGAGCTTAAGGCGATCGAGAACAGACGAGAGGCACGAGCCAGGGTTATGAAGGCTCAAAAGGACTACGTCCAGCGAATGTGGGATATCAACTTTCAGGCTGTGTGCAAAGCAGCGCACGATCAATACCGCGTATGTTTATGAACAGGGTCCAGCCATTGCATTATACACATGATAATTACTGCACCAACCTGACTCATCTTTCCCTCATGTCATTGCAGGTCGACAAGGATGCAGCACGAAGAAACATCATAGAGCTGGTGCAGAAGCGGATGAACCGAATCAGGCAGGAATTGGCACAGAGCAGGATAGCAGAAGGAAAACCACCTATGCGACGCTTGACCTATGTTCGGACCGTAGATGCCGCCGAATACGATTCTTGCGGCGAAAGCTGCTCCAGCTACGACTCGTACACCAGCTCAGGATCAGATTGCAGTGATTGTGAGATCTGCAGGCCGACTCCGCAGCTGCAGATTCCTCAACTAAAAAAACCAAAAGGACTTAGCCGCAAGGAAATCGCCGTCGATCTTGGATTCTTGTATCCAGAATTGGGTCCCAGTAATTCTCGTCGCAACCCGCCCGATGATACTACTCCATCTCGTGATCGGCCAGGATTGTCTCGGCAGTACAGCTCTGACGGCGAAGAATATTCTCATCGACAGAAAAATGGCCGTAACCAGCAGTACATGATCGATCGCCTAAATGACGAGAGGCGCAGGAAACGGCGGGTGTTAGACCGGGAGATGCAGAACAAGGTTATCTACACCAACCACACAGGCGAAGGGGGTTTAGCCAGAGACATGGATCTAGACCAGTACCAATACCAGAACCCCGATAATACCGAGCGCGAGCCATCTTCCACCCGACCCGCCACTGAACCCGTCTCTCGCCCTCATTCCCCAAACCAAACCCGAGGCGTAGCACGACCCTCACCACACAATAATGACAAGGTTCACCAACCACGCTTTCTGCCAGGGTTCAGCCCAAGCGGCATGCAGCGTGCAAAGAGACCTAAGGACCCAATACCGGGTACCGGAGTGATGCAAAGGTTCCGATTCCGTCCTCAGAATCGTTGGGAGCAACCTGCCAATCGCTGGGATCCACAGGATTTTAGTCGCTATGGGTCCCCGACATCATTGCCTGCCAATCAAGAGGACCGGCGCCTGTTCTCGCTCGTGGATAGAGAGGCTGTGAACGCGCACGGAGGTGGAGGTCGCTCAGGAATGCAAGATCCGTTTTACCTCGATCTGAACAGCAGTCATCCAGGAGCAAATCAGGGTCCTCGGCCACACTTTGTTCGGCATATTCCCAACACTGGCGAGCCGCATGAGGCCCCTATACGAATGGTGAACTTCGGTTCGGATCCGCGTAGCCCAGTACCACCACACGGTTCACCCCACCACTTCGCTGCGCGGCACGCCCCGGATGATGTGTATCCGTATGATGGAGACCGGAAATCTCGATTCAGACATGCGTTTGCGCCCCGGAAGGGCCCACCCAATCCTCCCTACCCGGCATGAGTGTGTGGCGACAAGTCTTGAGAAAAAAGCCTCTGGGAGTAAAATCTCTGATGGACAAAACTGAGTTGCCATCAATATCGGGGACCCAATAAAAAGACATGAGGGTCGCGCCTCTCTTTTTTTTGTTCGAGCGCCAAAAGAAAGAAAGAAAAAAAAAAGAAAAAGAAGCTTACGCTATAAGCTTGCTATGCCTGTACATGTGTCGTTTTATTTGAATATTCGAACGTGAGAGATTGGGTTGTTTTCTACAGCGTTCTATCGCATTGTCGATTTTGGGATTGCCTTTGTATTCAAGAGTCCAAGAACCCAAATTGATCTTGGACCATATGCTCAGGACTCAAGGGAGAGACCAGTAGACTGAGCCAGAGATGCATACTCAACATCTGCTGACTGGTGCCTAAGCGGTTGGCCAAGGTTGCACTGGTAGGCCTTGAGCATGTCTTGGCCAGCTGGTTGCTACAAACGCTGTTAAAGCCTTGATGAAGCGCAACAGGTACAGATAAGGGGGCAAACGGAGGTGATAGTGGTGCCACTGGTGGTGATGGTGATGGTAATGGTGACGATGCTGCTGCTGCTGCCGGAGCGCTTCCAGCTCTAGGTTTAGTTCCTTTGGGGTTGCTCGCCGAATGGACGCCCTCGGAGAAGGCTGTACAGGTGCTCAAAAGCGGAGGGTGAGGAGATGGGGGGACAAGAAGGTTTTTCATTGATGCTGAACGAGGACTGGAAGCGCCGCGAGGACTGGAAGCGCCGCGATGGCTGAAATGCTGCAGTTGCGGAGAGGTCGCGAATGCGTTGGCCAATGCTGTCGAGATAGGAGACAGCGTAGGACGCCGATGAGCTGAGCCCGAAGAAGTCAGACGATGATAGCTGTATCCGGGAATAACCTGGACCCGTTGACGGTCAACCCATTCTTGAGCCTTACGATCTTCCAGGAGAAGTTCTTCCGCAAAGCAAGACCGAGCAGCCGCGGCCCATTGACGCACAGCCCTCGGGACCTTGTTCTCGAGCGAGAGAAGCTGTTGCATCATGCGTTTGTCCTGTCGAACGGATTTGGAGGTCGAGGTCGAGGGATCTACAGACGAGGGGGTGGCACTTTCGGGGGCGGTCGTGGTTTTGTTTGGGGTTGTAGTGGTGGTAGTGGTAGTGGTTGTTGTGGAAGTAGATGGCGATTGATTGTTGTTGGTCTTAGCAGGCATATCCGTCCCATTGCTGTGTTCATCTTCGTCTTCGTTCTCTTCAGGAATCGACATAGACGACGGACCGCGACGGATGGATGCGCTCTCCGATATACTGCCACCGCTGCCGCTGCTGCCATTGATTTGAGCCGTAGTAGCTTTGTTGTGCTTCTGTGCTCGGGCCAACCGAGCAACGCGCATCTGGTAAGCATACACGTCCGGTCGGAACTCCAACCCTCCGGTCGGCTGCCCACCCAGGTTCATCTTCAGCTGCCTGCGCTGACGACGGGGAGTGGTCGCACGAGTACTAAGAAAATCCATGGTCCAAGCAATGTGCATCGCCCGCAACACCGGTGGCAGTGGTAGACTGGCTGCGCCTAGAAAGCACAGCTCCTGAGGCAGAGGCAAGTCCTTAGCGCGGTGTAGGCGTTGCTGGACAAGGCCTGAAAGTGTGGATTCGTCGGAGATCAGCAAAGAGTCAGTCGTGGTCGTGGTGGTATCTGCGGACACTGCTGCCGCTGGTGGAGAAGTGGATTCAGCTGGGGTTGCGGAGGGGTTTCCATCGCTCTCGAAGGGGAAGATAGAGGACATAGGAGTACCGCATGCTGAATCGTCGTACTGGAACTTTGATGGTCGAATCGATTTTTGTCGCAGCGCCTTGAACACCAATGTCGGAAACAAATTTGCTAGCATAGCTGGGTAGATCCTTGGAGCAGCGCTGCTGCATTGATTTTCGGACACTGTAGACACTTCAGGCACTAAACAAGGACCAGCCTTGTTCTGTCCCTCACGCTTTTGCTTTCGCTGGGATTTGGGTTCGCGTTGTCGGCCCGTAACAGCAAGTGTTCCGAAATGGACGAGTTCGTAGATCGAGAATCGACCCTGAACGAGCTGTCCATCGCAGGTGACCCTGTACCGTCCAATTTCTCGAATGTTATTCCCGAGAATCGCGCCTAATAAGGCCAGATCCAGTACACCCTGTGGGCCATAGGTCGAGAGGGCTTGTTTTCGAAGCTGGGACTCGTGCCGGATCATCGGTACCTGAGTCTGAGTCTGAGTCTGAGTGTGGGGATAGGCGACGATGCTGGTAGATCGTGCCATATTTTAGGAACTGCGTGTCGATGGAATAGGCAAGGCAGTAAAAGGAAATGAGAGGAGGAAAATAAACGTTAGATGGAGTATGAAAGAGAGAGAGAGAGAGAGAGAGAGAGAGAGAGAGAGAGAGAGAGAGAGAGAGAGAGAGAGAGAGAGAGAGAGAGAGAGAGAGAGAGAGAGAGAGAGAGAGAGAGAGAGAGAGAGAGAGAGAGAGAGAGAGAGAGAGAGAGAGAGAGAGAGAGAGAGAGAGAGAGAGAGAGATAGAGAGAGAAAAGCAATGAGAAATGTCGAAGGGAGGCAATGTTGGCGCGGAACAGAATGAGAAGGGTAATAAACAAAGAAACAAAAAAGTTTTCAAACAAACAAAGAGAAGAAAGGACCAAAGAAAGAAAGAATGAAGGAAAGAAAAAACCAGGAAACCAGGAAAACAGGCAGCCAAGATGTAGCCCGAAAACGCGGAAAAGGGTCGTTATCTCCAAAGCAACAAGAAAAAGAGTGAGAGAGAGCCAGAAGACGGACGAAAAAGGATAGGCGGAATGAATGGACAAGGACGTGCAGGAAAGTACTTCAAATTATATGCAAAAAAAGTGTCGAAATGAAAGAAAAAAAAACCAGCTTGTGTTCAAGAAGGAGCAGAATTTATGTGAAAGCCAAAAAAGGTACATTGCTGGGGTAAAGGATCTTCGCGGACAAACTATTTTTGGGCACATTGGCTGACTGGAAGAAGCTAATCAGATCCTCGTTTCTATTATTCGCCAAAAAAAGAAGAGGGAAAATAGACATATTCCTCGATTGGTCGTGTGCTTTTTGTTTAACAAAGAGGAATGGGATTGTCTACCGACGAAGCGGATGCCAAACAGACAAGCAATTGGATCAGATTGGTTACCCTTGCAATAGAAAATAGATGAGCAGTGTGCTAACCTATAGTTTCTTATTCTCACATTTTCTCTTTCTCACTTCTTCCTCAACATTAGTACATTGTAACGGTGCGTGTAAGGTCCAAAGAGAGAGAGGGACGAAAAAAAAAAGGATGCATTGTGCTCGTCAATCCCTTGAGTGTCTGAGGCTCTCCAAAGGAGCTTCTCGTTACCTTGTATCGAGTGTGATCGAGTCTCCAAAGGATAGAATTACGCAAGGGTTCAAAATGTTGCTGGTAATAGGACGACAGAAAGGGGAAAACGACGATGATGGCAATAACAAGGAGGAGGAGATCGATGAGAGGGACAGAGGGGAAGGAAGGAGAAGACGACAATTGATGTTCCGGAACAACGGATACTGCCAAAGACACGACAGGATAAGCAAAGAAGCGGAGGAAAATAGTTCAGCAGAAGAATGAGCGAGAAAAAAGTGGTGGAGTATGACCTTGATTATATATGAAGATGAGGATGAAGAAAATGAGTGCACACCGCGTTTCTGTTTGAGCTTGCACTAGATAGAGTGGCCAAGTCGCCTTTCGTCCCTTTGCTGCGCGGGAGAACGGTCGATTACAGCAGCGAAAGTGTAATGGACTAATCTACATCTAAGCTGTCTGTAACGGAGTGGCAGCCCGATCGTAACACAATTTCATTTCTGATTGAATAAATTGCAATTTCGCGCCAAAACGGTGCAGCGGTCGCTTTCGACCCGCGGTCCCTGAGCGAATTTAGCCTTTTATTTCTAATAGCCTTCGTGAATCAGGACCCTTGTATTCCCTTGACGAATGAACACAAGGAACACAAAAATATGCTTTATTAAAGAACTCAGCCGCGGGGCGGCTCCGTGTCCAGTCCGCCTCTCCCCTCGCCCGTCTTTGATGATTGCAGGGGATAAGAACCTGAGAATCGCGTTAGTTTTCATACACATATGAGTAAATAAAGAGTGATTGGAGTCTGTTGGACTCCTTTCATTAATCTAGAATTGAAAATTTGCCATTTGTTCTTGTCGGAAACAGAAGGGGTTGGATGCAAAATGCAAAGGAAAAGACTAAAAGAGAGAAAAGGAGACGTCTGCCTGTTTCATTCAAGTCTCCAGGTGCTATTTACTTAATTTTTGGATGTGATAGAGAGAAGCCAAGAAGACAGTTCAAAATAGCATTCAATAATCGGCACCGAAAACTGGTAAGCCAACACGATGGAGACTTCGTTGTCGTAGTACTTAAGTAGAACGGGTAGATAGGCAGGATAGACATAATAGACTCCAATTGAGAGCGTCCATTAGACCACAATTGTCAAGAGATTATTCACTTATTACTTTTCAGAGGTAAGATCTCTTTTTGTTGCTGCCAGTCCCACACTGCGACTTGTAGAAAAAAAATTACTCTCGACCCTGTACTTGCAATATAAGAATATCAGCATGGATGGAGTCAACGCTGGAAAATTGAGATCGGCATTTGGATAAGAGTCGAATCAGGATATCCTCGTTGATACGGGCCAAGGGCTGGATATGAGAAACAAGAAGCAAAAGGGGTGAGCTAGGGCAGGTCTTCCTCTCCCCACATCTCTTTATTTTTTTATCAGGTACCATTTTCTGGACGTGGCTGTCTCTCGAACACTCCCCTTCCTGCGATCCTGGGTGCCATGCAGCGTTAACAAGCGTCATTCACTTTGCAAAAGACGATTCCTCTGCCGTCCTTCCGACACATCATCATTAAACTCAAGCTGTGCCTCGAACCAGCGCGCTCATCAATGCGATGGATACAGACGCAGGCGTTCCTCTTGGGCAGCCAGTTCTAGCGCCTGTTTCAAAAACGATTTTCTACGGTGTCCCGTGAATATCACCATGATCAGATTCTTTGACAACCCCAGTTCTGCGATCACTATCACCGCAGCAACAATGATGCGAGGATAACTAGTAGAGTAGAGTATTTAGTTTAGCACATTCAATAGTTCAGCTTTACCTCGGTAATGCCGGGCTATGCAAAGGCACAAAGCTTGATCCGTCCACCTCAGGATCCGATACAACCGTTGCATGCGATTTAAGCATGAAAGCACGCGTTTTTCAGGGTCTGGCTTGAAGCTTAAGAAATTTTACGCGTTTCTCACTGGGGACACAGGGGAACAGGACTACATAGCAGAAGCTGGATCGACGAATAAAGTGGATAGATTGCGAGACGAAGTTGGCTTAGGAGCGCATTCCCATAGTGCTCTTAGTAGTGCTTTTTTTTTTTTTTTTTTTTTTTTTTTTTTTTTTTCTTTCTGAAGAAAATATCATCTTGAGAACACAGTGGTTCAGGGCAATTGAGAGGAGAGAGCGCGAGGGAGGGAAAGAGGGAGGGAGAGAGAGAGTCCTGGCTAGCTTTCTGACCAGGAAATGCCATGGCGGGTGTACGGTCATATGTGGTGCTGTTCCTGTGCTGTCCCTGGATCGGAAAGATGACGCGCGTGTGCAGCGCGACGGGGGCGAGGGAGTTGACCCGCGCACGTCACCGCGACCTCATTTGAGAGAGACACTGCCGATTAGCGCTCGAGGACTGCAGTGCCTATTTTGCACCAACCATATGCGACCAACCCCAGAGCATCCTCCGTCCTTTATCTCGCCTCTTCCTCTTCTCCCACCCCACCCAAACACCGAACCCTACTTCCTCTTCCTCTTCCTCTCCCTCTCCCTCGGAGCTCATTCGCCGCGACAAGAAACCGAATCAGCCCTCGTGCCATCTCTCTTCCACCCTCATGAGCAAAGCAGCCCCCATAGCGGTCTATCACGTCCAGCTTGACGACGACGGTTCGCCAGCAGAGCACTGCTCGGTAATCGATCAAGAAACTCATTTGCACTCCCCAGAAATGGACATTTGGAAGCAGCTCAAGACACTAACAGGATCTTGCTCAATTGATATGTGATATGTAATGGGATGTGTGATCCCCTTAGTACTATCGCCTTCCTCCACCAGACACGCCCTACATCTTGCGCTTCAAGGTCATTGCGGGATCATTGGCATCAAACCAGGGCATCCTCTGGACAAACTATCCTCCAAAGGGGTGAGTTTACAACTGCGTTCGCAATTGCTGTCGCTACCCCTTTCCTCAAAGCAAAATGCTGTCATTCACATTCCCGCAACTTACATAAATCGTCTCACCCCTGACCTTTGCTCTATCTCGCGTCTAAATCGCTGTATTAGGAAACCATTCAAGCGCAATGAGTTCTACGAGCATCGGTAAGATAAAAATGGCCATTATACGAGAAAGTGAAAAAAAAAAAAAAGCTTTGGGGATGTCAATCATTTTTGGGTTTCTCTGATCTGCGGAACGATGACTAGGACGTCAACTGGACTGAAAACCTCGGACTGATCTGCAATGCCCTGGATAACCTTCATTTTATCTATAGTTTCGCTGGGACAGAGCCCGAATGCGATGTGATGATCACTGGAGCAGGCGTTTACGAGTATTATGTCGAGCACTCACCCTACACCCAGGACGAATCTGTTGTTTGGACCCGCTCCAAAACGGGTTTCTTCGTCGTTGATCCGCAGCTGAAGTTGAGGAGTCGAGATGGCTCGACCGGGGCCCTGTCGCTCCCGCTGGAAGGCCTAGTCATCGAGTCCGTGGTGCCAAAATGGATGGGCAAGCTGTCTGAATGGAAGCCCCATTTGGAGACCATCTCAAAATCTGGATACAACATGATCCACTTTGTGCCGTTGCAGTACAGAGGTATCTCTAACTCGCCCTACTCCATTTTCGACCAGCTGAGGTTTGACCCAAATCTATTTGAGGAAAAGGATCAGGACAAGAGTGAGGAGGACCAGCGCGCCATCGTCGCGGATGCCATTAGCGAGATCGAGATAAAGTATGGCGCCCTTTCGCTGACAGATATTGTTTGGAACCATACCGCCTGCAACTCGGTATGGCTCTGGGACCATCCTGAATCAGGTATGTTGACTTGCAGTTGCTTCCCCTCTTTTAAAATCGGATTCTTCTCGACCTCCATGCCTTCATGGTTAACCTTGTTTTTTTCGTGTGTGTCTAACGTTCAGTGCTTGCATCCGGTTCATGCTCTAGGCTACAACTTGCACAATTCACCGCATCTGATCCCTGCCTTCGAGCTCGACACCGCACTCCTCAAATTTTCTGCAAAGATTGCCGACCCCTCGACCCCCTTCGTCTCTGACATCAAAACGGAGCAGGAGCTCGCCGTTATCATGACAGAGTTACGCAAAACTGTCTTCAATGATATCAAACTGTGGGAGTTCTACGTCGTGAACGTCTTATTCTCTGTGGAGGAATTCAAGGAAGCGATCAAGGCAAACGCTGCGTATGCCCGAGATCTGTTTGACCAGAGTGCCCTGCAAAGGATGTCCCTGAAGGATCGGGCTGCTACACTGGCCGAGGCTGCGCTGACTGGCGTCGGAACTCATGGCCACCGCCACCACAAGAAAATCACGACGTCCGTGGCGCTGTCGTTCATGTCTGCGTTGCTCAATGTCGATTTCACAAATTCCAAGGGATTCTCGCTAGAGAGTGCTTGTGAAGAATATGAGACGGTCCTAAACGAGGTCAACATAAACTTTTACAAAGCGTATGACAAGGACGTAGACACCATCGTCACCAACATTGAGAGCCGTGTTAAGTACATCCGCCTTGACGAGCATGGACCCAAGCTTGGCCCTGTTACAGAAGAGTAAGGAACTTTGGGGTTAAAAAAGCACAACAACAACAACAACAACATACCATCATGGCATGGCGGACTGATAGAGACATCTAATATCCCACTTTATATTGTCACATTCACGTAGAAACCCCTTGGTGGAGACTTACTTCACTAGGTTGCCCTTGAACGAGCGAACCAGGGAGCACCCTCCCGGTTCGTTAGCGGTGGTGAACAACGGCTGGATCTGGAACGCAGACCCCCTGCAGGACTTTGCAGGCCCAGGCAGCCACGCTTATCTTCGAAGAGAAGTCATCATTTGGGGTGACTGCGTCAAACTTCGCTACGGAAAAGGGCCTGTATGTTTTCTATTAAACTCCTTTCACCGGCTTCTGTGGCCATGAACGCAGGCTGGCACTAATGATACGGACCTTCTGGACACATTCTCAGCACTCTAACATCGACGTTTTGTTCTTCACGCTTGCCCTTCCATAGGAGGATGTACCATGGCTGTGGGAGCGCATGAAAGAGTACACAATTCAATCCGCACGTCTGTTCCACGGCTTCAGAATCGACAACTGCCACTCAACACCTATCCACTTGGCTCAATACCTACTGGATGCTGCGCGAGAGGTGCGCCCGAACCTGTACGTAGTTGCCGAACTGTTCACAGGTTCTGAGGAAATGGACATTCGTTTTGTCAGCCGCCTTGGTATCAACTCGCTCATTCGAGAGGCCATGCAGGCGTGGGATCCGCGCGAGCTCAGCCGTCTTATACATCGTCATGGCGTTAAACCTGTCGGTATGAATCATTTCTACGACTAATATTGGCGCTTGTTCTACAAATCCTTTGTTTTGCAATTACTAATCGTGTCACTGCACCATCCTCTCACAACATCGCACTATTATTGCTTGTAAAGGCTGCATGGATCGGGCCAGTCTTTGCGAAGATGTGCCATGGACTGGACCAGATGGCAAGACTGTTCCTAGCAGAGTCATGCCCTTGGTTGGGTCCCATCCACATGCGCTCTTTATGGACTGTACCCACGACAACGAAACTCCCAACCAAAAGAGACGTGCAGAGGTAGGAATGCAGCTCCGATGGCAAGATAAGAAATATCGTATCATAAGTAGATGTATTCTAAACTTCATTTATGCCTTTATTTCTATCTAGGATACTCTATCAAATGCTGGGTTGGTCTGCATGGCCTCCTGTGCTATCGGGTCCGTGAAGGGATACGACGAGCTGTACCCCACTTTGCTGAATCTGGTAACAGAAAAGCGCCACTATGTCACATACAAGGATCCTATGAATGTCGGCATCTGCAGTGTCAAGGCCAAACTCAACAAATTGCACACAGAAATGGCGCTCCAAGGCTTTGAGGAGGCTCATGTACACCATGAGAACGAGGTAGGAGATTGCGATAGACATCGACCTGGATGACGAAAGGACCTTACATGCACGTGTTTGTCTAACCTTTACTGTGGTTATCGACAATGTCGTAGTACATCATTGTTCACCGGCAGCAACCAACGACTCTTAAGGGCTACATTTTGATCGCTCATACATCATTCTATGACAACCCAAAGAAAGGCGATATCATACCAATCAAGTTACGTGATACCGGGGCAAAGGTAGTGATGTCCGTTGGCTTAGAGGTCACCTCACGCACAGTGGAAAAGAGCGAAAAATTCTTGCAGGGCCTTCCTTGCAAACTTGTGCAACTGGAACAGCCCATGATCTCGAGACATAGGGATGCTCAAGGAGCCTATACTCAAGTAGATATTCCAGACCGGTTCCCTGGAGGAAGCATCATCTTGTTGGAGACCACTGTAGACAGCAAAATCCCCGCCAACATTGAAGAACTTGTCAAGACCATTCCAGACTCAGTGCTCAGCAGCCTGCAGTGGGTCGAGCTCAATATTGTCCTTTATCGTTGCGACGGTGAAGAGCAGGATTTGACACGTAAGTTTATTGGCAAGGACATACGAAAGGGGACAAGTCTGATGGATATTTGACTTATCGTACGTTGATGTTAATGACGAACCATAGCTGGCAATGGTGTGTACAACATTCCGAACCATGGGTCTCTTGTCTATTGTGGACTGGAGGGTTATGTCTCTGTACTGAAGTCGATCATCGAGACAAACGACCTTGGACATCCTTTCTGTGCACATCTGCGCGATGGCCATTGGGCTTTGGACTATGTTTGCGACCGTATCAAGAGGTAATTGCTCCCCTCCTCGATGGCGATGAGCTCTGTTGGTATTTGGATAAATTGGCCACTAAATATCTGTTACTGACATTAACAATTTTACTGTAGACACCTTGACCTCTTCCCTGCGCTGTCTGGACTGCACGAATGGTACAGGGATCGCATGGATGCCATCAAGTTGCTCCCCAACTATCTTGTGCCAAGATACTTTGCCCTTGCTATCATGACTGCATATGAGGCCGCACGGAAACGCGCGTATGCTCTGATGACGCCCCTGATCCAGAACGGAGACTACTTCACACGATCACTCAGCTTAACTGCATTGCAGGTTTACAGCTTTGTGGACTCTGCGAGCTTGCATCCAACCAAGAAAATGCCATGCCTTGCTGCTGGGCTACCGCATTTCACCTACCGCCACATGCGCACCTGGGGACGCGATGTGTTCATCAGTTTGCGGGGCATTCTCCTGGTCACCGGACAGTACCAGGCTGCGAAAGAGCATATTCTCGCCTTTGCCAGCAGTCTTAAACACGGGATGATCCCTAACCTCCTTGACAGTCTGAGGTTCCCTCGATATAACTCCAGGGATTCTGTCTGGTGGTTCTTTCAGTCCGTCCAGGACTACTGTACCCTTGTCCCGAACGGAGAGGACATTCTCAAGGAGTCGTTTGCTCGTCGTTTCCCTGATGGTCAGACCTTTGTCGACTATACAAGCGAGGAGGCGTATTCAAAATCTGTGACATTGGAGGATATTCTCACTGAGATCCTCGTAGCCCATGCCAACGGCATCCACTATCGCGAATGGAATGCTGGTACACGTCTGGATGAACAGATGTCCGACAAGGGCTTCCAAGTGGACGTGGACCTAGATTTTAATAACGGTTTTATCACAGGAGGCAGTGTGTACAATTGTGGAACCTGGATGGACAAGATGGGGGAGAGCGTAAAGGCTGGCACGAAGGGGGTCCCAGCTACACCTCGTGACGGCGCCGACGTCGAGATCATTGGCTTGCTAAAGTCATCGCTTCGCTGGGTGATTGATCTTCACAAGAGGAACAAATTCAGTCTTTCGGAGATCCAGATCAAAGAGACACGCTTCAAGGGTGTCCTACGGTCCGCACGGACTCTCACAATTGTGGAATGGAACGACCTCATCCAGCAAAACTTTGAAAAGTACTTTTACGTTCCGGAAGACCCAGTTCAAGACCCTGAGTATGTGATCCGCTCGGAGCTCGTCAACCGCCGCGGCATGTACAAAGACACGTACGGCTCAATCACGCCCTTCGCGGACTATCAGCTTCGACCTAACTTCCCCGTGGCTATGTGCGTCGCGCCTGAGTTATTCAACAAAACACATGCCCTCAAGGCCCTGGAATTGGCAAAGGACGCCCTCTTGGGACCTCTTGGTACGATCCTACCTCATTGATTGTGAGCTGCTTTTATCTGGCGCTGCGAAGTTAGCTTCTAACACCTTTCTTTGTCCCTACTACAATTAGGTATGCGAACATTAGATCCTAACGATTGGGCATACCGACCAAACTATGACAACCAGAACGACTCAGATGACAGGATGATCGCTAAGGGTTGGAACTATCATCAGGGACCAGTAAGAGAAGATGCAGTTTATGACAGTTGTTGTCATCATGAACGATAATGTGTTGGGCGCATAGTCATATCTAACCCCTTACTGTACTTGTGAATCCCTGATACTAGGAATGGCTTTGGTGCACTGGATACTTCTTCAGAGCATACCTCATCTTTAAAGTACAGTGCGAACCAGAGAAGGTAGGCGCACAGTGCTGATTGATTACACTGGTTGTCTGAAGATCATTACGTTTTTTGCTTGAACAAACCATAACGGTCTATTTAATGAACCATCAACTGCATAGGCCAAGGATACAGTGTTTCAGCTTCACCGTTTGATGCTGCCGCACAAGGCCCAACTCGAGACGAGCCCCTGGGCTGGATTGGCAGAGTTGACCAACTTGAATGGGGCAATCTGCATGGATGCATGCCAGTCGCAAGCATGGTCTTCCTCGACACTCTTGGATCTGCTTTACGATATCGAGAAGCTGCGTCAGGATGGGCACTTGAAGCATTAAGCGCCCATCTGGAGCGTCTCCAATAGCACTATCAGTTTAGAAGCGTAGTCTGCAGTGTTTCTTCGTAGTATACAGACATGTAGCTTGGTGGATTAAAGTAAAAAAAAAACTGAGTGCGTTTTTTCTTTCTGGTATGTCTGTGCGCAGTTGAGCAGATGGACGTTTTGTGCCTGGAAATTGTGGGAAAAAGCCACAGTCCCTCTCTCGCAGAGTACTTCTCAATGGTGAGCGTCTTTATCATTCAAGACGATCAGCAAGGGCGCACACAGAGACACAAACATCCAGGATCGGACACTGAGGACGACAGACCAGAGCACAGGAAGCGGATCAGCAACTGGACACGCATAACTATCACGGTTGGGACACATTTTCCCCTTACCCTTGTACCTCTCAGACTTTACACCGTCATCGCACGCATACGATGCTTCGGATGCCCAGATTCGACATCACTTTTCGGCAGCTAATCTTTGCCAGTATCGCACTGCATGTTGTTCTGCTTGTCTACGGCCACTGGCAAGATACGCATCTCGTCGTAAAGTACACAGACATCGACTATGTTGTCTTTACAGACGCTTCGCGCTACCTCACCCAAGGACAGTCTCCGTACAAGCGCGCCACCTATCGATACACGCCCCTACTCGCCCAGCTGTTGACGCCCAATATCTATCTTCACGAATCCTTTGGTAAATGGGTCTTTACTGGAGCGGATCTGCTGATCGGCGTGCTGATTCAAAAGATCCTGCGTCTCAGAGGCATGTCCGAATTGAGAGCCGTCAAGTACAACGCCATCTGGCTGCTCAATCCTATGGTTGCCAACATTTCAACCCGAGGCAACGCTGAGAGTGTCATTGGCGCCATGGTCTTGGGCTCCTTTTACCTGATCATGAAAAAGCGGATAGGCTGGGGTGCCTTCCTGTACGGACTCAGCGTTCATTTCAAAACCTATCCCATCATCTACTCCATTGCGCTGCTGGTGATGATGGATGACGGATATGGAGAGTCGCAGGGCGAGGTCGCACATGATAGACGGGATGAAAAGGAGCAGGAAACCGTACGGCAACTCAACGGTGAACAGAGCGGGTCCAGAAATTCCAGCAACAACATCGTTCTCAAGACCGTCAAGGGCCTTGTTGACTTTGTCACTTGGCGCCGTGTTCGATTCGGACTCTTGAGTGGAGGTTGGTTTTTCCTCATAACGGGACTCATGTACTACATGTACGTGCTGCTATCATCTTGGCGTGTTGCAATTACCTCCTCTGTCAGCTGTGAGCATTAACAGACGGGTAGATAATGTATGTCTAATCGCTTTGTTTGTTTCCTTCATGATAGGTACGGCTACGAGTTCCTCTTTGAAACGTACCTGTACCATGTTACACGCAAGGACCATCGGCATAACTTTTCTTTCTGGTTCTACAACATTTATCTGACGTTTACCTCACCAACGGGTACGCTGGTTGGCGTGTTGACGTTTGTGCCCCAATTGGCTCTGGTCTTGGCCATCGGATGCTGCTTTGGCAAGGACATTTTCTTTTGCGCCTTCCTGCAGACATTCGCGTTCGTGGCCTGGAACAAGGTCTGCACTGCTCAGGTATGTCGAATGTTGCAAACTGGGCTGGACACGATGTGTCCATTCCTCGCTTTGTCGATTATTGCTGTGTTACGATGCAAAAGCTACCCTGAGTTCGAGCACGTTCAATTTGACAGACAGTGATTTGACCCCTTCATCTCTGTCCCTTTGTTCTTTCTTTGTTTTCATCCTGTTCTCCCTCCAGTACTTTATGTGGTACATTGTGTTCTTGCCACTTTTGATCCCATGTCTAGCGTCTAATCCTCGAATGGGTCTGCGGTCGCAAGGACGGAACATGTTGGTTGGATGGGTGATCGCGCAGGGTCTCTGGCTGTCCCAGGCATACAATCTCGAATTCCTGGGGTTGAACACATTCTGGAACTTGTTCCTGGCGTCGGGCCTGATGTACGCTACCAACGTCTGGATCCTGGTCGAGCTGATTACGGGGGCAGAGTATGAGCCGATCTTTAACGACCGAGGAATGATTCGGCGGGTGTGGTCTTCTCGCCGCTAGTGGGTGGGCATATGAACGTAGCGGATCATTATCGATAATAAAAAAATGCATTCTCAGTTGAATGTTCTGATGTTCTGCTTTCGTCTCGCATATCTCTCCCTTCATGGTCGATGGCCACGCTTATACTTTTGTCTGGGGTTAAGATCAGGTCCACTTTGCTACTTTACACTTTACTGTTCACTTGTGTAGACTATCTAAGTGTGTGAGACCAGGAAACCTGGTCAATGTTCTTCGCAGCCAATCCCGACACCTCATGAAAGTAACCAGAAACAGATTTGTCTTCCCCACTCTTGGACCTTCCAGATGTGTCCCTGTGCCTTGTCTGCGATGAAAATCCATCCGCGCGCAGTGACAGGCATGGACGGGTGCACGGTATGCATGCTTATACATGTAGGCAAGTGTTATGCGTTCTGTGTGTGTGTGTATGTGTGTGTATGTGTGTGCATGCGTATGTATGTGCTCACAAGAAATGCTTTTTCTTGTGGACCTCAGCTCACTTTTTCTTTTACTCCAGGATCTGATCAGGATAAGGAGTAGGGGAATAGTTCGCCCCGGAGCCAGGCTTCTCTTTCTTCGTCGTCATCTTCCTCCCGCCCACTGCTTTCTGCCCCTGCTCCTCCCTCCCTTCCGCCCCTTCCCTTTATCTCCCCTCCTTCGTTTCTTATTTCCTCTTCCCCTTCCTTATTTCCGCAACTGCCATCCCATCCTCCTTCACGCTCTTCCTTTTCTTCACTGTCGCCGTCTTGTTCCCCCTCTGGTGCACCGCATTGTACCACTTTTGCTCCGACTCTCTCTCCTCTCCAGAGTGATAGACTGAAGATGGTTCTTGCAGATGCTGGACAGCCTATTCTGTCGGTGTCTTCACCGATCGTCAACATCTCGCTTCTTCACAAAGAAACCTCTTCGGCCCATTCTGACAGCGTTGTTTCCTCAGACGTAGTTGCACAAAAGATCAATCCTTCCAAATTCGTCACAGAGACGTCTCCTCCAGAACTAAAACTATCAAAGGGGACTACTGTATCAAAAAAGTCAACATCCTTTGCTGGTGAAAAGAGGCGCACAATCCACGAGAATGCCAAAAGGAAACAGCGCAACGTCATTGAAGGGACCGGCGGCAAGAGCGCCCTTTCATTCATGTACAAACATCAATTAGGTAAGCAGATTCACTGGAGACCGAACTGCAAAGTTCCAGGCATGATGCACCCCTGACTCTTGCTCTCCAACTTTTCGCATCTGCTCTGTCTGATCATCTAATATTTCAACTTTGATAGATGTTCCCGCAATGTTCATTACCGCTGTACTGGTATGCCACTTCGGACTCAGGATACCGATGGCGGCGACATTTCTCTTTCTTCAAAACAAGGACCCGATCACTGGACTTTATTCGAAAGCATGGACGGATCTGAACTTTGTCTTCTTTTGGATCGTGATGTTCACGTTCGTGAGGGCGTTTGTCATGACCATGATACTGAAGCCCATTGCGATCCAATGCGGCGTCAAGAGGGAGCACCAACGAAATCGTTTCCAGGAAGAAGGCTGGGTCTGTCTTTATTACTCTGCGAGCTGGACCCTGGGCATGGTAAGCTGGTTTTTGTTGTTTTTTTGTTTTCGTTCTTTTTCCATCCCGAAGGGTCAACAGAAGGGGGAGCACCAGCATTCCATGACATGGATGTTTTGACTTGGCCTATGGATAAAGGTGGAGATCAAAAAAAGAAAGGACAGCGGTTGCACAAACGGAAGATGATATCATCAGGCGCGCACGGAAGACGATTTTATTTTACCGGGGACGTGGGGGCAGCAAAGAGACAGGACGATGTTGGTGCTCAACAAGGAGCGATGGATATTCTTAATTCCTTTTGCTCCACCGCTGAGGAACTAGACGAGACATGCTTGGAGGGCAAGTCCAAACAGGAATGGACAAATGGACAGCCAACTACCCATATACATCCAGAAACGCATACAATGCATACCTTCACTGATGCATGCAGCTCCATCTATCTTTGACGGTTCAAGTCGGGGATAAAATCCCTCGGCAGAGGAAGCCGGCTCCTGCACATGTCATTTTCTATCAATATTTATAATTTCCTCGAACTATATCCGGAGATTTGATTATCCTGTCGTTGTCAATTGCTTTTCAGGCACCGTCAATGCACCTCATACTCACACTCTATTGTTTTTACTTCGCCATGCTACCGTAGTATGTCCTGCGGAGCTCGCCCGTCTGGAACAACTGGTTCTTCTGGTTCAAGACCGAGGCATTTTTTGAGGGCTACCCTCACACTCAATTACCCCATGTCATGCTCTGGTACTACTACGTCCAGCTAGCATTCTGGCTCCAGCAGATCTTTGTCCTCCACATCGAGGTCCCGCGAAAGGACTTTTGGGCATTAATGGCTCACCACACGGTCACTCTACTTCTGATCAGCGGCAGTGCGTTATCCAACTTCTGGAGGGCTGGTAACGCGGTCTTTGTAGTCATGGACCTTGCGGATATCATCCTTGCTGTAAGTGAAAAAAAAAAAAAAAAAAAAAAAAAAAAAAAAAAAGAGCAAAGACCAATCAGCACTCGAATGTTGTCCAGTTCAGGATGCAATGCCTTAAACAAAACCGCCCATCTCAATGTAACTCCACTAGTTCTCAAAGTCCATCAAGTATCTGGGAGTGTCCAGCAGGATCTGCGACGGCTTCTTTGCATGCTTCATGATCTCGTGGCTGTATACCCGACATTACCTCTATGGATATATTTTACACTCATTCATTTTCACGGCGTATGAGATGATTCCATTCGAGCTTGATATTGCGCAGGGAAAGTGGTACTGCAGGGAGTTGGCCTGGCTGCCGGTCCTTGGCCTGAGTCTACTACAGATCCTCATGGTGTACTGGTTCGCGTTGATCCTACGGATATTGTTCAGGATTCTCAAGGGCCACAATGCTGAGGACGACCGCAGCGACGAGGAGCCGTATGTGCACCGATTGTCTCAAGTGTGCACACATGTTTCAGAAAATAAGGGCCCCTGCTAATCATGGTCTCTTCTTTCCCTGTCTATTTTTTTCTATATAGCGAGTCTAAGGACGAAAAGTAGATGTACTTATATAGCAGCAAACTAATTATGTTTTTATCAGCCTTTTTAATATAAAGCACATAATCTTCTTTCAGGTTGTCTATGTATTGTACGGGGGGCTGCCAACATGGAATCATTTACTGGGCTATGCCTTGAATGGGTACCTTTCATTGTGCGGCAATATAAATACTGTGACGCATCTCCGCTGCACATCAACCATCGAACACGCTTTCCAGGATCGTGGTCAGCATCAAAGTCAACCGCAGCAACAGAGATCATCATGGACAGCTCATCCTCATCTCCTATGCGCCCAGTCCAGGCAGACACGACTGCCGCCTTTCCATCACAATCACATTCACAATCCTCATCGGCTGCAACACCAGGACCCAAAAAGCGCAAGAATGCTGCCGTTGTCCCCTCATTGCCCAAACCCAAGAAACAGAAGCTGCCTCGCAATCTAGACAGCATCCCAGCACGGAATCAGCTACCCAACGTGCCCAGTACTGGCGGAATTAATAAAGCTGGGCAACGCATGGTCAAAGGGCCCTACAAGAAGCGAGAGAAAAAGGACAAGGACGGTAAAAAGGTTCCTGGGACCCCCACGGCCACCTCTGCGCCCGGGACACCCGGAGCAGGACCAAGCGCAACTTCAACTGTGGGAGGAAGAAAAGGGAAGGCAGGAAAATCAAATAATGGCAGTACGTCCTCCAATCTCATTCCTGGCAGTGATCCCTCCAGCGCTCGCGCAGACGCAATTGTACCATCTGGATCGACTCTGGCGCATGGCGTCAAGGATGAGGACGGAGAAGACAATGAGCGGAGGCCAGTAACCCAGACGGGCGAAGTAGGGGATGCAAACGGTGGGGCAGAAGGGGGGGAAACTGGTGCGGATGGCAAGGATGAGGACGATGACGAGCACGAGGAAGAGCCAGAGTACACAGAGTATGAGTGGAACCAGGAAGCAACATCGAGAGGCAGAAGCAAAGAGGAACTCAAGTAGGTTCAGGATCTGGGTTCTTGGATGAAATATCTAACGTTATTTGACATGGGCATGTCGACACCCATCAACTGGCATTCACCATATACTTTCGTACCCGCGCTCCCTCCCCCTTTCTCTCTTTTCCTCTATATTCTCTGCTACTAGGGCGCTGCTGGATCGTTTTTCCGACGAGCAGCTGCAGCGGTACGAAGTATACCGCAGATCTGTTCTCAGCCGATCGACTGTCAAGAAGGCAAGTCAAATCGCACTATCAGAAGCTCAATGGGTTGATGGCCATGCTTTTTATTTTTTTTATCTTTGCGCTGACATCTAGCACGAACCCTTTTTATGGATGATAGCTTGTTGGCACAATTCTCAATCAGCAAGTGACACAAACGATGGCGTTTGTCGTAGCAGGGTTCTGCAAAGTATTTGTGGGTCAAATGGTCGAGAAGGGTATGTGGAACCGCGCTTTTTTTTTTTTTTTTTTTTATGATGACCTCAGACTTGTATGTTGTCACCATCGATACTAAGCTTGCCTACTGTCTACCCATTGTCCGTTGATTGCCGCTGTTGCCTCCCATGTTCGATAATGATTTAGCGCGAGAGGTCATGGAGGATTGGGGCGAGACTGGGCCCATCCGTCCGGAGCACCTGCGTGAGGCCCAGCGACGGTACAAGAAGGAGGAACTGCAGCGTGGCCAGGGTGTGCAGACACCATATGGATACAAGCGGCGTTTGTTCTGCCGATAAGAGATTTCGTCGATGTAGACCGCAGGTTGCAGTCGTGCCAATAAAGCTCCTTTTTCCAATGATCCAGTCCAATCCAGTCATGGCGTGCAGAAAGCGGTCACGCTCGCCCTAGATTCCGTAGATTTTTTTTTGGCGGGAAAGGACGGTGCAAAAAAAAAAAAAAATGGGCTCGAAATCGAATTGAGATCTGCAGGCAGCAACAGCACCATCGCACAGCAACACGCTGCTGCCCTTCCTTTTTGATGCACCCCTCGGCTGCAACTCAGTCTGGGCTGATATACACACAACAACATATAAATAGCGTCCAGACTCGACAGTACATGGGCAAACGATTGCTCATAGTCAGATGCTGTGGTGTGTTTGCACATATTTGGCAATAAAGGATCGCTGGTTTCCCACGCGTGAGCAAGAAACAAGGATTGCTTCCCTTTTTTGTACATTTCTTTCCACGCGTCTTCGAAGCTCCTTCCGCGCGCTCTCTCTCCTCTTCCTTCCCGCGCATTCTTATTCTTAATGCATCCAATCAGAGGCGATCAACGTACTCTATCTCTCTTTTGATCCCTGGTTATTTTCTCACGGCGCATTAGAGGGCAAGCATTTGACTGAATACATATTTTATTTCAATTCAAAGTTGCCAAACAAACAAACCAAATTATGAACAGATATATAGAGCGAAAAAAAAAGAAACACACGCCCGCGGAAGCTCCAACAGGTGGCTAAAAGTATCAAGGTATAAAGGCACAGGAGGTTTGACAGCATGATCCTTGAGCGGGTGCGAAAACGTGAAACGAAAAGGTATTGTACAAAAGCAATTTGCAAATAAAATAAACAGGAGTGGTATAAAAAAAAACGAGCGGAATACAAGGGAGAGGCAGAAGAAAAAAAAGAGCGATGATAAAATGCGAGACTGTACAGAGATGGCCCTTTTTCTGGAGCCATGCGGAAGAGGCGGTGACCGTGAACGTAAGAAACCATGCCCTTACTCGCTCATGTACTCGTTTTCGCTCTCCTCTTCTGCCTCCATGGCGGCGCTGTAGATACTGACGATGTCCTGGTGAGGCAGACTCGAGATGATCGAGTGCTTGCCGATCACGGTCTTGTGCAGAGGCCTGGAGGGCTCCTCTTCATCGTCCGATGACGAATAATCAGAGGATTCCTCGCTATAGTCATCTGAGGAGGATGAGTAATCCGAGTCGTCCGTGCAGGAATCATCGTCCTGAGACGAATAATCGTCCAGGGACGAGTAGTCAGTCGAGCCCTCAGTCGAGGAATCTGAAGACAGGAAGGGTGAGCCGGGGCAGCGGGGAGGAACCACGAACGAGCTCAATTTGACATCGCCCGCCTGGGTCTTATGCTCCAGATTCATGACAAATGGCTTTGAGAGCTGTAAAGAATCAACATGTGCCAAACGGAAACACGCAGTTAGTCATCTGTGGCAGTTCGCGTCCCGCGAGGTAGTTTAGCCCCTTTCAGCGCGGTACACCGCGGTTACACAGACGGCAATCGCAGACCAGACCAGCAAAGTGCTTTTGCGCCGGTGAGCCGCCAAAAGAGAGCAGAAGAGCAGAAGAGCAGAAGAGCAGACTTACATCTGAGGAACCATCGTCGACCTGCATGTATGTCTCATAAGGCGTGTTAACCGCAAGGACAAGCGAGTCTTGTAGTGAATCGACCTTCTTGATATCATCCATAGTGACATATGCAAATCTACGCAAGGCAAACGAAAAGGAATGCTCCTGTCAATAAGGTGCACACGTACATACAAAAAATGATGTAGACACATCTGGACCACCAAAAGGCAACGGACAAACAAAAGAAAAGAAAAGAAAATGCGTGCGGGACAGTGACACATACCTGGCTGTGTTTTCGTTCGTGAGCGTGTCCTTGATGGCGCCGTCGACCTGGGCCCTCATCTGCAAAAGACGCGCGTGCTCTTGCTCCAGACGGGCCCTCTCCTGCAACAGCTCCTCCTTACGCTGTCGATTGAGGCTGGGTGCGGCTGATTTGTTGATGTGGCTGCTCGTGGCCGAGACGCCCCTAACAATCGTACAATAAAATTAAAATTGCGGGAAAGAGTAAGCAAACAGCAAAATGAAGTCAAGATGAGCAAAGGACCCAAAAGAAAAAAAGAAAGGCGCATTCCTCCCTGCTGACTCGAATAGGAGTCGGCAGCGGGACTCTGAGGCAACTAAACACACAAACAAACACACCCACACACTCGCATATACACCAACACCACCATCAGTACAAAAAGCGCCCGGGCAAATGCAAATGCAGATGCAGATGCAAAAAAAAGGTACATAACTCGTCCTTTTTTTCGACCCATATGCTAACATCTTCAGGCACGCTTGACAGCCCTGCGCCTTCTTAGTGCTGTCTGATGCACCCCCCCTGATTGTTCCGCTGTGCTTGTTGTCTGATAAACCTTCTCTTGATTTTTTTTCTTGCCCCCTTTCTGTTGTGCATGAGGATGCTGAAATCATCCAAAATGTCCAACTCAAAGATGCTCCTAGCGCTGTGTTCCATTGCGCGCCTCTTGGCATGTCCCATGACCTGAATGGCGGTAAAAAGAAAGAAAAAAATTCCCGCGCTGTCGATTGCAATCGGGTTTCAACTTACTTCCAGCGAACGTTGTTCTTCTTGAACTTCTCAATGAGATCAATTCCTTCAAGCACATTGGTGATGTCGTAGATCCTGCGCTTCTGGACATGGAGTTTGTCTGCAGTCTTGTTGAGATCCAGTGTTCCACTTTCGTCCTTGAGAAGTTGAATAAACAGTTTGGTCAGCATTCCAAGAGAGCGCTCAGAGCGACTGGTGTCTCCTGGGCCATGCGACGTGAGACAAACATGGGATGCCGAGGAGGGAAGGACAGACAAACAGAGGAAGGAAGAAAGAATAAAAGGTTAGGATAGGAATAAACAATCAAGGAGAGAGTGGTTCAGAGAGCAATTTCGCTAATGTTTTTTTTCCACTCTTCATCAAAACGGGACGGGAAATTTTGGACCGCGCAAACAAAAAGCTGATGCTGTATGTTGACGAATTGTGGTTGTCGGGTTGAAGTTTTGCGCCGTTGTGGGTGCAAAAGGATGCTACTGTATGAACTAGATCGTACACGGGTCCGCATGTCCGCATGCCTGTGTGTCCGTATGTCCGTATGTCCGCGTGCCTGATGCACTGCACCCTTGTTCCGACAAAGACTTGATGTGCTTAATGTTGGATCTTGAAAGCGCTGTGCCGGACTCCTGATCTGCGAGTCCATGTCGAAACCCTAATGCGTTTCCGTTGTTCACTGTCGATTGTCCATGGTCCATGCGTATGCAGTGATAGGGGCGATCCGATATACGGAGGGCGTTCTTACCCTTGGGTGCTGTGGGGCTCTTAGGCTTGTTGTTGCCTCCGGGGTTGCCTCCCTTGCGACCGCGCTTTCCAGGCTTGACCAACTGAGGGAGAGGATCATGGTTGGGGACAGAGTTGACTCGGTTCTGTTCGAGGAAAGGAAAGGAATGGAAAAGAGGAGAGAAAGAGTAAAAGAAAGAGGCGAGGTAGTAGGTAGTAGGAGAGGAGGAATGTGAAAGTGAAGGTGGGATTGGAGTGAGAAGGAATGAAGGAGGTTAGAATCTGTTGTAAAGGCCAGCATTCGGACGACGACCAAAAAATAGGGCACAGTCGATCGATCGCCGCAATCCAAACGAAACCCAGCCCATGTCCCCGCGCGCTCCCCCTTCGCTCTGCGCATCAAACAGCCAATCGACAGATCGATATAAAGTAAGGCAGTGGGAAGTAGAGTAGAATAAAGCACGGAGGAATGAATTGGAGAATAAGATGATGCGCGTTTTTGAATAGGAGGGGAGAACAATAGAATGACGATGATGAAAATAAAATAAAATAAGAATCATAATCATAATAATAGTAATAATAATAATAATAATTATAAAAAAAGTTGCATGCTGCCGGGCAAAAGAAGGCGGGAAAAATTTAGAAAACGAAATTCCTTATCAATTGGACTCAATAGGGAGGGAAAAGGAGAACAAGCGACTTCAGCAGAAACACCAGCACCAACACCAGCAACAGTAATATCAAAAAGAGTCCGCACAAACAACTCGGACTCGAGCAAGCTCGAACAGAAAAAAAAACCCCTCCGCCAAGCTCGAACTCGCCATCCGGAAAAGAACAAGCGCACGCTCACACATATACCCCACGAGGAGAGGAGGGAGGAGGATCTCAAATGAAGCCCAGACAGCTCCCGCCAACCAGACGAATCGAAACCGTAAGAAACAGAGACCGCTCATATTTCGCTGCATTTGACCGACTGTAACATCCCAGATGAAGGAAAAGTGAGCGAACAAAAAAAAAAGGGTGAAAGCACAGCGTGTGTCGTGTCCAGAAGGGATTTAGCAAACGAGCCAAGGCTCCCAGTGCGAACCAGAGGGCGCGTAGAGCTGGTGGTCGAATGAATGAAGGGCGAAGGAATGAGCCAGCCCGCGTGTGCTAGTGTGTCAGTCTGTCCTCCTGCTGTGTGTCGGGTTGTTGTTGTTGTCTTCCTGCTCTCGTTTTGTGCTTCCACGCGCAGAGGGATCTCAACTGACCCGCCTCTGATGATGAGAGAAGGTCGAATGCAGCGGAAACAGATGCGGCGCCATCAGACCCGTTTGCTCATCCCGAAAGGGTGGCGCGATCCCGAACAGAGCGTTGTACTGTTGTTGGTCCTGGCCGCCGTTGTCCTGGGTTGGCGGGCAAAGGCTGTTTCCTGCAAGTCGGTGGCAAGCAATGCGTCGTCGTCCGAGTGGCGGGATCCCCAAAGGAATCCCATTCCTGTGATCACCCAGCCAGGGTTCGTTGAAGCAATGACATGACCTGCCGGCGAAGGAGAGGGAGGGAAAGAACACAGACACAAGACACACGCACACACACACACACACACACACAATAACAACAATAACAACTCCACAGCCAAAACGCAGCTCGCCAAACGTACACTCACACACACACCACACGAACAGACAAAACAGACATAAGAAACAGCTGAAGAGGATAATGACAAAGAGTTCCTTACCTCTCGTTCGACCCAGGTGTGGTCAGAGAAGGAGGGCATAGCGGGCATGGAAGCCATGACATGTGCGGTAGAGGACATGGTTGCTGGAGAATGAAAAAGGGGATCTCAAGGGCAGTGGCGGTTTGGTAGGGGCGGTGTTGGATCGGTGGTTTGCTGAGGATTGAGCAGGGGTTCGGTTGGTTGGTTGGTTGCTTGGCCCGTGGGTAGGGGGAGTCGACAATTGATGGCTGTTGTGTGCTGGGTTGGGTCCTTTGCTGGTCGATGGATAGATTTTCGACAGACGGAGTTCGCTTCAGGGAAAGAACGACTTCGATTCGATCTTGCTTGTGGAGGAAGATGAGCTCAGTGACGAGGCGGTCGGAGCAGCAGTGGTTCCGTACTTGTGTTCGCTTGTTCGGCTTGAAGAGGGGCTTTGAGAAGCTTGTGCTTGTTCTTGCTCTTGTTCTTGTTCTCGGGACGATGGGGCGCAGGGCAGGAGGAGTGCGCTTTTTTTTTTGGAGAGGGGTGTGGTGCTTTTTTGAGTAGAAGTGGAAGTGGAAGTGGAGGTGGAGGAGTGTGAGTTGGAGGAGAGGAGGAAGGAAGGAAAGAGAGAAGAAGAGGGTTGGGACAAGACGAGGGTCTTTTATACCCGCGAGAGAGGAGGAGGAGGAGGGCCATTGGTGAGGACGGGTAAGGAGCGAAGGAGGAGCGTCAACGGATTGTTGGCGATGGTGTGTCTTGTCTTTTTCTTCCTTCCTTCTTTCCTTCCTTCTTTTTCGCTTCAAAGACTCGAATTTTTTATTTTTTATTTTTTGTCTTTGTCCAGTTCTCCTTTTGGGTGGCCGCCAATTTTATTTTTTATTTTTTTTTGGTCTCTCTCCCACTTACCCTCTTGCAGACCAAATAATAAAGAGTTACAGGTGCATGCAATGTAGAATGTAGACACTAGACTACCTGGACTTGACGAGTGGCCATACTCATCTGGATGAAGAAGAACATGTACGCACACGCACAGCGATGCAAAGATACCCACGTCCATGTGTACCTTGACTTCAAATCCCTTCGACTCTACAGCTGCAGTCGCCAAAAGGGAAGGGCGTGAAGAGAGCGGAAGCAAATCCGCGGATATAAACGGACTATTCTCAGTATCAATAATCCCACAAGGAGGAGGAGGAAGATACGCCTTGGTGGATGAAGCATAGCAAAAGTGATAATGCTGTCCAATCGAGTGTCGGCAGTGGGGTAAGTTGACGACGACGACGACTCTGCTGTGTAGTTAAGGCTAAGCCAGACCCTTCAATGGACAGGAGCGGAGAAAGTGCAGGCTACAGTTTGGACCAGGAGACTAGGGAACTGAAATCGAGATGTACACTCTAAAACAAATAAAAAAATAAAAAAAAAGAGTCTGTCAGAGCCGGAGTCAATAAGAGTGGCAACTGGATTTCGGTGCAACAGGTAGAGAAACAGTTAATGATGATAGTTATGATGATAGTGGTGATGATGGTGATGATGATGATGATGATGATGATACGGATGAGGATGAAATGAAGAAGAAGAAGAGGATGATGATGATGTATCTAGCTCCCTCCATCTCCCTGCTCCATCCCTCTGTCCCCTCGGACTAGGACCAGGTACGGAACACAAGGTCAGAGTCAGGGTCAGGTTCAGGAACCGAAGGGACAGGGCAGGGCAAAGGGCTTTAAATGGATAGACAATCCATTTATTGTTTTTTCGCTGTTAATGTGTCTTTGTCCTACCAGACACATTTTGTCAACGTGCGCGCACGCGTACTTTTTTATTTTTTATGGATGCGTGAGTGCCTGGGCCAGAAAGTCAGACAGCCAGATAGACAGATAGACAGATAGACAGATGGACACGATCGTTTGGTGAACATGCCAAAGTACCAGATACCATACCATGCTATGCCATGCGACGTGCGTTTAGCGTCAAAGCACAACACAAGCTACCCAGCACATACCGGGCATATTTATTGCGACTATATACAAGCAACCAATTGTATGTGGTCTACTCTCTTAGCAAATACCTCTTGCGCTTCTTCCCGCTGTCCGGTCCAAACAGGCTAATCTTCTAAAATATTTGTTGTAGACTTTTTCCCTGCTCCAATTGCTGTTGATATTGCTGTTACTTACTAATGCTGGTGCTGCTATTGCGATTGCCCGTGTTGTTTGTTGCTGACGATATCCGTGCTGTCGCTAGTCGGACTTTGAGGCTAGGGTCATGATGATGGCGATGGCGATGGCGATGGCGATGGTGTCGTGCCCTGTCATATACCCATGACTGGGTCCTGTCCCTTCGGCATTATAGATAGACTACCCTTTCGCTTCCCGCCCTTTTTTGTTTCCCATTTCCTATTTCTTATTTCTTATTTCTTATTTCTTATTTCTTTCTCTCTTTCTTTCTGCTGCTGCAAAACGAGAGGAATGTTGCACCCCCTGTTGGCTGCACCCCGTTAAATTCGAAATGCACCCATGAAGGTATGGGGGTGACTGAAACCTTTGCTCTTGAACGACGCCATATGCTGTGTAGAGTTTTCTTTGAGAGATCCCACCGCTGGTTATCAGTCGTTCGTTGTAAAATATGTACCGGTCCATTTTCCCGCGGGAGGGACAAGGAGGTCATCATTTGGTGACTGTCGTGAGCTGAGCAAGTCCACGTTTGAACACCGTTCGAGCCATCGGCTCCTGTGGGACCCCCCACGCAAACCCGATCTCATCTGCCCTCAATTTTGCTTGTCTTCAGTTCGACAGTCCCCTTTCACGTTCACATCTGGGAACCCCTTCCTGTATGCTCTGCCTTTGACGGGCACGCACCCCCACCAGTTCCACCCCTGACCCGGATTGGCACCCTCGCGCATCGCCACACATTGCCGTCCATGTGCATACGTATAACAGCACACATTGACACGCTTGCTTTTTTTTCTTTTTTTTTTTTCTCTTTTTTTCGCGTTATCCTCTTTCAATGAGCGATTGGTCGACTTCTTTCCCGCACGCGTCTTGTCCACGCGGATGTAACACACGGCTTTGAGGGTGGAGACGCGCCCTTTTCGGTCGAAGGTGTCTTCTTTAAGGTTCATACCCGCAGCCTTTCCCACATGCAGCAGTACTCGGTTCACGACTCTCGGGTACGCTCTCTTCATCTCTTCATCTCTTCATCACAAAGGAATCATCCACTGCTCTTGTCTCATCTCCATCATCCCTCATTCGCTCCACCTCCACACAGTCGCTGTTTGCTGAGACAAGCTCGAACACGTGTACGAAACCAATCACTGCAATGTGCCAGGGATCTGTTCCAGAGTACTTTGTTTTCAAACAAAGCCCACCCGAGCTGCCTCCAGGGCGGCTGTGTTCCCGCTTCCTGACCCAGTCGGCCGAGCAGGGCCCCAAGACAGGCGACAAAGAGTACACGGTGTCTGAAACAGCACCTTGCCCCATCATCGATGCCCATGTTCATGGTACGACACAGCCCTATAAGGTGCAATGTCTCAGCAGCAGGTTCTGACGCAAATCCTGTATATTCTCCGACACATATACTTGTACTCATCACATAGTATTCCCTCAGAAGCTGATGGATGCAGTGTGGACTTTCTTCGACAACTTTTACTGGCCCGTCCGCTACAAGGAGACTTACCTGGCCAATCGAGCCGATTTCCTGATCGAGCAAGGTATCCGTCACGTCATTCTCTTGGTGTAAGTCCTTCTGTAGCCAGTTTTTTCTTTTTTTTTTAATGCTTTGCAGCCCTCATACGTTCAAACATCGCCAAATTGAACTTCTAGTGCTTATAAACCATTAGATATGCGCACAAGAATGGAATCGCACGCGATCTCAATAGATTTCTGGCTCACACCGTGGATGACATGAACAAACGCTACGTTCAACCACAGTCCAACGGCTTCAAGGCAAGACGGCGAGTGGCCTCTGGACTCGGCACGGTCATGCCAGGCGAGCCAGGCGCAACAGAGATCCTGACCGAGGCCTTTACGACTTTGAATCTGTCAGGCATCAAGATGCATTCGCATGTTCAATGTGTGCCAGCCAACCATCCGACCATGGACGAGGTCTATGAGACCTGTATTCGCTTCAACAAGCCCGTTTTAATCCATGCGGGTAAAGACCCCAATAGCTCTGCGTACAAGGTCGATGCGGGCAAAATTTGCGACGTGAGTATTGTTGAGGATGTGCTCATCAGGTATCCCAACCTTCGCATGTGTGTTCCCCATCTTGGTAAGTGCATGTTGTCCATACTTGCGCGTGAATTGCTCTGAAATTACATGAGAAGATGCAACACTGCGTGAGTTCAACGTCAACTGATAAGCTTGCTGCTGATCTTTGTTTCTTGATATACCATGGGTCTGGCTCCAGGAATGAACCAGTACCAAGAGTTCTTTGACCTACTTGACCGATTCCCAAACCTTTATCTGGATACAACCATGACATTCGGGTCATTTTTTCAATCAATGGACGTGAACAAGCCCTTGACTCAAATGATGCGGACAATGCTCCTCAAACACAGCGACCGCATCCTATACGGAACGGACTGGCCAAACATTCCATATGACTGGTGTCGTGAGCTGGCCAACCTGGTCAGTCTTGTAGACGGGGATGGCGAAGCGACGAGTGTCAGAATCGAACCGATGGTAACGGCGGAGAGGGGCAAGCATCGCACGGTCGATGGAGATGCTGCGCTCGAGAGGGTTCTTTGGAAGAATGCGGCCAAGTTCTATGGAATCTCAGATGCAGATCTGGGGCTTTCGATCGGCCATGGGTCACTATCTCCCAGCTTGTAGCGCGTACGTCTTTACTTCAGTAGACAAGCGAGTGCCCTAGTAGTAAATATAGAGGCCTGCTGTTTCAGAATGAATTAGTCCAGTACATTGCACTTTGGACAGGAAACATAGGCGTACGAATCAATTGATGCGCTCAGTTTTGTTGTGGAACGACCCGATCTGCGAATCATAACCCGGAATGGTGAGAGTGGTATGCAGTCAAGGGCATGCTTCTACACTATGGTATTAAACAGCGCCGATATGCGTCCCCAATGTTCTCAGTAGATTGACCCTGTAAACACGTTTGTTTTATACAACATTTTAGTGGTAACATCTGAAACCAGTAAGCTATTGGGTGGCACAGCCAATCTTTTGTGCCCTTTTCTAATGGCCTATTCTCTTTCGTATTCGACCCGCCCTTTCCTTATCTTTTTTAAAGGCTAGCAATGGAAAATAGGAGAAGTAAAAGATTGAGGTAACTCAGCTCTGTGTAAGGAAGGCTGTTTTGTACAATCCAGTCTATCCAATGTATTCTTACCTCTTTGCTCAAGCGGCGGCGTCGTATTTCCAAAACTCCTTCCCCCCCTCCCCCTTGATAGCCACCTTGCAAGGCTATTTTTGCAGCGAGAATGTAACGCCTCGCCGATGTTGCGACTGTGCCACATGGAGGTTTTGGACTATCTATTTCTGACGGATCAACAAAGTCCCATTCTGCACAGCCCATAGACCATCGCTGAGCAAAAGAAAAAGGCAAGGTGGACAGCCAAGAAGAACTGCTTGGCTGCACTGACGCCATGGCGCATGACAGGCACATCAGGACGTAAGTCCGCATCCCAGAAATACGCATCCACCACAGCGGTGCAGGCTTGGTTGGTGGAAAGAAGAAATAGGATTAGCCATTTTTGAAATGTCCTCTCCCTTTCCCTGCGGGAGAGGGCTGTCTCGAGCTCCTGTTGCGCCCCTTTTTCTCCCGCCGTCTTTCCTCTCGCTTTTTCGTTCTTTCTCCCTCCCCACATACAAAACAAACCTCTCTGCATCCTTCTCTCGCATCTCTTTCGAATCCCTCACTTCCTCCCTTCACACCATGCACCGACGAGAGCGCTGCTGTGGGTGCATCCCTTTCAGACTCGCAACCTTTCTCGGCGCCCTCTTGCTGGGCGTAAGTCGCATCAGTCCTCCTATCTCTTTGCGCTAAACAGTGCCAATTGTCCTAACTGACCCTCCCTCATTTACATGCTTATTCACCCTCTCAGGCCTTTGGCGCTGCAGGAACCTATCTGTACTTCACTAACAGTGATCTGCGTAAGTGAACCCACCCTGCGTCTCCTTTTCCTCTGTAACGTAATCCTGCTTTTTAGGATGCCTAACCCCTCTTATCCCTATCTTCTGCCTGGTGCCACTTCCAGCCAAACGTGCGATCTCTGTAGGGGGTATGTTCCATCCATTTCCAGATCTCAACGTATACTTTGGCTGCTGTCGAACTAATTAGCTGAAGAAACAGCTTCTTAATAACCCTTCTTGTTCTGCCAATCACAGGCATTTCAGTCTCGCCGCTGGCATCTGGTCAGGCTTTGTGGTACTATGTGGCGGCTGTGAGTGTGCTGGCTGCGGCGGTGGGTCTCTTTGGCATGGTCTCAGCGCTCGCTGCCAGTCGAAGATTCGTCAAGGCATTCGAGGCGTTCTATGTCCTCTCGTTGATGACACAGTTTGCACTCATTATCTGGGCCTTGATCTGGTGCAAGCAGAACCAGACCCAATTCGACACAGTTTGTACAGCCTCCAAGGACGGCAACGTTGATATTCCTCTTCCAGGATTCGTCTCTGACTGGTCATGCCAAAAGATTTTTACCGCCGGAATTCTTACCATCGGTGTTGGTGGAATAATTTGGATCGCCTTCAACGTGAGCTCATTTTTCAGTTGCAAACGCATTAAGGAGAAAGAAGGGATGCATGGCCAACACCATGGGTCGATGACACTGACTTTTTCTTCTTTTCCTTGTCTTCCTGTGTAGTTCTACATGACCAACCGTGTGATCCACTATGCGCGCGAGCTATTTGCCGAAAAGGCCAACCGCTACAAAGTCTTGGGCGAGGCTGCAACTAAAGAACTTGACCGTGAGCAGCAGATTCCTCTCAACTACACCAACGTTGGCTCATCCATGAACGATCGCGAAGGCTACCAGAGCAATCATCCTCAGCAGCCTTCATACAGGGATGAAATTGAGTACAAGGACCCTCGAGGTGCTGATGCCTTCCAGCAGTCTCGCGCTGCAGCCGCCGCCGGATTTGGCGCCTATGGACATGATTTGGGCCAGCACCAGCACCAGCAGCCTGTCGCTCGCGGATTCAGCCATCGTGATTCGGCACAGGGTCTTGACCTTGTGAACCCATATTATGGGGAGCATGATACCATCCCTGGACCCACAAATGTCGATCCCACACCCATTCAGCCTTCCGTCGCTCCCGCAGCTCCCTTTGTTGCGCAGGGACCGGGACAGTCTTTCGTTCATGCCTCCACAAACAAGATTCCTTCTCCTTTTGACGAAGATGAGCCCGTCGCGCCAGCAGCCCCACCAATTATGGATGGCATCAAGGTGCCTTTGCCTGCGTCACCGCGAGATGGAGACATAGTATCGCCCACAGGGGGCTCGGCACCAACTAATGTTCTGTCTCCCTCCCCGTCCACACATCAAATTCCTGCAGGAAGCCATAGTGGCGTTGGCCAAAGCAGCGGCGAGCCTTATCAGTTCTAACTGGCTTTGCGCATTTCAGCACATTACATAACTTGCACATATCCACTGTACATCTCTCTGCCATATATTCATACATTCATTCGGAATAAAATAAGTACCAATATTGCCATCTGACTAATTAATAGCAATTTGACATTGATGTGTGGACCATAGGGCAAAGGACAGTAACCTAAACACGTCTCTGGACAGATGTCCTCAGATACTGCATCCGTAGCGAGCGCAGGACGGACGATGATGTGCTCTTGCTCAGGTACACACCCCTGGCGATAGACTAGCGCGCCGCAAAGAAGAGGACCTCTTTGAATAACCTTAGAGAGAATGAGGAATGGGAGTGGCAGGTGCTGGTGACGGCGGCGGCAATCGCGACGAGCTTTACGCTCCAATCTTTGATTCTAATGGGCCTCGAAAAGTCTCTGGCAGGGGGCTCCGCAGTCTGTGATATAAGGGCTGGGGCCATATCTGGCGGCGTCGCAGATATCGCACGTCCCGCAATCTTCCTGTAGATTGCGTTCGACGTTCTTCCTGGCTTTCTTGGGTTAATGATGAACCTCCTTCTTGAACTCCCTGGCCTGATGCTTGATTTCACGATTGCACTCCTTGGCCTGGTGCCTCACTTCACGCTTGAGTTCCTTGGCTTGACGCTTTGCTTCACGCTTGAACTCCTTAGCTTGATGCTTCGCCTCCTTGGCTAGCGCATGGGTTTCGCGTTTGGTGATCTTGGCCTGCGCTTTGAGGCTTTGCTTCTCAGCCCTGTACTTCGCACGAGAACAATGAGAAGCCAACGATGCGGAATAGGATGAATGAATGCGGGCATCGGGGTCCATGAAGGATGGGCAAAAGGACGTCGGAGTCGTCAGAGGAGCGTTACTGGTAGGAGTCGAGCAAATCGGTGTAGGACCTTGTGGGCTATATGGGGTTGCAGACGGAGGACAAGCGGCTATCTTTATTTTCTCCTGTTGCTTGCACTTGTGGTCCATTTGGGAGAGCGGGTGGGTCGCGTCGTGTGCTGATGATATTGGACTATGTGGTATCGATTAAAGAGCAGACATGGATGCGGGTGCGATGCGGTTTTTATATCGGTCCTGTTCTCTTGAAATGCCGTGGACAACCTGTGTCGGCAGAAATGGGCTAGGTCCAAGACTACAGCAAGAGCATGTTTATTTGCTTGATTGATTGCCAAGAACGCGTGCGTCCTTGAAAGGAAATACGCCCACTCACATCCCACTTCGCGCAGCTGAATCGGCGGTGAGGGGGCCGAGTATGTAGTTTAGAATTGAAACTGCTGAGGTATTACGCTCTAAAGAGAGCGCCGGCCATTTTGTCTCTTTTACTTGGCTTCGGCTGATTATCCTAGGGATACATTTTTGTTTTATTTTTACATAGTAGTGTGTTCTATCAAAAATGCGTATGAAAAGGTGAGGCAGACGAGAAGGAAGACCTCTTCCTGCTCGTGGTATAGACAAGGGGCCATGGCTGTCGGACAAAAGTTGCAGGCGTGCTTCATTCCCGCCGACCAATGGCTGGGCCCCGCCGAGTGATGAAGGCAAGATAGATCAGGACCGCTACTCCCAAGGAACTGGAGCACGTTCCGAGGACAAAGGACGTGCGAAAACACTCAGGTCCGAAGCACTGCAGCGTGTGCTCATGTTGAGCTTGGCGATCATACAGAGAACCAAAAATAAGATTGAAGATCTGTCCTCCGATGGCGTTTCCAACAGAGATCCAGCCCCTAAGGTACAGAGGAAAAAAAACCGTTAGCTGGGAGTTTTCGCGATTGCTCCAAATCTGTACGAACAATGAGGCACCATTACCAGTTACTGCCAAAACTGTTGACGCCAAACCACTCGCTGACAATAGTAGGGGCAACACCTAAATCAAACATCCATTGATGAAAAAAGGTGTTCAAAGTGTAAGAGGAGAGCGGAAACGAAAGGCGCAAGGTCAACAATGCGGCTAGACAACGAGGTACAACTACCTACCAAAAACACTGCCGTATCCCAGCCCTACAAGGACTGAGACTTTTGTCAAGTCGCCAATATCACTGACATTGGCACCGAAAGTCTGGCCCAGCCATACGCATATCCCTGCATAGAGCAGGAACCCGATGCGGCTAATGCCCCACCATCGGCCGCTCCCTCGTTTGCCCAGATCAGACATCAATCCCACCGAGATGCGGCCCAGACAAGAGCACAAACTGATAAGGGAGACGTGGTAATTCTGCAGCTGCTGAAGGCGAATCAATTCCTCCTCCGTGGGCGGGGTCGAGGGATCTACCATATGGTCGAGGTATATGGATCGGATAACGTTGCCTGCATTGGTCACATACATGAGGCCAGGTCCAGACAGGAGCATTATACTCAAAAACAGCAGTTGTGCCACGAGAATTGTAGTGAACAGCTTGAATCCTGAGACCGGTCGGCAAATGGCTGCTGAAGACGTGACTAAAAGTCGCTCTTGCTCCTGGGTGCGCCTGCGTCTTTCCTCTGCCACTTCGTCATTAAGCTCCTCTGAGTGCTCAATGCTTAAAGATCTGGCTGCTGTGACAGCCAGTTCAGGATCTTCTTTACCATCCTGACCGTCCACCGGGACGACATTAAGAAACAAGATCGAAATCAGAATGGTGCCTGCGATGGCCCTGGCAACGAGGTATAGGAATGCCTGGGTGTCATCTTTGTAGAAATGATTGTTAATCTGCGCAAACAAGAGGGCGGACAGGCCAAAGCAGGCGATAGGGACACCCATGGCCAGACCTCTAGCAGACTGAAAGTTGTGGGCATTGGTACTGACCGAGGTCATGTAGCCAGCCTGACTTCCCATGCCTACCAGGATCAGGAAGACAAAGGCCAGGAAGAAGCCAAAGGAGTAGAAGAGTCCGGAGTAAGTCAATGCCAGGCCAGTATAACCTGTCATGAGCAGCCCTGCCGCATATAGACCAACACTTTCGGAGAGAGAAAAAAAAGCAGTACGAATTAGTTTCGGATTGAGAAGGAATATGGTGATTGGAAATTCGATCTGCACTATGCGAACAAGTGCTTAGTGAGTGCAGTGCATCACCCGCATAATGTAGATTGAAACTGCACATTTGACCAGATATGACGCCCATCTAACGGACTTCGAGGCAAACTGCTTATAGGTGATGGTGTGATTGGGAAGCAGGTTTCTCCCTTGGACATTCTGCAACATTGCACTCAGCACAGACACATGCATATCTCGATAGTCCATTCAGCACTTACACTTTTGGTCCACGGCTGTCGACTAGCCGGCCAAAGAGGGGACCTATCAGCGCAAAGAGATAAATCTGGACCAGTCAGTCTCCTCATAATCTCCATAATTTCGATCTGGCATCTGGAGTCTGACAGGACGTCGTACCTGAGAGGAACAGGCCATAGTGAACACCAGCAGCCACGGCCTATTTCGTACAGCGGATCAAGGGGAAAAGAGGGAAAAGGAGGGAACGAATGATCGTTGTCAGTTTGGGTGCTTATGGTAGCCAATAGCCACAGATCGGATCGGGTAAGAAACTACGCCAGCGAGGACACCATCGCAATTGATGCAATTACGAAACTGAGGCAAATGAAGAAATTGGAAGCAGTTGTGTGAGAATCGAACAGAATAAAGCGAGCAAGTCGAGGCACGAGAGGAGACAAGAGCTCGAGAGCCCGTGGACATGTGGGAAAGGGTCCAAACAAAATTAGCACAAAGAGGATATGGGTGGTTTACATTGGACTGCAGGGCTGTCAGATCCAACTTCGTCGTGAGTTGATTTGCATAGGTCGAGTAAAGATAAGGCGTGCCCGAGACTAGAGCAACCGCACAGGCGGCCAGGAACGATGCAGCCCTTGCGGCAGATGAGATCTCTCGAGTGAACGTCATGTGGTATCCTCCGAGGCGAGGGGAAGTGGGAAGGGGAAGAAGAAGGCGATGGAAACCGCAAGAGGGCTAAATGGATGTGATATCAATGCCAGCAATAGGACTGGGGCTGGGCAATGGACTAATTTATGAGGGAGAGCGACAGAAAAAAGAATGAAAGAGAGAAAGAAAGAAAGAAAGAAAGAAAGAACGAATGGAATGGCAGATGTGTGAGATGATGCGAGATGACAGCAATGACAGCAGAGGGCGGGCAAAGTCCATTTCTAATGTCCGAGACCTCTGTACCTGGAAATGACGCACCGGCCAGGTCGCAGTGTTTTGAGGTTGTATTTGTGGAGGGTACACACACGCACAGACAATGATATGGTAGGGTTGGGACCTTTTAAGCTGTACAATGACGGTATCTGTGAGGTATTGTTCCATTACTATAGCCATACATTCTCTGGCCTTGCTCACCACGGTCTTTCTCTCTTTTACCTCCTTTCCTCCTTTGATCTTTTTATTCCCTCGCGTTGTACAACCTTCGGTTGATGTGGTCTGTGTCGTCAGAGGGCAAGTTGGGGATGTAGATACGCACCGGGGCAGGACAGACGCGTCGATTTCGAAACTCCGTAAAGGGATCACCACCGCAATATTCGCACTCGCGTCAGCCCTTTCTTGTAAAGATGTCCCTGCACGCATGTGTTGAGTTTTGCCACAATGTGGTCCTGGAGAAGAACAGAGGGAGAAAGAGGTGATTTATCTTGGCTCAGGGGCGACAACATGACCATTCGTCAATATGTCAGAATTCAGACTTGACCAGTCAAGGCAGAAGTCCGCATGCGAGCGCGCCTCAGCCAGCTCCATCGAAATGGACACATAGACACGTCTCGTGAGGCTCTACACTATGAAGCTGACACTAATTGTTCTCTCTAAAAGGCCACGATGAATAGCAATAAGGATGTATAGATCCTCTCCCCTTGAGGCAGAGGCGCGACCCTATTCCCATTTATCATCCCCACTTTTACTGCACAGAGCGCCTCTGCCATCCATCGCGTCTTCGGATACACTCGCCTGGCTTCCCCCATTGCGAATAATATTCAGAGATACGAATCGACGCATGAATGGTGTCTGTTACCATTTTACTCAGTATCTGCTCGATCTTGCTGCCAGTATTCGTCATCAACGCTAAAGTAGCTTCTGCGACTAACTTTGAGTAGAATTATTGGAGGTGAAGTGGGTTCTGGATCAAAACCAAAGTTGCTTCGAAACTTCAGGATTGTTAATAGGACATCATATCCTGAACCCACAAGCGTACAAGTACTAGTTCATGCAATTGTTATCAGTGCAGTATATTGCTTTAATGCTGGTTTAAGTGGCTGAGGGGCACTTCATTGTTGATATGGCAATGCTTACTTTCTTCTCCTCCTCTACGGACACCTGTATGAAAAGGTGGCAGACAAAGTCAGTCGCACATGGGTTGCGCTTCTTCGCTACGGTGGATGTTCTTTGGCGACCAAGCCTGCTAACTCCAAGACTCTAATCCTCAGGCCATCTTCGTCTACAACTAGGCATCCTATGTCTTCCCTACAGTTTTTGTTCCAGTCACGACCGTCGACGCATCAACGCCAACAGCTGCGGGAGCATTACCATTCACGCAGGAGTATATCGCTTCAGTGCTAACAGAGTGTCCAGTACAAGACCTTGGCAGTGAGATTGGGAGGAAGGGCCGAAAAAAACCACACCAAAGATGATAGGAACGGTGGCTTTAGACGCCGTAAAAGCGATGAAGGCAACGATATTGGTGGCGAGGCAATGCAGCAGCAGATAATGTATGTCCAAGCCAAGGTGGATAAGCTACCTCACCTAGTTCGACGAAGGCAGCAGCTTCGACACCTGAATATAGGGCCGAGGATACTGCAGTCCGGCCTTGCAGAGTCGTATATTGATTTTAGGACCACGGTTGCTCTAGTTGAGCGAGACGTTATCAGTTATCTGTTCCAGCTTCTCATCGGATCAGCTTCCCATGTACAGCTTCCCACTGCCCTGCGGCTGCCTGAACGATTACACGCTATCATGCGCCCTCAGCTACCGTCGAAAATAGCCACAGCGGTAGTGCGATCGTCGAATTGATGGTCGGTATCTCGCCCTTGTATGCAGACCGGACCCCATCTGATCCACTGTTCTTTTCCATGTCTAGGCTTGTCTTTATAGCGGTTATTAGCTTCCTCTGATCTACCAGGATACCATCAGACATATCTTCAGCGGCTGCTACACATACGTTGTAGCCAAACGGGTATCCTCCATCGAGGCCAGCATGGATTCGATCTACTGAGAGACAGAGGCCTTTACTATGAGCTCATCTTCATCGCATCGCTGAACAGATACCGACGGCGTGAAGCCCCGCAGGCTCTATTCTCGGATGACTTTGCGCCTAGTCTACACCTCAGAACGTCGTCTACCGCCTCACGCTCAAGAGCAGTGGGTCAAGGTGTGCCAGTGAAGAATCTGTAACGCTGGCAGAAAGGATCAACGGTATTAGTAGAAAGAGACACGCGTTTATTGAGATGTATTTGACGCCTAATTTTATTACTTCTGTTGTGCCTTATGGCTGAGTACTTGATGTCCCTGAAGGAGCCGAGTCTTGATCCTTTTTGGCTCTCATGCCTGCAACAAACTTGCGAATGTTGACGTTGATCTTGGTACTGGCTGCAAAAGACCCACCTAGTTGCCCATGCCCACTCTGACTGGCACCATTGGCTGCTCCTGTACCTGATGCGGTATTTGAATCCTTATCCTGTCCCAACCCAAACAATCCACCGCCACTGGTGACCAACTCACCACCAAGAGCGTTCGCGCCACTATTGCCAGGTGAGTTGAGATGCTGAGCAGCAAGAGCAGCAAAGGGACTATGACTTAAAATGCTGGATGTGACAATGTTTCCAAGCTGATAGGGATTGTTGTCTCGGGCGCCTCCTGTTCCTGGACCACTGGGCGTCATCAATCCAGCAGGGCCTGAGGACCCCCCAAGGACCATGCCAGACATGTTTCCAGCGAGTCCAGCTGTGGGTCCCACAACACCTTGACTGGAGACGTGTGCTGGCATTCCTTGTAGCAAGGACATGACTGGCGAGTTTTCCTGTAGGTTCTCCATACCAGCCTGCTTCTTTTGAAAGTGGTCAACCATCTGTTGCTGCTCCGCTCTCTTTAGTCCCTTGAGCTCAATAATTCGTTGGAAATTTGATAGATTCCGATCGCCAATTAGCAAAAAGTAATGGTCGATAAACATGTCGAGTGGTTCATGCGGGCTCATAGCTGTCTTGAGAATTGTCTCGATCTTGCCCAAGCCTCGGCTGACAAATTTGACAAAGCTATTATGGGTTAAATAGGGCGGGATCGTGTGTGAGCCACACGATGAATTAACATAAAATCGTGCACTGGCCATGATCGATAGGGCTTACGAGGTAGGGATTGGCACGGAGGACTCTAATCCCAGATTAGGAACCTCCAGTAAGGACGATTTGACAGCCTGAGTGTCTAGAAGCATTTGCTCCGCTCCAATTTCAGATATGGGTTTGCATCTCGTGAGGTTGATTGCGAACCTAGAGACAAACGATCTATGGTAAAAGCGCACGGGAAATGATCTGCATTAGACTGGCCAACATACAGCCGATAACCCTATGGTTGGAGTAACGATTACAACGAGTAACTGAAGCACTACAAGTTATCGAACGTACTCAATGAGCTTGTCACAAAATGTTCTGAAGTATCTCTTATTGGTAATGAGGTCCTGAGTAGCTCCAACGCATGTCACAAGTGTTCCCTGTATCATGGAAACATATTCCGATTGGTCCCCGACATTCTCTACTGTGGCCCAAGGCAGCTTCGACATAGAATGCAACGCGGGTTCGTAGTGGTTCTCTACTGCCCGAACCAGAGCCTTCGTGCAGGCAGAAATGATGCTGTCAAAGACAAAGTTGCTCCGGTTAGCATGTTATAGTTTTGATGTCAAATGATAACAGATGTTAGCAACAACCCTGGCCAACAATCGATGCTTACTGTAGAAATGCCTGACGCTCCGATTCCATGCTGACTTGGTCCACAAACTCGGGGTCGATATTTGCCCATAGCCTCTCTTCTAACTAAAGTTGATAAGTTAATGACGACGAGAACAACTCAGCAAATATACAGGGCTTCTAACTATGGACGGTAGGATGCCAAGGAAGTGTCATGGCTCCAAGGCGTACCTGGCTGGTGGTGGTAAGGGAATAATCAGCAGTGTTGAGGATGATGCAGATAGATCGTAGGAAATCCCTATTAATGGGACGCTTGTCTCCTCTAGTTGAGTCCATCATATGCATACCATGTGTGGGGAATGAATTAGCACAGCACCATGACCACAACCTAGAGGGCCTTGTACACAATGATTTATGAATACCAAATAGAGTCCTCGCTAGAAAGTCGCAACCCTCATCTACCCAAGAGTGGATCACCAAAATGGGGCAGTATGTGCGTATTTAAAATTTGATGATGTGACTTTCAGACGAGGACTTATCAACTTACTGCTTGGGGAGCTTTCCCATGAGGACGTCGTTGGCATACACTCGAAGCCATTTTCCAAAGACTGTGCAGAGATCCAGAAAAGGCTTCTTGCGTGACATCTTAGCGCAATTGGTCAAGGCTGACTTGTAGAATAGGAAAATATCTGTACTGGAAGCCAGGACAGTAATCGAGAGATCGTCTTCCGGTACTGGTTCCTGAAGTTTAAACCCGGCGATTTTTTCTTCCAATGCCCTAAAGGCCATAATTTAAGAAAACAAAATGGAAATCGTACCAAGTTCAGTTTCGTGAATCTCGTAGACATCTGCAGGAATACATGTGCGCAACGTACTTATCTTCCGCTTCGATGTAAAGGCTGAGGTATGGTTCGAAACAAGGCGATATACTCTCTGCGAAGCCTGCACCGTCAGTCTCCTCATTTAATGCGTAATCGACATCCTACAATTCAGACATTGTGCCATTAGAGGAGTATGTACGTGTAGAAAGCAGAGAGAAGCGGTATCCTTGTGTTTACTTTCGCGCTGCTTACCCTGCACAAGAAACGGTTCTCAAGCTGGGTCTCGAACTCTAGCGTGAGTTGCAGAACTTGCAATAGTAAAGGAACCTCCACAGTTGATGCAGTTTTTGCCAGGATATCGGCAAGATCGGCTCTATTTTTTTTTTTGAGTCAGTGCTCAGAGAATAATATACAAGTTTGTATGATCAACGGCGGATAACACATCGTTTTGTGCTGGTAATGTACCTGGTGATTCCACAAAATTGCATGCACAAGACACGGGAGACATCCCAGGCTGGGGGGAAAATATGCGCATGCTCCTCATCGTGGATCTTGAGAAGCCGCTTCAACCATGCATAGCGTCTAGAAGTATTGTCCAGCGCTGATACCTCCTCGTTTGGTTTGAATACCGATCGATAGGCTCGTAACTGTAATTTGCAGTACCACTCAACAAGGCTACGTCTAGGGTGCATACATGAAGCAAGAAATAAGGCCAGACTTCCGTCAGAAACAGGTTTGTAACGAAACGTCCTGAACCAATGAGTCAGATACGCACCTGACGTCTTCGCCCAGAATGTCAATGACAAGACATGCGCTGGCGAGCTGACCGGCGTTGCCCACAAGTATTCCGTCCTGAGTAAAACCATGCTCAAAGTCCTTGACAATATCGTGCTCGAGCTCTACCTGCAGCTTGGCCACAGATTCTGTGAGTTCGGCGATCTGCCGTACGTTTTGAAAAGTTCGGAAGTACTGGATCAGCTGAAGGACCGCCTATGTAACATGAAGCAGGCATACGACATCCGCGCAGAATTAATGTGAGTCTTTAGTAAGAATATTGGCCGCGGACATTAAGACATAGGCATCCCTTAAGCATAACTGCCTACCTCAAGCAATTGAGCAGTTTCCCTGTATTGCTTGCGCTGAGCCATGGCCTTTAACTGATCCACAGCGGTAACTATCGAAACACGACTGGCTGCTTAATGAATACGTTCACTTGCCAGAGACCATTATCCACCATACGATGATATGCCTACCTACCCAGCATCTGCAGACGTTTGAGTGTTGTAATGGATGTAGTGAGGTGGCGCTTGGCATAATCGAGACTCTTGATGTCCTGGGTGATTTCCTGAACCATTTGTTCCGACTGGGTTGCCTTTTCTTTGATCTCCTTGATCTTGAAGAACAACATCTAGATACACGGGAAGGACGCCAGGCGATAACGCGCACGCGGCTCGGCTTAATAAAATGAATCGACTATGTAGGTTGCGTAGTGCGCGATTACCTCTGTCAGCCTGAATGCTGAATCCTTATACCTCGATGCCTTTTTTTGCCGCTTCGACTTCTTCCTGACCTTTCTGGCCGCCATCTGTTTGCGCTCGAGTCAGTTCACGCAGCTCCTCCTGGACCTGCGTGGCCTTTGCTTGTAGTCTCGCAAGCACCTGGTCCACCGCTGCCAGAGAGTGTTCTAAATGAATAAAGATAAATATGGATTGAGAAGGTATTCGATCGTTTGCATGCGCAGCGCCCGGCCATAAGGCTGGTCCCTAAAGTATTCACTCTTGGGTTCAACATGGAACCATTGTATCAAGTTTGTTTCGCGCCCTTCGTACCATTGGGAAATATTTTGTTGATGTATTCGACAGAGCTGAACTCCTGGGCATCAAGTGGATCCTTTGAGCGAAGGATGTGGGTAATCGAGAAGTTGAGTTCAGGTGCTAGCTGTATGGCATCTGTTGTAGCGACATATACGGACTCTTGTGTCGCTGCAGGCCCTGCGCTGTTAGGCATTGGACTCTTTAGATTAGGAATCGTGGCTGCTGCCATGGTGTGGGGGGATGTGTGATGTGTGATGTGTGATGTGTGATGGCCAGTTTTGACACTGTGCTCGCCTGTTTCGGATCCTGGGCGCTGGTGTCGGCTCTAGTGCTGCTAGTGCCGATGCTGGTGCTGGTATTGGTACTGCCCTCATAGTACATGTCCTTGGACTGGCTCTGCACGCGCTTGTGGTAGCAATGATATTTTGAATAAGGGAAGTTCATTTTACAGATGTAATGTTTTTTGCCATGTTGACATGGCCTATTTCTAGAGTAAACCCAGCCAGAAAAAGCCTGCGGGGATGACCATGAGCTTTTTGGATCGATCAGCTCAAGAGAACAATGTCACTGTTGAGCGGTACAAGTGGTTCAGAATTGCACCCCCTCGTTCCATGTGCATCCACGGTCGATGGCTAGTGGTCTATCCGAAATAAAGCGTTCTATACAATCGAAATGAATCCGTGCAAGTGGGTCCGCAGGTCGAGGCATGTAGTGTAACGGATGCGGCTCGAGCGATGGTTCTGTGCGACACTACAAAGCATTTCTCGGGTTTCTCATGCCACTGAGACATGCTCTTCATCCGCATAGTCCACTCCTCTTTCAATCTATCTACTTTAATCATCACCAACCACACCACATATTTGAATTGAGTTTGTATTGTTCCCAGACCACATTGACATGTCATAAATGGTCCTCTGGGGGGTGAAGGAGCCCATCCAGGAGGCTGCATTAGGTATTCCCGGAGGATGGATGGAGACTGGCGAGTCCTATGGAGGGGTGGAGGCGCGCATTCCAGCCCTTATCTTTATCGCAGAGGGGGCAGCAAGAGAGCGGGTAAAGGGGACGGAGGACAATTCAAGAATGGATCGCTCCTCCTCTCCTCGCGTCTCTTCATTTTAGCGCTGCCACTGCCACTGCCTTGCTATAGCTACCGCTACAGCTACAGTTGCCGCCTCTGTTCTTTCCTTCTACCATTCCCGAAGCAAGTCGTCGCTATCAATTCTCCTCCCACATGTGCCACTGAGCCAAGTATCACAGATCCTATTCGTTTGATCCGGGTCGCCAATCTGTCTCGGCTCTTCTCTCCTTCCAAGCAGTTGCCTTGAGACTGCCTCTCTTTCAATCCCACCACCAGTCCTCTCTCTCGCGCCTCGTCATACACCATTTACGCACCGCACCCTTGCAGCTCCTTTATGTCACTGGCATTGGAAAAGCTGGAGACCTTTTCATATTGCCACGCTATCAATCGAAGAATACGCTCTTCATGGATCCCATATCCTCATCCTTTTTTTCGTCTGTCAAATAGGAACAGATATTTCCATGGAAGCGACATCTATTGATAGACTCACGTATAGACGGAGAAGTATATAAGCGACCATCTGTATCGTACGCTAGACAGTTCACTACAGAGATGACCTCTGCGTTGATAGGTCATTACACACCACTAAACTTCAACGCTACTCGCTTGCTACCGATCTCCGAGGATAGACCACCATTATCTCCCTCGAGCGCCCCGGCGGTCTCTTTACACGCCATTTCAGCTTACGGCCACCAGACTTTGCTGCAGCAGCAAAAGGTTCATCGCAATCTACAGCAAGACAACTAACACAATCAGATGTGTAAGGAACATATGCGTGTCTCTTCAGGTATCGATCCTATTCTGGAGGATCCACTTCATATGGTCATGGACGAATATCATGACTATCACAATCATAACCACTACCACCGCTGGTCCTCGCCTTCGCACCTCGATCACCCACAGCAACAACAGCACCCATCTGGCGCGCAACTGTCGCTGCAGCATTTATATAAACAAGGCAACAGCATCAACTACGAGCTCTCTAGCGCTGCTGGAACTATACAACGACCGAAATCTATCACTAAACAAAGGAGAGCAAAGGACAAGCCGGCCAAAAGTGACCGGGAGGAGGTAAATTGGCGATTGAACAGAGGCGAATTAGTGTAAAGGCAGTATGGAGACCATACCACTAAAATGTATATTGTAGACTTAAAAAAAAAAAAAAAAAGATTCGTGAGCAACCATGAAGAAGTTGCCTCAACAAAGAGACCTGACATGTTAATTATCTTGCTTTGTTAAATGTATCTACAAAAGGTGTGGCCACCGGATATTGCGAGTGCATCTATGTAAGGTAAGGTCACATAGGAATCCTACTGCTGTACCTTGACTCGATAGGTCCTACCCAGACAATTCCAGTCATACTCGCCTTTTGATAAACAGCGTTGGAGGTCTTCCCAAAGCTCAGTAGGCGCAAGGTTCTAGTCAATAGCAAGTCCTGCGGGCGAAATGAGCCGATTGCCGACTTTACTCACCAGCAGACGCAGAAGGTTCGCAACCGCAAGCAGGTCTCGTTTCACATACAAGTCCTCAAGATACTCATAAACATGAATCCGCATGTATGACGCATGCTCTATATGTTTGCAAGATCGAATCATTAGGAAGCACAAAATAATTCTTGACATTGTAGTTTTCCTTATTGCTTCATACATACACTAGTTCTGCGATTGCTAGTAGATAGTGGCGATGGCGAAGAAGACACACTGCCAGATACGAAATATTCTGAATACGGCACTGTAACTCATTGCCCCATACCCTTCTCTCACCTTCGACAGGGCAGCGTTGAGCAGCCACTCATCGATGAACGCGTGCAGCAGATATCAGACAGGACCACTGCCTTTTTTATTGACGCCAGATCCCCCCAGGCGTGCAGGCGTGCCACAGGCTGCATTGTCCTCAGACAGGACCACTGCCGCACTTGCTTTGGCATCTTTTTTGGAGCAACACGTGACGCTATCTGGACAACCTAAATTCCAACAGCACCACGTACGTCGGTGCCGCAACCGAGAAAGATCATGGGCATTGACCGAATGGCGGTCAGATCGACCGAAATGAGAGCTCCTCGATAAAATGGTATTCAGTCTATTTATAAACAATCCATCACAACGCCTGAGTATGCGGCCTCTTTGACACCAGATAGTAGACAAATGGGCCTCAAAGTCAGCAACTACCTCAGGTAGGCAATGCCGCAGCTTGGCATAACGCCTTTCCCCCACCATTCGGTCCTAGAGGGTCCTCCAGGGCAAGTGCAGCCATCCGACCCGTACGAACTTCGTGCCCTCTCTGGCCGTCATCCTTTGGATTCTTCATTCAATACTTCAAAGAAGAAGCACAATTGGATACAGTAGACGACCCACATGACAACGGATATAACGGTGCCAGTGGTACTTCCAGTGATTCTGTCAACACATATTTGGCTGAGGGTTCCATCGAGATATGTCCATGAGCTGGTTCGAGCACATAATCTAATTATTACGCGTTTGGCAGCATCAACATCCATTAACTAGAAAAGTTCACCAGTCTGTATAGCCTGTACGAAAAGACTTCATGTGCGTTCATGTTCATCAAAACTGATATGAAACTAGGCTTAAACTTGGAGGGCAGCTTTGAAAACATTTGCCTCTTCACTTCGGACGAGCACCGAGCGCTGAGATGTTCAACACTCATCTACTCCTTTGAGGCCAAGGTTTTGGAGTCGACTGGGGTGAAGCAGACAGCACTCATCAATGGAGAATTTGTACACAGTTTCGGATTTGCCAACCAGTTCTTCGACTCATTCCTCAGCCGTGTCTAAAATCTGGGAACAGCGGGTGAGGTAGAGATTACATTGTGCAATTTGCCCATTATCCAATTTGCCCATTATCCAGATTTATGAGGACCTGGACTCGAAGACTGATGGAGGGTCAGCCTTGCTGATGATGGCTTTTGGTTTTGAGAGAGGAAGTGGCAGTATGGTTCCCTAAAACATTATGGATGGCTCAGATATGCTGGAAACCTTAGGTTGCTGGCAAGTAGTACGCTCCATTTCTAGAAAGGAATTTTCCTGGCTTTGAACACTAAAAAAGGAGCGCGCATTTTCATTGTTGCACAAGAACGCGTCGCGTAGCAGTTGCAGCTCTCCAATTCGGCAGTGGCTTGTTCTTCAGTCTTCACAACACGATTGTGAAAATTTTTTCATGATATGAGGACCCGTCTCCTCCTCTTCACTCTCTTCTTTCTTTCACTCCTTTCTTGCATCTTCCTCTTCCTCCTCTTCACATCCTAACGCATCACACAACTAATTTATCCGCACAAGGTAACCATTGATACCACTCCTTACACTATCTTTCATCGTGCTTTCATGTGTGTGTGTACTTTCAATCTGATGATCCAAACGACAATTTGCACGTCAGTCATACTGCCTTCGGCAATGATGAGCAATTATCTATACCCAAATTTCTGACCTTTGTAACCATCGCCACATATCATTGATCCCTACCTTTGATATCGTCCATTGGTTCATGAATTGAATAGCAGCAACTGACCCTCGTCTTTGTTGTTTATATTTAGGTGAAATCGATCGCTCGTTTTCGTATGGAGTTTATGCTATTACTATCAATAAAAGAGTTTTTGATCACTATCTATATGTGCAAATTCTGTCGGCTTGTAGCTCCAGACATTGGAAGGATATGATGTCGATGAGACCGCGTGATCCATGTTTTTATTATGCTCCGTGAACTCGTTGTCCACTGTCTATCTAGACGAGGCCAGTTGAGTGAGGTATCCATCGATCTGTCCCTGAATCACAGTGTTCGGACACTTGTCCCTGATCTCACTATAGTAGTCAAAAGTAATGGGTTTCATTGTCAGCACATATTGAAGTAGTGTAGGCATCAATTGTGTCAGCAATAGGCTTACCGCAGTGTGTCCAGATCCTTTTGCAGGAACGCTTGCTCTCCGGCTTCTTGAAATGCCTCGATTTTTAAAAACAGGCCTGCACGAAGGTGAGCATCGCACTTGAGAATGTATTTGGCGGCCTCTTTGAATTGCATTGCCTTCACACACTCTTCAACAAACGGTTCGTAGCCAATCGGCGACTTCTTGGACTTCGCCAGTGTCGCAACCCCGTCCCAGTCGCGGATCTCGACCAGCGCTCGCAATTTGATCCACCAAAATCGCTTGTCTGGCATCTTGAAGTCGCCTCGAACCTTAGAGGCGCGAGAGCTTTGGTTAATTGTGATGAGTTTATAGACCGTACTGCTGATGGAGAGACCAGTGAATGCTTGTGCGCAATCCTTTTCCAATTGCGCTTGTATCTGAAGGAGCCGGATGCTCTCTTCGATTGCCTAAATTTACAAGGGTCGGATTATAGCGCATGAGTTTACTTGTAAAATGAAGTAGCGAGCCTTGACTGGTCTCAGCCAAATCTGCAGACGGAATAAGGCCACACCTTTGCTTCAAATGTATGCTCCTTGTCATCTTGGTAGAGGCGAAGGGCCGCCTTAATCTTGTTGATTCGTTCTGTAATGTCTTTCAGCTGGAAACTCTCCATCAATGTCAAATTGGCGCTGTCCACACGGCGATCGTCTTGGAAATAAAAGTCCTTTAAAAGTTCTGGGTCCTGCTGCCTGCAATATGATTCCAAAAGATTACAAGCCAAAGGCTTCTTATCGATGATCTTGAAAAACTCCCCGAGTGGCAGCTTGCGTTTCAAATGCAGCAGCACATGGTAGACTGTAAATATCGAGGTAAAAAGGATATCCAGGGTTAGCAAGAAGAAACACCACCGTATATTCAGCTATACTGGAATGACAGGCGTATTGCTACGTACCAAGATCCGTGTCCCCGCTCTCAATGGCCTTTATAAGTGCCAACTCATCCTGTTGCATGCTCATCAGCAGGGGCACCTGATCGCCAGCCCGCGGCTCATAATCCAAAAGCTAAAGTGGCCAGAGGAAGTTGCAAGACACACAGACTGTTAGAGCACTCGTCGCTATGGCTGGTACCCACATGTATTAATTAACAACAAATAGCTGTACCATCGTTGCCAGTTTGGATTGGCCAGCCCTGTGTGCTGTCATGGCAATCTCCGAGTAAGAAAGCCCCGGTTTATTGGCAAGTTTCTCCACAACCATGCGACAGATGGTATCTTCGTCATCGCTGGACTTCTTGATTTTGGAGCAGGCCCAATGAATAAGGATTCTATCCGTCCTCATTTTGAGGTATTCACAAATCCGGATTGCAAGCAAGTACTGATGACGACTTATTAATCGATCAATCAATGCTTCTGGCGAAAGTCTTTGATATCTACGTAAATATATATATAAAAATATAAACAGCAATTAGAAAAAAGTAAAAGCAGAAAAAAACAAAGTCAAGATAGTCCAGGCTACATACTGAGCATAAGTGAGGGGTATCCCGATTTCATAGTAACGAACGGCGTTCAGCACACGAAGTACCATGCACATTTCGACAAATGAGTCAGCATTATGAACCTCCAAGAAGCATTTTCCGAATGAGGCTGCCTATACATTAAGAAGAGTAGAGCAGAGAACTTAGTATGGGCACAGCGGATAAATCGCACCATTTCACAGCAAATAAGGTACCTTGAGAAGAGAACGCTGGTACTGGTGAGAAATCTCGTGCCCTGCTGCTTCAATGCACGCCTCCACCGCATCTGATAGTTCCAATCGAATGCTCCGAATATTTTCGTCCGCCTTTGGGCTCTTTTTCTATAGATGGAGAAATAGTATTGGACATGTTAGGGTAACAAGTACTCCCCTGGAAAACGCACATTTGAATCATCGGACTGTGTCCTCGTCACCTCGAAATGGTCCAAAGCGTCGTAAAGCATAGCTGCAGGCGCCGTTGATCCAATTTTAAAAATATTCTCCGTTACATCTAATTCGAAAAAGGCACCAAAGCAAGATATACAACAAAGTAGTGGATTAGTAGATGCTGGTTGCTCGTGAGGCGGCAAACAGTATGACGCTGTCTACTTACCTGGCACCTTCTGCAGGAACTCGCACTTTTCACTGCTGATGACCCTGATTCCGTCGATTTCGGGAATCAAGAAAATCGCATCGTCATACGAATATCTAAAGAACGTTATCGTAACATTAGCGTCGGTGTAAAGTGCACCTCAATTAGGATCTTGCGCTTCGTTACATGCCCATACTTGATCCAGTCGCCATAGGGCCCGACCATCAGTACAATCTTGTCCCAATACAAAACGACCGAATCTGTCCCGCACCTACAAGTGATGATGTTGTGAGAATTGATTCTTATATAGGCAGCAGATGATGCGTCTCAAACTGACAACGTTATCCGACAACATACCAGACGAGTTGTTGTGGAGGGACTTGAGATCGCGTTGCAAACTCTGAGAGATTCTTTTGAAAGTCGGTGGAGACGACCCAAAGCTTTCCATCGGAGGTAAATAATGCCAAATACTTTCCATCGGGTGACACTGACATCTTTGTAAATGGTCCTTGTTGTAAACGCTATGCGATGATGGAAAAAATTGGGGCAGTCAATTGAATATGATAACTCGAGTCGGCGTAAACGCGGTGCATGGATAGCAAAGAATCATGGCATAGTAAACGTTCGACGCACCTCATCCCTAGCCTCCGTGGCGTCCACTACAAGAATTGTTGAATTCACTGCCAAGAGAACCTCTACATGTCGGCTCAGGGTGAACTTTGGAGGGATCACCGTCCAACTATGAGGAGGCTCGTTGATTTTAGGGTCTTCCAGGGGCAATGGCTGGGGTTCGTCAAAGTTCGTAAGTGCAATGAGCTGGAAATTTCCTGTGAGGGCAACCAGCCCCGTACCCCATATTTGCACATCGATGACCCGACTCTCTTTAGCCTCCTGTTAGGAGGATACAAGAGCAAGAATAGTGGGTCAATACGTGAGATGAGAGCCAGACATCATTTCTTCACGATTATTTAAAAGAGAGACGACGACCCAACCTTGCCAAGTGAAAACTGGGTATATTCTCCGAGAATGTTATACATGCGGACGGTTCCTTCTTCCAAGACGCAAAGTAATTGCTCATTGTCGGTCCATCCCATTCCCACGATACGTCCCTTATCCCACTAAAACATAGAAGCTCAAGCGCCAATATTAGCAAACGCTCAATTCAACTGTAAAGGCTTCCGAGACGCTTTGACACTTACCTGGATGGTTTCCATGAGCTTTCCAGATGACGTGTAAAGATAAATGCTGGGCTTCACAGGCTGTTGCTTTTGTAGCAGGAGCACCTTGCGGTCGTCGCGGACAAGAGCTGGTTGAGTCGATGGAGACGCAAGGAAAAATGGGGCGTTGTCTATCAGATCTTTTATTCTAAAAAGCGAACATTGAGAACACATCGCGCGATGTGGAGAGTCATCATCTTACCCAAAGGTCCGCCAAAGGGCGCAGCCGCAATCATGTACTTTGACAAATCCACTTGCTTCCAGAGCATGGTATAGATCTCTTGCTTTCTGCGTATGACCGATACAACAAAGTCGTTAAGAGTCGAAGGCGGCTGTCGCATGTCATGCTATCTATCACGCGAAGAGCGCGTTCTATTCGGAAGCTACAGTCCTCCGAGGTGAGTCCATACCTATAGAAGCGGTCATGGAGCTGGATCCAGTCCGCGGTTGGTGGGGACATGTTGGCTTCTGGTGGTCTGATATGATTTATTATTTGAGGTGGTGCTGTGATGCACGTTGCTGTCGAATTCTTTCCTGGTGCTCTGCCTTGTATTCTGTGCTTATCTCGGTGCGCTGCGGTGAATGAGTCTATGCCCTGTCAATGGATGGCAATCTATGCCGCGAGGGATTGATTCCAAACTCCTTCCCCTTCGGTTCTTCCTCGCCACGTGAGGCCGTGACGTCAGAGTTCCGGTTTCGATACCTTATCCTGGAAACAGGCAGAGATCAAAAGCACACCAAAGATCAGCTGGAAGCAGAATCGGCCTCAGAACAAGCGCTTACAGCCAGGATCCCATATCGACGTGCTCAGGAACGCGCACCGCCCTTCTTCCTTCAGTTCAGAATCAACGTGGCTAGGCGCCTCTGTGGTTCCAATCCTGCAGTATACACAACATGGCGCAACGTCCCATCGATGCGGAGGCTACCGAGGCCTTGCTGAAACTCGCATCTAAAACGGTCGACGATCAGCTAGGCAGGGAACAAAAGTATCCAGAGTTGAGTGATTTTTTCAACACGGACTTCTCTGCAATCTATGTTGCGCCCGATTCGCGTCAACAGATTCTTCGCCGCAAACGCGCCATCAGCTTGCCCGATACGCTTTTTGAACAGTACAATCGTAAGGCTCTTCCAATGTCTCTTCCGCGACTCTGACTGATATTGATCTGCACAAAAAAGTTATCAAAAGGAACTGGCGCTTCGTTATACTGATGCCCATTTCTCCTACTAGTGCTCGAATGTAGGTGCTTCATGGGCCTGTTCCCTGAAATTGGTCGCGTCTGGATCACAATCGACCATCGCCTGTTTCTTTGGAACTATGCCGACGGGTAAGGCTTGTCGAACACATATGTCTCATGCTCTTATCATAATAAAGCGCTGGCGTTTTAACTTTCTTGTTACTATTCATATCAATTTTAGCAGCAATTATGAGTCGTACGAGGAACTGGATCAGATTATTGTAAATGTTGCCCTTGTAAAACCAAAGCCAGGTAACTTCAGGATGAAGGCATTATTCGTATGTACAGATGAATTGGGAGCTTTGGGGTTTGCATTGAACTAAATATTCCTCGCGTTTCGTCCTCATCCTGTAGATACATTTGATGACAAAGTGGAGTACTTGCTTGTAATTGCGACGCCAATCGAGGTTCATTTATTGGGGATGGCTGTCGGAGCAGGAGCTAGTCCACACACGCTCTATATTACCAATATGAGCGTCCCCACCGATAACGTGGCCATACGGAGCATCGTAGGCACTGCAGACGGCCGGATCTATATGAATGGAAACGACGGGAGACTGTGGGAAATCGATTACCAGGCAGAGGAAGGCTGGTTCAGCAAGAAATGCTCCAAGCGTGAGGTGATCGGCAGTGCGCTGTCATATTTCATTCCCACATTCCTGAGCAAGATCAGAGTCGATCCCATTACCAAGATTGTTTCTGATGAATCGCGGCAGGTCATGTATGGTCTCACAGAGAATTCCAACATCGAGGTATTATATCGCGTCAAGGGATGATGGTGCATCGAAAATATATGTTATATACTGCTTCGTCTTTTAACCCTGACCTGGAATTCGTATCATAGGTGATTGATCTCGCTGGAGCTGCGCATGCAAGATCAACCATCAAAGCCAGCTATATTCTTCAGGAAGGGAAGCGGAAGAGTAACCACAATAGAACCATGGACGAGAATTTATTCAAAATTGTCGATATCCATATCATACCCTCGGCAGAATCCAAGGATATCAACCTTCTAGCTCTCACTGCGACGGGCTGCCGCCTTTACTTCGGGCATAGAGCAGCGCTCGACTACAATAACCAGCGGCATATCGATCAATCCAACTCTGGACTATATCTCTTACATGTGCGCATCCCACCAACATTTGAGAGTGCACCCGAGGCAGTTATGGGCGCTCAGGGCCAATATCGTATTCATCAGGCGCTCTATAACAATGGCATGTTCCTTGCCGCACATTCACTCAATGACGCCGCCGACGTACTCATTGCCACAGCACCAGATTCAGGGCCTATCAACCAAGCCTCGACAGCCAGCAAGGTAGACATAATTAACATTTCTGCGTCAGTCATATTCCTACCTGGCAGTCCTAAGCGCCTTTGGCAAGAATTTGCTTACTCAATGCTCTCTTACCACCTTAGACTATTGGAAACAGCTATATCCCAAAGCTGACCGAGTTAGCAATGATTGCAGGAATGGATGGCAAGATTTGGGGCATGTCTGAGGTTCCGGGAGTCAACCATGCTGGTGCAATCGACCCCTCCATCTCCAGAAATGAGCTTGCTGTGCAGCTTTCAAGATCTGCCCGGGAATATCTTGTGCTGACCAACTCGGGTGTCCAAGTTTTTGTGAAGCGCAGGCCCATTGACACATTGCAGCAATTGTTGCTCGACGGTCGTGGTGCAGAGAGCGATCTGGTCTCTTTTTTCACACAGTATGTGCAGCCAAGACCTTCAGTCGAATGTACCCTGTATGCCTATCAGAGATAAAACTACCAGAATACTGACATTATTTTGCGATCGCTATTGTTGGCGTGCTAGATATGGACGCGTGGAGTCATGTGCCATGTGCATAGCCATCCTTTGTGGACACCCTAGCCTTTCATCAGCTGCAACAGGATCTCAATGTAAGTGGAATGCCCGCATGTCTACATATGATTATCGAAAGAGGATGGTCCTGCTGCAGCCATTGTCCATGGCTATTTATGTTAATACAACCTGTCACGCTGTTCTCGTTTTAGATATGTCGTCTCAGTCTACCGCTGGGCCGAGCTCCGCGACTGCAGAAAGACTGTTGCTGGAATGGGGCGGGAGGCGCAGCCCATCGGAGAGGCTGACCAACGAACGCGTTGCTACAACCAACCTCGCAGGATCAGAACTAGGTCGACCAGTCTCTCAAAGCTGCTCGGGACAATACACCTATCGACACACTGCACTGAGTCTTTATTTGGCACGCACATTGCGACCTATCTGGAAACGTAAAGTTATCAAGACTGCCAATACTGCTCGGGGTCTCGTTGATTCCGAGATATCCGATCTTGTTCTGACGGCCGTGCAGAAGGATTTGTTTTCTCTTCGGAGTGTTCTGAACGCCAACATCGAGCTCTTCACACCCAGCGCAGTTGTGATCTCCAACCCTCCTGGTGAGAATGACCAGATCGAAATCGAGAACGCCAACGCGGAATCAAAATCACTGAAGGCGCAATTGCTTCTGATAACCCAGAGTATTGAAGGAATCGCTTTTGTGCTCTTCCTAATCGACTCTAAAATGTCAGAGACTGTATCGAAGTAAGTATTCGAGGGTTGCTACGTGATATATCTTTCTTTCTGGTTGCATCTTGCTCATATACTGGTAATATGTACACCGTATAGTATCCCACTGGAATCTCAACAGGTGCTTTTGAGTATCACGTATGAAACCCTACTGACCACCTCCAAGGGTCACGATTTGTGCCGCGAACTGGTCACTGCCGTCATTAACAAGCAAATGGGACATCATATGAGTGTAAGTTGGATTGGATCTTCTGCGTAGAGTGTGTGGATTGTACGACTTTATCGGATGGACTTGTTCACAAGTTGGTTGACTCTGTGAATTACTAATTTTTGTTGACCTTATAGGTGGATGCGGTGAGTGATACACTGCAGCGTATTTGTGGGTCCTTCTGCAGCCCTGGTGATGTGATTTTTTACAAGGCTACAGAACATCTGCGCCAGTCATTGTCGTCTAAGGACCCAGCTGATATTGAGGATCACGCAAGAGAATCATTAAGACTCTTCAAGAAGGTCCCGTTCTTGCTAGTCGATGAGACTCACGGACGTAATAAGCTTCAAAGCATCTGCAAGGATTACATGGATCTCAAGTTCTTCCCTGGTATGTATGTCAGAAAACAAGATCGATAATGGTTTCCTAACAAAACGAGATGGTATTAAATGTTGTATTGATTTTATTTAACATCATTCCCTTTTAGGTGCCGTTGAGCTAGCCCTTTCCTGTGCCCAAGACGTCGATCCTAGTAATAAGGCTGCAGGATATGTCAAGGATGGCATGAACTCTAAAGTAAGGTGACCATTGCAGACGGTAGCAACGGAGCCTGCTTTCTTTGTGTCAATGGTGATTTGGCAGTCCTTAATGAACTTTGACTAACGACGGATTTATTATGACTTCAGGATAATCGAGCGGAGCAATATGCGCAACGAGTGATTTGCTATGAGAATGCGGTGGCTGTCTTGAAGGAACTTGGTCTCGATTCGGCGCTGGGCCCACTTTCCAGTTTTGCATTCCACACACTGGAAACGGCTCTTCAATTTGACGACTCGTTGTTCCACACCTACCTCTACGACTGGCTATTGTCGCATGGCCGTGCCGACTATCTACTTGAGATTTCGTCGCCCTACATCGAAGAGTATCTTAAGCAGTGCACCATGCTTGAGTCGACGCGAGACCTGCTCTGGCGATACTACATCAAGAGCAACGACTTTGGCCGAGCAGCACAGGAACTCGGAAGAATAGCAGACTCTGCGCGGTACCAGTTGACGTTTGAGATGAGACTGGAATACCTCTCTCTTGCGGTAAGTAATGCCAAGAGTTACCCTGCTGGATCCGACCCTAAGACGGATAGCGGCCGTCTCTTGATCGAGCTTGAGGAGAAGTTGGAAGTCGGTAACATCCAGCTAGACATCATTCTGAGCTTGAAATCAATGCTCGAGGAGCAAAATCGCACGACCGAAAATCCAGCGCTCGATAATATGACAAGACTCGAGGCCCGTCATCGAGCCCAGGACCTCGAGACTCTGTTTCAGAATTGCAAAGCGCAATTGCTTGATATTAACATCGTAAGTTGCATTCGACATATTTTGTTTAAACTGACGATGGAACTATGTGGATGAGCTTGTTTGTTATAATATTTCATCTAACTCGGCATTTTATACCCAAGTTGTACCACACATACGTGGAGCCCCTTCATATGTATGAATCAATGCTGGCTATTTACCATGCCTCAGACGTTGACGACGAGTACCATGTCCGAGCCGCATGGGAGGGATTTATTGCGAAAGGTAAGACGGATGTCGAAAATGAGGCGCCCTCAAATCTGAGCCGGAGACAATATGACTGACCACAGTAACTGTTTTTATTTTATACTCGGTCGTGCTAGTGTTCTTGGAGGCCGTCGAGAATGGACGATCGCCTCTGACAGATGTCGAAGTTCGTGTCAAGGATCTTGGCCGGCGATTCTACCCATCGGCTAAAGTAACGCCCATCGCAACCATGGTACAGGTTCTGGAGCGCTACCCTTATCTGCGACCAACAGCTGGATACCGAGCCTCGCCAGGATGGGCAGTGCGTATTTTGCGTGAGATCGGGTTCCCATACGAGGCGCTCTTTGAAAGCTTCCATGCGCTGATTGAGACCAAGAAGAGCGAGTGGATTGGGCCGCGGGCTTCGTTGATGTTGATTCAGGACATTGAATTCTTACTCCGAGCATGGCTTGCTGAAAGCCATGGTAGTGGCATCCTTAGTGAACTGAACGATGCTCTTGGAATCAGCGAGGATGAATGGCTGATGTATGGAGGGGGACGGAGCGGAGTATCGGGTGCAGCTGCTGCAACTCTCGGACTGACGGGCACGGGGTCACTGGATCGGTTCAGGGCCAGAAAAATCGAGGACGCCATTCAAATGTACATCCGGATCCTAGAATCGGCATCATGGACGCCGGCACCGGTCTCAGGCGCGTTTGATGATAACCTTGGGGGCTCTGCACAGGAATTGGCGGTCAAGGCTGGGAAGCTTGTTCAGCGTCTACAGGTAATCCGGGAGCGGCTTCAACGCCTTTATTAGCCATAAAGAAGGACCGCTTACCGGCCAAGAAAAATCCATTTACGAAGGAAGGAAAATAAAGGCACCCCCATACATATCCAGAAGAAAAAAAGAACTACACTGGAACAAATGGCGACGTCTTTTCAATTATATACATGTGTCCCGACTATATAGACCAGGAAATAGTCGCTGGCTGGTACTAGGTCAATCTCTGGAGTCCTATAGTCTACTCACCTTTCACGCGTGGGAATTAACCAGGCGGCGATCAGCACACACGAATCCAGGGCAGGCATTTTATTGGCCAGCCCTTATTCTCACACAACTCTTCATCCCTCCATATAAGCAAGCACACACATAAAAAATTATCATACAACACGGCACCAGCGTGTCGAGAGCGTCTTGACGATTGACATGAAGCTTGCTAGATAGTAAATTCATGAGCAAGCACCAAACGGGGATCGTGTGAGGTGGCGCAAGGACAAGTCCTTGGGAAGCAAGAGCTTATCAACGGTTGTTTCACTTTCATTAACGACTTCATTTTTAACCCCGCAAGCTCGGGCAAACAAAGACCACCTTTGTCATCAATAGACATAGAACACTTCTTTCCTCTTCTTCATGCACCCCCTCTCCTGCCTCTCTTCCTTCATCCTGTCATCTTCTGCCTCTCTTCCTTCATCCTGTCATCTTCTGCCTCTCTTCCTCATTCTCGTCATTCTCGTCATTCTCGTCAGTGCTACCTACATCAATTGCCATAGCATCAATTGCTATCATGCCATCAGCTCCATCCACAACCTGCGGCCGTACAAAACAACAACTCTCTCTACCTGTTCTTCTCCTCCTCCTGACCACCACCACTACTCTTCTCACCACAGCAGCGTCGGCACCTTCCCCTGCACTGCCATCCGCATTACCATCAATTCGCCATGACCCATTCCATACTCTCCTTGGGCTCCAAACTGACCAAGAGCTCCCGACTGCTGCTGCTGCTGACGCCGCTCCACGAAAGGGTCGTACAGTTGACGTACCGCACTTTGTCAGGCACCTGATCCCTAGACAGCAACAGCAGCAGCACCGGCGGCAGTACGCTGCTGACTCTATCCATCATTCGAGCCATGCGTCCTCACATATTTCGTCCTCTGCATTCCATCAACCCATGCCACAGCCGAGTTTTGGTCGTAAGGAGCATGATCACACCCTGCACAAGCAAGGACACTGTCGGGTAAAGAAAAATACCGCCCGTCCGTTGCGGAGCTGCTATTCACGCTACCAAGAACCTTTATTAACAGAGATCACCCGAGTTAACATCGCTCCTTTTTTTTTATCTGCCTCCACCTTCTGTAGCAGTCAGTGCAGATCGAAAACTCACTCTGCGACTACGATGCAGTGGAAATCATCAACCGGGAGATGCGGGAGCAGCTGCAGGCCCTGGTCCAACAAAAGTACTTCAGGTTTTACAAGGTATCGTAGAAATTTATGTGTTTAAAGCTGCAGACGTGTCCTTGACATTGCCCTCTCAACATCCTCTCTTGCTCGGCATTGCACATAGCTCAATCTATACGGCACATGTCCCTTCTGGACCGAGAATCATCTGTGCACGAACAAGGATTGCGGCGTCGCTGTTATCGATGAGGTACCAATACATTAATCTATCGAACATCACATGTCGAGATGAAAAGGCGCATCGATGTTACACCGATAAAAGTTTAGCTCATTGTGGCCTGCATTTTTCTCCAATAGCGTAGCGTCCCAGAGAAATGGACAGGCGCAGCTCTAGGAGCCATCTCCTCGCCGACAAATGGAATGGTAAAGCTATATAAAAGCGCGGGCTTAAAACTCCATCGAATGGGCAACAATCACTAATGTTTGGTTCTTCTCGACTTTAGCTGTTCCAACCTTTCAAAAGCTGTCAGCTCAAGGACCAGGATTTTTGTCAAGTCGATGATGAGGCCGTCTCGCAGGGCGTCTATGTGGATCTGATGGAGAATCCTGAGCGCTTTACAGGTTACTCTGGCCCCTCTGCCGCCAAGGTCTGGGATGCAATCTACAACGAGAACTGCTTCAATATTGCACAGCGGATGCAGCAGGAGTCCGATTGTGAACAATGCTCATTGGATCACCAAGCAAACAAGGAGACGATCGCAGGTGAACTTAGGACTACCGCTGCAACGGGAGTTTCTCTGGCCAAGAACTCACTTGCAGCGCCAGAATCTGGATGGAGCCACCCAGGGGACCGACTAGAACGAATGAGGGAATCTTCAGACGCGGGGAGCGATAGCCATGGAGTGCCCCCTTCAAGCACCTCTGCAGCATCTGAATCTATGAATGCTTTGACAGCAGGCGCTTCTCAAGACGAGGAGGCGTGTCTGGAAAAGCGGGTCTTTTACCGGATGATCTCTGGCCTCCATGCATCTATCTCAATTCATATATGCGACGAGCACTTTAACCGAACGTCCGGTGTCTGGGTAAGCGATTCTACTTGCTACACTGTTCACTCCGTGTTGCCGTAAATTGGGAGGCTAAGTTATAGAGGCTAATGCGCTCTTGTCTACCACAGGGCCCTAACCTGGAGTGCTTTGTCTCCAGAGTCGGTGCACATCCTGATCGCCTCGAGAACATTTACTTCGATTATGCCATTTTGGTACGCGCCGTTACCAAGTTGTCTGGATATTTAAAGGATTACCAGTTTTGCACTGGTAACCCCGAGGAAGATACCAAAGTCAAGGTTGGTCTCCAAGTGATCCTACGACTGCTTTATTGTTGTGCTGACAATGCAGAATACTAATTTCATCGACCCGTTCGCATGCTAGGCTATGGTCGATAGTCTGATTAATACTTCATCCAAATCGCCAGCTGTATTCGATGAAAAAGCCATGTTTGTTGGACCCGGCGCGCAGGCGCTTAAGCTAGAGTTTCGGGATCATTTCAGGAACGTCTCAAAGATCATGGACTGCGTTGGATGTGAAAAGTGTCGCCTCTGGGGTAAGGTTCAGACGTCAGGACTCGGGACAGCCCTGAAAGTGCTCTTTTCATATAATGATGAGTTTCTCAAGTAAGGACTTTGTTGGACACGGACACTATCATAATACCACAAGTCTTGAGCTCTTTAGTTCTGCTAGGACATTGACAGGAGGAACTTCTTGCACTTTGTCTTCATTCATAGTCCGACCAAGAACCCAAATCTGTTACAGAGAACAGAAATTGTCGCTCTCTTCAACACCTTCAACCGACTGTCGGAGAGCGTAGAGTCGATTGTCAGGTTCAGGGAGATGTTCATGGAAGATTACCAGTCCCAACGGAAAGCCTCGACAGCTCCCGCTCCAACGTCGGAACGCCAACAACATCCATTAGAATCAGGGTCGATGCCTACAGGAATGGAGGAACAAATCCAGCCTATGCCATTGGAAATCTGGCCATTCATTACTTCGGTATTGGAGAGGCACCTCGACTCGATCGTAGCCCGAGGTTCCAGTTCAAGTCCGCGACACCCTACACACTCTCCACATTCTACTAGAGCGCACTCTTCTAGCGCCGAGGCTGCTCTTCGACATGTCCAGGAGTGGATGTGGACCAAGAGTTCTGACCTAACCGACCTAGTACTCAAGATCTATCGGAACCCTATGCCATTGTTTTACGGCGAAAGGATACGAACAAAGAGCCACCCGTCAGGATAGCAGTAGTAATAACAGGAGCTCGACTCTATTTGGGCCGTTATCCCAAACCAAGGTCTCGACAGTCGCAGCATCGTCCCACAAAGACGACTGACATAAATAAGTTCGGCGGTACAGACAATTTCTAGTTTATTATGAAGAATGGATAAATGAATGGACGAGAATGCAAATTCTAGATGTCGTGAAACTCGTCGATGTGGTGCCTGGCGCGCATGTGCTGCGCATTGACCAGGAGCCATTCTGTGAGGTTATTTTTGACATTGATCCAAGGCCTTTGATTCGCAGTAGTGTCATAGGCTGTGGCCATCGATGGCAATGAAACAGACGCTGAATTTTCACGCTGAGGTTCTTCTGTTGGTTCCTGCGTCCTGAACTTTGTATCGTATAAGTATGGTACCAGCATAGGTGCCTCTGTGCTACTTGCGAAAAGTAATACCTAGGCCATTGCAGAGAAAAGAAGGAAAGAGTAGCCGTCAATGTTTATCCATGTTGGCTACTCATGCTCTTTTACAAAGGCAGCGCTGTCTTGGGGTTTCTTGCTTTTTCGGGCACTTACGTTGACGTATTCAAAGTTCTCCTTGTGCGGATAAGGAACTCCTGGCGAGACCATGATCTGCTCCACCTTTTTAAAATCAGAACTCGTGTCAATTTCAATGCGGTTGATGGCTATGGCCTTCTTGCGAGAGAGATCGACAACAATTCCAAAGTTTTTGACCGCCAATGGCTCAACGGTTGCTCCAGTAGCCCTTATTCTATCCTTTCAGACCGCAAAGTGAAATAGTGAGATAAGTAGAGAGCGAATAAGATGTAAGTGAAATAGCAATTGACACGCAGATATGAAGCGTTCTTTATAGTGCGTATCACAGACGATGTATCAACTTACCACTTCCTGCTGAACATGCTCCTGGATCCACGCTTTGGCAGAGGCTGTTTCCTGATCAACCTCCATGCTTACGCTCCTGTCTAATTCCGTCTCTGGCTCAAGAACATGAGGTGTCTTCTCAATGGCGTTAGATCTCTTTGTGGTCCCTGCTCCAGGAGGTAGCTTCTTTCCTCTTGTACGGGTTCTTGGAGGTGGTGCCATATGTGGGGAGAGTGTGTTTTTTACTTTTACTTTTGGTTTTTTTTACGAGGAGGGCGTGCAAAGAACATACCTCAAATACAGACAAGTATTTTCAACAACGACATGTGGCTTGTCCTGAAATAACAAAATGCTGCTTTTTTTGGTGGACAATGTGGGGTATGAAGCAACGCTATCCATAGCAAATGCGAGCTGATCATAATAACCATTTCTCCTCCTCCCTCAAAGTGCTCATTGCTTTCTCTGTTTATTGCCACAAATTTTGTAAGATTTAGAGAGCTACTGAGATGCGGCTTGAAGTAAGAGTGCAAGTTACAGCCATGGATATGGTGCCGCCATCGACATTCTGGGTTCCGCAGGTGTCTCCTTTTTAAGACACCCAAAAAGCACGTCGCAATGTAGACCAAGTCGCTGAACTCCCTGGACTTCAGCAAAGTCGAATAGAAATTCGCAAAACCTCCTTATCCTTTTCTATTGCACTTAATTCACTCGCCTGGCCAACTTTGATTAAAGATTGTCATGAGCATACTATCCCGCAATGGAATTTTTTTATAACAATTTGTCTCTCGAGTCGATTGACCCTGCGAATCTATCAGACCTAGCTAGCAATGATCTACCACAGTCGTCCTTTCCACCAAAGTAGAGCCGATCCACAATCGCCAATGGACAGGTCACATTCCCCGGGCCTGCCCCTAGGGCCTGTGCAATAATTGCCACACCTCATCAGTGTGTTAAAAAGCTGAAAACTCCTTGTTACAAAAAGGGTATCTTCCTCATCCCCTCCATAGTTGTCAACCGCCTCCTCCCTTGTAGGCAGTCCAGCAGCGTCTGATCCGCTGCGTCTGGGTCGAGCACGGGGCCAGGGCAGCTCCCGTTTGCATGATCGGCGAGCAACGCACCGCAAGGACAGTGGTCAGCGTCGCAAATGTATCCATTGCCCTCACTCCAGTCTCCTCGAGGGCCCTTGTATGATGCGCGCTTCATCTTAGCTGTGATTCTCCACTCTCTTTCCCGTACTATCCCGCAATGGAGAAACGGGCAAATGATGCTGTTCCTCTTCCAAAGGCGCAAAACGACGGCGGGTTACAACTACATGGAGCGCAAAAAGTTTTGCAGCCAATGTTTTATTCAAAATGCTCGTTACGACAACTCCTTCAAAGCTGTAGGTCTAGATAAATACAACTGATAGTAAAAACATCAAAAAGGATATTGCAAAAAGATATGGGGAATAATTTCGAAGCGGTAGCTATTTTGTTAATAGGATATGCGAGGAAATCTGAACCCCATCGCAAATACACAGTGCAGAAATAAGGGTCACTCACACCTCTACACCGCATCCCGCACCAGGATACCCCTTGTATGGTGCCATATCTCCTTCATTTGGGTATATTTACACCATTCCTTCATGGGATGCGGGGGTGTTTTTTTTATTTTTTTATTGCCACCCAGAGTAAGGGGTCGATCCACAGGCTCCATGAATTCCGTTATTCTTCTTTCGGTGTTGTGGTCCATGTCTGCCTGTCTGTCTGCCACCTGCCATGCAACGGGTGGATGCACGCTCGAGTATATAACTAATATGAAAATTACATTCCATATAAAATTAGCATGTAAAAAGGCATTTGGTGCGGAGATGATAATGCTATGCAGCCGCCGCAAGGGGACAATGGCGGAGATAGGCGATGAACTCGCAGGAGCCAAGCCAGGTTAGGGAACAATAACCTTGTAAATAAACAAGGAGGCGGCAATCTGGCCTTGACCTCCTTTAGATAATTCGCGGCGAAATCGGCTCTCAAAGATCGTTTGGACACCATTGCCATCCGGCATTGCATCCATTTGCAGTCAGTCTCTTGCTCTGCCGTCTTCTCCTAGATCCAAGTGGATGACTATGCATACCGCGAGTGTTCGTACCTTCTCTATTTCCACTCTATTACCCAACCTCCGCTCTATAGATCTTGTTTGCTTCCGTTGCTCCTGTCTCCTACTCAACTTAGCTCTTAATCTCCCCCTGGCCCCTTCCTTGGCTCTGCACGGCAACTGAATTTGCTTCTACAAGGTAACCTGCCTTTTCTGTTGCTTTTGCATACATCTACCCCTTGGAATACTGTCAATTGCAATGGCATCTAGCCTCCTTGCCAGCAGTTGTATTACGGCTGGTCAACAGCACGACATTGTTCGCTGTACTAGCTCTGAGTCTTGGCTCTACTGGAACTCGTTGGACAAGTAGCACTCGTCCTCTGTAACGAAATAAGAAAATAAAATAGATATCAGTTTCCAATAAAACACGGATCAAGGAGCATCTTCATAAAGTCACAAAGTCTCCGCTCATTTTTACTTCCAGGGACAAAGACGTTGCCATCCCTTTGAATGCTCCGCCGCGTTGACTATTGAGCAGCTAGCCCTACGGTCTATAAAAATGCCCGGTGGCGCCCTCAACGCACTTGTCTTGCTGTTATGTCTTTTGCCATTCAACGACTTTGATCCTCAACCTCATCGTATTCCGCTGCCCTTCTGCACCCCACGAGCGTAACTACCGCCCTTGGCTTCTTTGCCTTATTGCACTGCACTCCATCGCACTCCTCCACACCCCACTTTCGACCCGCATCTGATCCACATTATCCCCACCTCCTCTTCTGACGAACCCCCACCTGCCAGCTCCTATTATTTCCCGCGTACACTTTTATCCATAATGGCTGAAGGTCCAGAAGCACCACGTACGTTGTTCAGCATTCGTTGCATATACATAATGTTCCAACGGTCGTGTTCTTCTTGTAGATACCATCACTGACACCCTTTTCCGGTCTTGACTTTAAACAACAGGTATCATTTCCCTGCTGGTGTCATTGCTGGCCATTTCGCTGATGTCAGTCCTCTTTGGACGCAAGACTTCGGGCACGCACATGGCCAATATCAACTACGCACGCGGCCTTGTCATCTCTCTATACGTCGTTTCTTGGGCATTTACCACGATTGCAGCCATCCTCACGTCCACCAATACCGGAAACATCGTGTCTTGCACTTTCTCCATTTTTGTCTGCCTATCGCTGTATGCTGCCTCAAAGATCATTATCTACCTGTTCCTGATTGAGAAGGTCTACGTCGTTAGTTCTGTCACTACTACGCGCAAGGACACAAGGGTAGGTTATCCTTATTATTATTCTCAAGTATGGTTTGTATGCTATCTGCGAATGTGCTCCTCCTTACCCCTTCATCCTATCCATGTTGCTCAAACGATAGCTGTATCGCCTTAATATCCTGCTTCTGACGCCGTACACGGTCATTCTAGTGCTTATGATCCTCAATCGCGTTGCGGTCCTCAACGAGGATGGGGAATGCTTCATTGGTCTGAAGCCGACGGCGTCCATTACGCTCATCTTGTACGATATCTTCATCTCATGCTGGTTGACAGTTCTCTTTATTCGCCCACTCATGAGCACTACCTCGGTCCTTCAGGGGCCAAGCAAGGGCAAGCTCCGTCATGTTGCTCGTCGCACATTCATCGGCTCCCTCGTGGCACTTATTTTAAGCTCTGGCAATGTCTTTACACTGGTCTACTACCGTGGCCACGAGTACTCTGTGCTGTGCTTGCTCTCGTGTACGCTCGACGTAACCCTGAATGCGTGTACGGTCCACTGGGTGACTTCGCGTGCACGTACCCCCCAACCAGCAGAGAAGGCCAGCCGTGGCGTCGCCAACCAGAACACTAACAACAATGTTACAAGCACAGAGAAGCAGATTGCGCCTACGGACACTCATATCTCTGTCACAGTGGAGTCTTACACAGACAAGTATTAATACTGCGCATGATGTCCCGCCGATGGCTACATAGATGATTTAGACAGCCATTAGTGTCGTTTAGCGTGCAAGCATAAAGAATTTCGTCAAGAGGGTCGTGTGCACCGTTTATCCGTGGCGTTTTCGGACGCAATGTCAGCTTGCTTCCATTTCCTTTCATTTTTTTTTATTCAACCCTATATGTACATGAACCGCGAGAGGAGGAATCGCAACAGTGCTAGAAGATGCCCTCTTTTCCTTCGACAGAAATCAACAAACCGGTTGCACCAATCGCGCTTTGGTCTCTTTTCTCCAAATGTACACCCTTTGACGTCTCGTGGACAACCGCGGCTGGACCAGGTGTTGCTGGGGATGGTGCAGCAATCGATGCAGGTGTAGCTGAAACAGAGTCGGCTGAAAGACTGGGCGTAGACTCCGTTTCTGACGAGTCGTGTACTGCCGCAGCAGATAGTGATGCCTCCTGAGCAAGATCTTTCCTGATCGTTTCGAGAGATACATAAGTCCTGGGAAGACCAGACAATCTCGCGTCGGTGGTGATCTTTGAAAAGGTAGTCAAGATGCGTCAAACAAGCGGTCAGTCACAACGTAACTGTATGCTTTCAGTCGTATCTGTTAAGTCGCTTCTGGGGCGGCCTACCTGAAATTCCAGCGAGATCGTCTCTTTGGCCAAATCAAGGATTTTTACCAACCGCTTTCTATAAGTGAGCGTGTAAGTGTACGATATTAGAGGGATAGCCAAAGGAAATGGTGAGCACAGGAATTGTAGAGCTGATCATGACGTAGAATGTACCCTATGCCATTAATGACTTCCACATTCTCCTTGTCTCTAACCCATACGGCCAATCGATCCGCCCTTGTCCTGCGAGACAAAACTAAAGCATGAATAAAGGGTCAGTGGCGAATAGGTGGCAGATGCATTACAGTGAGTTGCCTACCGTTCCACATACCTGCACCACAGATATCGTCGCCAGCATCAAGCTGCTCCCCAACCAGCGCATATGCCAATTCCATCCAGCAGCGATCCAACAACTCTGAATTCTTGTCCAAAAGCGTCACAATCCATCGACCGCCCTAGGAGACATAAGGAAAGAGAAGCAAGTCGACTGGCGTATTACTTTCAGAATTCTAAGTGGTGCATGACCACGCGAAGGCTCTTAGTGCAAAGTCCACAATGGATGCTGCTCTTTTCAGAATCATACGTTGGCATTTGCTGGGTCCTCCCACATAGGTTTGATACCATCCTTGAAGAGATGATAGTTTGAATTGTTCTCCATCTTGTGTGGCTTCTCAATCCAGTTGAAATAACGAGCGAACAATTCGACCTAGATAATTCAGTGCGTAGATAAAAGTGTCAGATGGCTGTGCCGCCTTCTTCAACAGGCCTGAGATGAACGACGGCTTTGTTTAGAGCAAACAAGTCAAGTTCACTCGCCGTTGTAAAAGTGCCGAGGTCTCGGAGTCCGTTTTCATAGTTGTGAAGAGATGAACTTTGCCGATTGTATCCTGCTGAAGTGTCATAGTAGAGAGTCCTACATCGGGAATGATTAAATGCATAAAGGATTAGTACAAGAGAACACTTGCACTGATATCGATAGCTGACCTGTACTTGTAATGCCCCGGAGCACATGTATCAACTCATGTGTGAACTTGCCAAGCATGTTGCAAAGGATGGCTTGTATGTGATGTATGCATCGGTGAAACATGATCCTGTTGGTTTAATGAGTTTTGATCTGGAGGATTAAGCGAGGGTCGACGAGGCGGACGCGTCATCTGGCTTAGTGAGAATGGCGCCAGTTGAGAAGAGCTGCCAAGGGTTCCTCCTAGACCACCATGATGTCCCGACGTGCCGTTGCTGTAGCTACTACCACCACTTCCAGCGACGCCGTTCTGATCATGCCCGTCCCTTTCCCTGTTTGACCCCAAAGGCATCCCTAGCCCCGAGGAGAAGGCATTGTTATGACTTGCAGTACGCCTCATATCGGTTGTCTGCGTGAAATGTCCTGGCTGGAGTCTGCTGCTGGAACCTACAATGGATTGTAGTTCAAGAAAGACGTGGAACATGGACATGTGAATATGTGGATATGTTAGTTTTTAGGGAAAGAACAGACTTATGAACGAGCAAATAAAAGTCGACATGCCTTTGGATAACAAGGACGAGTGAGAGCTGTGGTTCAAGCTTGCAGTTCGTTGGACTTTGATATGAGCGATATGTGACGAGGAGGGTGACGGGGCGACGAATGAGCCCATGGGGGTCCTCCTCTCCTTGTCCGCGAGGCTGGTCGGGGCCAGGGCTGGCGACAGCTGCAGCTTTGCGAACTTTTCTTTGTTCTCCTTGGGGTCTGCAAACTTTGCGGCCAGGGCTTCCAGATTCAGGGGCTGTTTCTGAGCACTAGCCATCGATGAGGGTGTGCCCGCTCCCGAGCCTGCTCCGGGCCCCGTGCTTGGACTTATTCCTGCGACAATTGACGGTACTGTTGGCCCTGTGGATGTGGAGGAAGAGGATAAGGCCGGAGTTGAGGCAAAAGAGGACCTTGCGAAGGAGCTGAAGGAGCCGAGAACGGGCGATGCTGAGGTGTGGTGATGCTCACCACCGTTGTTTCGTTCCGCACCCAAGGAAGAGTTTGAAGGGGGCGCGTAGTTTGAATTTGCGACGACAGTGCGCTTGGTGGGGCTCTGCCAAGCGCTGCCACCAGGACTGGAGGAGAGCGAGCTGGTGGATGCAGAGGAGGAGACGAGCTGTGGCCTGTGTCGGTCCGATGAGGGGGTCCCGGAGCTGTGTGAGCGAAGAGGGGCCATTCCCGAGTGGTGGTCTCCGTGGTCCTTGAAAGTCGAGGCGTGAGTGAGTGCAGGAGAGTTCCGGCCAGCAAGGGAGGCCGGGCGCCAGGGGCCCGAGGCGGAGGCGGCACGTAACCCTGAGGTAGCAGACGGAGAAAGAGAGCCGCGAGAGGTCTCTGTTTCGCTAGGCATTGTTTGCTCCGAGAACAAAGCGAGGAAGCAAGCAAGGGAGCACGAGAGAGAGAAGGAGAGAAAGAGAAAGAAAGGAGAGAGAGAGAAAGAGAGAAAGAAAGAAAGAAAAAAGAAAAAAGAAAAAAGAAGAGAAAAGAAAAAGAATAAACGCGAAAGGATGAGGAGGACGAAGAAGGAACTGATGAACTGATGATGAAATGGATGGGGCGATGAAGGGCGTGGATGTGTGCGATGATGGAAACGGGGTTTCGTCTGCTATGCGGTGTGGGAAACACTGCACCGCCTGGGCCCGTTCTGCCTGCCTGGACTACACAGGGCTGAGATATGGTGTGACTGACGGTAAGGGGCAGTCGACGTGTATTCATGCTGAGGAAAACGCTTTGGTCCATATCCTCTGGGAATGTGTATTTGAACTAGACCGCTACGTCCGTATCCCTCTCCATCGCTCTTCACATACCCGTCCCTTTTGGCTTGCTGCCGACCACTCGTAATGCCAGTGCTATAGCCAATGTTATCGCCAGCAATGCCAGTGATAGTGTGCCTGCTCAAAGGGGAAGGGGGGACGACTTACGCGCTTCGGGCTGCTTTACCATCCGTTCCCTCCCCCCCCCTTTTTTTTTTTTTACATAGTAGAAAAGTAGAAGCGCTCCCCACTCGCCACACACACCAAGGGCTCATCATTCCAGGAACAGCACAACAACAATAAATGGGTCCATTGTCCTTAGGCCGACACTTTTTTCCCCGGTTCCTTTCTCCCTTAAAAACCGAGACCCTTCGTCCTAAAGTTCGTCCTGAAGTTCCTCCTAATCAACACCGTACCCTTCTTCCTCTTCTATTCCTCTTTCTGTTTCTTCCTCGCCTCATTTCTTACCTCTACCTTCCAACGAGAACAACTTTCAACAAAGCACATCCGCCTGAATTTTATAAGAATCAATACAGCGAATTATGCCTCGTTTGCTCCTTGGTGTATGCGCCAATCTGGCACTGCATCTTGTAGGGCTGTTCCATGTCTCAGCCCGCACATTTAATCCCCAGGCAGACAACAACCTGGTCAACTACTGGGGTCAAAAGTAAAGCAGTTTTGCATTACCAGCTATCCTTCGCAGAGTGTAAAGCTCGTATTCTAACTATGCTCGGTTCATCTCGTTATTATTTTCTACCCCGGATGACCACTCATAGCTCCTACGGTGCCACTGGAGGAGACGTACAATTATGGCAAGTTGAACACAATCACATCTTAAAACACACACAGCCACAATGCCTGTGTACCCTGTACCCACGCACCTAACCTCCGTCCATCCTTTTGCATACATTGTAGGCAAAAGCCCATAGGAGAATACTGCCAATCTCAAGAGGCCGAAGATGTAATTGTTGTCGCCTTCTTGCACGTATTCAACATCGTGTCCAAAAAACCCCCCCGCATGGATTTCGCAAACCAGTGCGCGCCGACCTCTATATAGTAAGTACACACACGCAAAGAAAAAAAGAAAAGAAAAGAAAAAAAGAAAAGAAGAAGAAAAAGAAACAGCTAATGGAGCGAGAAGAAGAGAGGGAAGAGAAATGAAGAGTACAATGAAAAGGCCCGCCACTAATGTACGCCGCACGTTTTCAATTTACTCCCTCGAAGCCCCGGTACCTCCCTGATGCACTGCCCAAGAACTGGCGCTGGCATAAAATTGTGCCAGTCAGAAGGCAAGGTCATTCTTCTGTCTCTCGGAGGGGCAGCAGGTGCTTATGGATTCGCAAATGATGCTGAGGCTAGAGAGTTTGCGCACACGATCTGGAACCTCTTTTTGGGTGGGTCTGCACCGAACAGACCGCTGGATGATGCCATTCTCGACGGCGTAGACCTAGAGTATGTAGAATGTTATGAATGATGTTCCCCTTGGCCAAAATTCCACGGCATCGTCTCACTGAGAACCCTTATTCGACTCCTTTAGCATCGAGGGAGGTTCACCCGTTGGCTATCCAGCTTTCATTGCAGAGATACGCTCCTTGTTCGCAACTGACTTACGAAAGCAATATTACATCTCGGCTGCCCCACAATGCCCCTTTCCAGGTAAGAAAACAGGACAATATCGCCATGAGCTGTTTCCGTCTGATTACCGCCACTAGTGATTCTCTGACTTTCCTATTTATATTGCGGAGAAAATAAAGACGCGTACCTGGGTGCAACTCTACAAAGCGCATGGATAGACATGGTCTTTGTCCAGTTTTACAACAACGTTTGTGGAGCTCAAGAGTTTGGCACCTCCAGCTTCAACTATGAACAGTGGGATAACTGGGCAAAGACGACGTCCGTCAACAAGAATGTCCGAATTTACTTCGGTGTTCCTGCAAGTCAGGGCGCAGCCAACGCTGGCTATGTCACGCATGAGCGGCTTTCCGAGATTGTTGATTCTCTTCGCTGCAAATACAGCTCTTTCGGAGGCGTCATGCTGTGGGATGTTTCTCAAGCATATGGAAACTTCAATGCCGCTGGCATTCATTACAGTCTCACCGCTGCGCAGGGTCTTAAGCGCCCAAGAAAACTTGTCTGTGGCGAACAGTCATCCTCCACACATGTGCCCACACATGCAGAACACACGCATGGTTCTCGCAAGGCAGGCCATACCCTTACACAAAGCGACCAAACCGGTGCACACCCGCCTCTAGGTATAATTGGAGTGCCAACGCCACAGTCATCCCTACGTCCGGAACCACCATTAAACGCGTCACGGACAAATCCTCCACGAGACCCGCTCATGGAAGCGCAGCCGTCGCCACCACCACCAGAGTGCATTCAGCTGGTACCTGATGCTCGGACGCACCGCGAGGAAAGCATCTGTCCATTCGAGGGAGGGGAATGTCGACCATCTACCATCGACAAAGTCTTTGTATGCGATGGCCTCAAATTCGCAGTATGCGTTGATGGTAAGCTTATCGTTCACAGTCGTCGCCGATCTTGGCAAGATCAAGACTCTGTAACTTATGGCCCGCTTGCTTTACTTTTTTTATTTGTTTATGGAAAAGGGTATTGGATACTACGAGATTGTGCGCCAGAGACGTATTGCACGCCTCACGGATGCGAATTAATCAATGGACCCGTCAAGTCTTGTCGTGAGATGGAGCAAAAGATGGAAGACGCCAGAACAATGAGGCAGCGAATGAGGGATGTTATCGACCGTATGTGGTCCACATTTGGAGCGTCGATGGACTCTACTTGGGCAAACTATCTCGGCCTGGATCATGATGCGCTTCAGCAGCATCAATCGGGAGCGCAGGACAAGCCCGGATCACTGCAAGCGGACATCCAACATGTGTTTGATCGCCCAGGAGCGATGGATAATATCAAGAACAACACTGAATCGGAACTTGTCGCCAAAGCAGGATCCTATTTGATAGACTTCGTCAAGCTGAACCCTAGTCCAGAGTTTGTCAACTTTACTCTCGATCACAATTTGTCCGATACAACCATCTTCAGGACCCAAGTCCGCATTCGCACAAATGGCGCCGCCATTTCGCCCCTCTGGAGAGCGTCTTTTTACCTCAAATCAGGCCAGATTGTCCGTAGATCCTCCAGAGGTACGATGCGACAGAATGAAACACAGGTATTAGTCACAAGCGATCCAAATCAAGAGACAGAGCAAAGCATGGTGATCCGTTTTGTCATCGAGGGTATCAAGGACATGAATATTAGTAAATGCTCTGATGGCGGAGAGTGCGATACTCAATATGTCTATGAAGCATCCAGTTTGCCCGACCCTGCATCAGCAAGATTTGATACGATACCATTCAGTATTGAATAGAATCCATTTTATTCGTAAAATACCTTTTATCGAATGCGCTTCTAATCCGCATTGTTGATCAAGGATGTCACATGGTAGACCGGCAACAAGGGCCCGCGTCAACTGACTGTTGACTAGAAGCTCATCCAATCCAGTCTCGCCGCCATGAGATTAAACTGAAACCATCGAACACTCGGGCCATGGCCGCATCCTTACCTAAAGTGGAGTTATTCTCACGCCTCTACTTTTTTCATCTGTCCCAATGCAAACGATGAGATCGTTGGGACTGGATCGTTGGGTTGAATGCAGGGCTAATGTACAGTCACCTAACAAAACTAATTAGCGAATCACCCATGCTTTTGCGCATTTTTTTTCAAATTACCTATATACAACACACCTAAAGAGTTATGCAGTCGCCATGAAATTCTTCATGTCTATCGAAGAGCTCTGGGGGAACATCTTTGGTGAATATCAGGGTGGTTTATGCTGAAGGAGAGGGTTATGGCTCGCTCAATATCTGCCATTACCACCTCTGTGCTTTTTCATGAATCCCAGTCTCTGGGGCATCGTGTCGACTAGCCTTGCCAGCTGTTCTTGTGGTAAAGCATTCCACTCCTCCACTAGAGCTCTCACCAGGGTTGCAATGTCCCGAGGTTGACTTCGTCGTCGATTGAGGGCAGTATCAAGGAGGGACCAAACATGCTCGATGGGGTTCAAATTTGGGGAATTGGCTGGCCAGTCCTCTATCTTGCGAAAGCCGTGCACTTGGCGCCAACTCTTTGACAGCGCGTAGCTGTGCACTGGGGCATCATCTTCCATGAGGATTCCATCCTGTACCTCCGTCATAAACCTGAGCAATTCACCCTCATACACATCCTCCACGAAGCACTGTCCGTTGCGACGTTCTCGCTCAAAAACAACCAGCCTGGACTTCTTAGTAGCTGTAAATGCGCCCCAGACCATGAGTGAGGTCCTACCGCTCTTGAATGTGGGTGCGAGGCAATTGCCATCGTACTTCTCCTCCGCTGTTCGCCAAACTCGAATCTGGCGAAAATTCTCTCCAACCTCGAATGTTGACTCATCAGTCCATACTACCCTCGACCATTGCTCCGTTGTCCATCTGCTGTACCTCCGCATAAATGTGAGTCGCTTGTCCTTGTGAATGTCGCTGAGATAGGGTCTCTTTGCGGCTACCCGGCTGAAAATGCCAGCTGAATGGAGCGCTCTCCGAACGGTGCCTTCGCTCGCTTCATGGGGTACCATGTTGGTGATATCCTGTTGAGTGACACGTCTTTCACGCTTTGTATTGCCTATCATACTCCTAATGTCTCTCTCACTGAGCGCTCTTGGCCGTCCAGGAACTGGGGCGTGTGCAGTGGTGCCTCTTTGATGGTAGATGTGAATAATATTGGTCACCGTGGGCCTGGATGTGTTGCGCTTCGCTGCAATTTCCGTATGGCTCATCCCCGCTAGACTCATTCCAATGATAATACCTTTTTCTTCCATGGATAACTGTTTCGCCATGGTAGTTACTCAAGCTGCTGTCGACTGTGCTTGGAGAAGAAAAGTCGTGTTGAAGAAAAGATGTATTTAATTGCTCATGGCTTGAAAATTATGATTCGCTAATTAGTTTTGTTAGGTGACTGTACATGTAGATGAGTTCGTCGGCTCGCAGGTTGCGCTTTCCCGGCGGAAAGTTTTGCTTGAGGTTTCGATGCCATTACTCCACAAGGTTATTTGTGTTAATATGTTGATGGTTCTGTTTCAAATGAATAAAGTACTTCAACGTTAACAAAGTGACTAGAACAAGACCAGTTTCATATTACACCGGCCCATTTCATGAGATAGTGCATGCTAATGACTTTGACCCGCACGGACACAGTGTAACAATAGTCACCATAGCATATGTATTTGTGCATAGCAATTATTATTAAAGTTAGTTCTCTTCCTCACTTCCTTCGTCTTGTTACACACAGCTAGATATTTAAGAGCACCGTTGCCAAATGATAGAACCTCAGTCTTCGTCTAATAAATATCTACTCAATCACACACCCAGACCCAAACCTATTGCACTAGGCGATCAGAAAACTGAGATCTCTCTGCACTATATTGGTCTATGTAGTACGTACGAGCAGTGACAAGTACCCTTAACGTGGTGCAGACGGGTAGTATTTTATAAGGGGCCCGTCTGCCCAGGAAATAAAGATCCCTCTCTTGTCTCGTTGACTTCCTCTTCCCAGAGCTCCCTAAATGCAAGGTCGAACAAATGACTGACTCGCCTAGCTTTCCTCAGTTGCACGACTCCGAACGAATGGCCAATACAGTCAAACCTGGCTTAAGTCAGCAGGGGTAAAGGAGGAGGAGGAGGAGGAGTAGTGGGTAGCGAGGAGGAATGGCGAGAACAAGCAGATGTAAGTTAGTGCAGCCTGCGGTGGACAAGTGTGCAGTGGGCAACAGCAGCGGTCAATTAGAGGGGGGTTGTCAAATAGATTACGAACTTAAATTTGAAACTTTTTGACACACGTCTTTTTCCCATGTCTTCCCATTTCTTCCTCCCATTCCTGGTTCGTATACTGCACATATCGGTCTAATTTATTATTCTTTCACGCTCCGGAAATGAAAGATTGGAGACAATTGGGTTCCATTGTCCTTGCGTTTTTGCCAAAAATAGCCTTGCCCCTGAGAACCCCCGCGGTTGTGGTGCTGTTCCTGAGTTCCTGAGTTCCTGAAAGATGAGATCACATCGCTCTGCCCACCAATTCACCACTTCACCGCCCGCCACCCATATTCCATCTGACCCATGGCTCCATTCTCCTTCATTCCCTGTTGACACTTTGACGCTAATCTCTCAAAACTCCTCAATCTCAGTCTCCTCAGTCTCTGGCGTATGTTTTTACCTCATACCATCGTTAAAAGTCGCCGTATTTGCAATCGAAGAACAATAAAGATGCTGAAAAAATATAGTGTTCTTCATATTCGTGGTACTATCTCACTATCTCTTAAGAAGTTCTTCTCGGATTGAATTGATAGTTTTGTTCTTGTACTGGGCCGTCATAGCATCCAGAAAGTTCTGGACTCTCGACTGAATGACCTTCCTCCTTCTCCTTCTCCTCCTCTATCCTCGCTTTAACCAACCCAATGAATTGCTGCCGGCGTTGTAACGCCTTTCTACGCGCTGGAGTAAAGGGCTAGGCCGAATCTTGCTGTCTTGCTGCCGCGATGGGACCATGGTATTCATCCCATGCTTGGCGGACGGTCAATTGTCCGTTGTCCGGCAGCATCACGTACCCTCTGAGCCTATCGTCGAGCCGTGTCGATGATGACTGGTGGACTTGTTGTGGCAGTTCCTGTTGGTGCTGTTGTTGTTGTTGTTGTTGCTGAAGCTGTTGTTGCTGTTGTTGCAAAAATAGCTGCGGTTGCAAAAACTGTTGTTGCCAAAGCTGTTGTTGCCAAAGCTGTTGTTGCCAATGCTGTTGTTGCAGTAGCTGCATTTGCTGCTGAGTAGACACGAAATCGTTCACAGGCATAGACAATGGAGCATGCGGATAATACTGTGGCTTCTGTGCTTGAAGGAGTCACATATGCACTTGATCACAATGCTGTTATTGGGCCTCAATGCCTGTCTGTATCGCACTCACCTCCGATTGCATCGTACTCATCTCTGATCGCATATCCGCTTGCAACTCTTGTATCTGTTTACCAACGGTATTGAAAGCACCAACCATGGTCTGATTGTCGAACTTGCACGCTGGAGCTGACGATATCCGTGCGTTGGCGACGTCTACTCATTTCGTCCAGGAGCTGGGCCTTGAAGTCCAAAGACATCTTGCTTTTAAATATCTCCGGTAATGAAATGATAAGTCTGTTGGTCAACGTCTGGTCACCTCGGCTGGTCTCCATATAAAGGACTGCGTCCTGAAGTATCACGCGGCGCATTCGAACAAGCAGCTTGAGGAAACCGATCCTGTTGAGTTGAGTACTGCTGTTACATTGTTTGGATTCACACCTTCTATCTCCTTGTTGCATTCCTTCTCCCAGTCCTTCTTCTTTTCAGGCTGATTCTTGTAGTCCTTGTCGAAAGCGTGCTCAATCCAGGGAAGATGAGGCGTTGCAGCGCGAGAGGGGTGTGACAAGGTCGCGCTCTATAAAGTAAGGTTCATCGCGTTTGTTGAAAAGGGCCATATAAAAGGCTCCAATGATTGGGTTCTTGGGTGCATAGAGGTTCTCCACCTGGCCCATCACCCGTCGGCTAAGATGGCGGATATTATCCAGACTCAGACCCAAATGGTATGCTTCCGAAGTGCCAGCATGGCGCCCAGAATGCGTCACCTTAGTTGGGTACACCTCGTAGGCACGCATGACAGCAGCGGTGGTTTCAATTTGAGTCCTGCTGGTAATGGACTTTGTCCGGTGCCAATCCTTATAAAAAAAATACAAAATAAAAAAGGTGTCTTCTTTAGGGGCTGACGTATTTTATTCAGCCGATTAGAGTACATCCCGTACAGACACTCATATAAGCTTTCGCACGTGCTTGCTACTCATCCATTTGTTGCTGCTTATGCCTCTGTCTCTTTTTCTTAGGGGTGAAGATCACTGGCGGTCCCTCTTTCCTAACACTCGCCTTCCCGGTCATCTTCTCCATGATCTCCTGACTCAACGCTTTTCGGTATTCTTTCTTGAGGAGGCAAGCAAACTTGGAGTTGTACCGCTGGTTGTTGGAGCGTACAGAAGATGCAGGCTGATAAGCATAAGAGAACAATAAAAAAGTACATAGATGCAGAGCAATGAAGAGTTAATAACTTACCCCTATTCGTAGCAAAGCAGACATGCTTCCTCCATCGAGGAACTCGGCTATCTCGCTAGTATTCTTGGGCAGCTCAATCATCTTTTCCCCAACGGCGCCCACACCAAAGATTCCAGGTTCAATCTTTCGCACCGTGTACACCAACGCTCGAGAGCCGACGATGTCCAACACCATCGGCGAAGGCCTTGGAAAGTCCCGTTCCATGTACCGCGACAACTTGTTCATGATCGAGGCGTTTATCCGAATATTTTTGCGCAGCTGGATCTGGAGAGCCTCTCCTGAAACTGCTTCCGACTTGGCCTCCCAGGCGATTATTTCAATTGGCTTGCTTCTGCCCTGCAAGCACAGCTGGTGCATGATGTCGATCTTGCGGCCTCGCACACTTGTGTCAGTCCCGCCGAACTCGTTCTCGACCAACGTCCTATCCTCCCTAGTTGCAGACGACCCGAGCTCTCCTACTCGAACTACCAGATCATATTCATACAAGATCCTAGCCAGACCTCTCCATACGAAGACATCTTCCTGTTCGGAGGTCTTTGAGATACGTTGCATTGAAATGATCTCATCGCAGCTAACATCAAGATAAAATAAAAATACAAAAACATTAGACGAATCAAAACAAAAGGCAAAAAAAGGACAATCTGGTAGTTGGGCATAAGAACATACAGGACACCTATCATCTGCATTATCTTGAACTCCTCTCCCCTAGCGTCTTCTTCGCCCGTTGGCCAACCATCATTGTCGTAATCCTCTTCCAAGTCGTCTCGCCGGCGGGAGCAATAGCGTCGCAGTGCTCGAAGTTCCTTCATAGTCCCGTGGCCCAGCTTCTGTACCAAATCCTTATAGATAGCTTCCTGCACCCCTGACACAGTAAAAAGATCCTTGTCCAGGCACTGGTCGACCACGTCAGAAAAAGCCGCACAGTGTAGTTGTATTTCTGGGTCCAAGGTATTGACGATACCGCTCAGAGCAACGCTATCATGAAGGATAAAATGGAGGATTAGCTATTGGCTCCATGATGAATAGCTGATACAATTGACAAATATTTTGACAACTTACAGACAATTCTTTTGTTCGATCTTGCTACAGGCATGCCAATTGTCCACAACATTTTTAGCAAAGTTATAGAGATCATTCGTGGTATGTGTCGGGAAAAGCACGGGACTATCGATTCGAGCGAGAGTGTGGCCATGCTTAAGGATAAAATGCAGGGATAGGGCGAGAGTATCAGATTATTAGAGGTTGGCGCCACAGGAGACAGGAGGTTAGCGGCTGGGCGGGCCTAGCGAAAGAGAAGAATATAGACGATGCCACGTATCTTTTCGTAAAGCATCGTGACTAGGTGAGCGAAAGGGGTGCAGCTCGCCACCAAGGCGAGTTCTGCTGGTAAATCTCCCTCGTTCTCATGACCTTGGTCGCCCATTGTAGGTTGGCCCCACGATCCCTCGAATCTCATGGACCTCTCCGTTGGTATTGATGTCTAAGAGAGATGGTAGTACGTAAATCGTGGAAGTCATATAAGTACTGTATCACTGACTGGTCGATAGAAGTACAACCTAATTGCTATCTTGTCTCATATAGTATGCAGTAACTGTAACTGATTCATTTGTCGTACAAAAGAGCGCTTGACATCTATTACCTCTTCTGGTTCACCATCAAGCAGCACGTCTTGTGTCGGTGAGGAGTTAGTGGCTGTTGCGCTTGATGACGATGAAGTTAAGGGCGACGTCGTGGCTAGTTGATCGTGTTTCACCCTTGATCCAGCATCTAGCGCATCTAGCGCATCTAGCGTGGATATCTGTATGTTAATGTAACACTGAGCATTCGTTTGAGATGCATTAACTGACGAATGTTTCCATACCAGGTTGAGAGGCGTCTTCATCACCAGCCTGCTTCCTCCTCTACATATATTAATGAAAGATCGAAAGGTTAAAGCAAGCCTTCCATAATGCTGATAAAGAATAGCTGGTTCGTCAGTCTTAAAACTCCTTTAGAGCTCTTACCAAAACATTTATAAGACTAGCCTGAAGGTCATTCTGAACGACACGATGCTCGAAACCTTTTAGAGCTCGTCGGTTGAGTAATTCCTCAGCATGGTTCGTGGCAACAACGATGTTTTGTTCTACAGAATAAAACATCGCAAGCGCTCTAGCGAACGCCCGTACCTCTCTGCTGGCAGCTTTGAAATCAACAAGCCCTTCAAGTCCTTTAGGAAAGACATCCTTCTTCTGACCCGAGAGGAGAAAATCCGCTAGATCCCAATCCGCAACCGCCGTCTCGAGAAAGTAACTTCTGGTGTCCACGGTTGATGGGAGATATTTCGAGTTTCCAAGATACTTAGGACGACTCATTATACTATTGAGCTAATGACAAGTAGCAAGTACAACCATTTTTTATGTCAGTAATCCGAAATCCGATCGGATAAGAAACACTAATTGCAAGTAGAGGAAGGTGCAGAGAGAACGGTCTAAAATGGCGTATTAGAAGTGCATAGCCTGTGTTACTGACCTAAGGGTACTCTCCTCATTTTATGACTTTGGAGTGTACCAAAGGACATTCAAGACAGAAGGCGACTGGGGAGAGGAGGCGCGGGCAATGGCGATGAAGAAAGGCGAACGATGGTAGCAAAGGCGGTGCGTAGGGGCAAATAGCAGTCACATATGTTTGGACGGGAATAAAGCGACTATAGCACTATGAAATCTATAATTACGTCACCTAAATCGTAAAAATCGTTGCTATTATCGGCATTTGGGTGTGTGTGACCTGACACACAAAAATTAAAGTTCTTTAGCCATCTTGGTAGGGCGTTTCCTTGATGTTGGGGTTGCGGGAGACGATCGTTTCTTGCGAGCACTCGTGCTTCCAGTGGACTTGCTGGTTCCATCAACTGCCCCTTGATCGGATGTCGATGGTTCGATCCAGGGATACCTTCCATCTGCTGTTTTGGGCTGCAAGTAGAGAGGTCTTTTCTGCTCCAAAAGGTGCCCTTGGACGATATTGGACATGTTTTGCGCCGCCATAACATCTCTGTGATAATACTTGCCACAGTGGGGGCGGAAGAGCTGGCGTATGG